TGGGGTCGAAACCAGGGGCGATCCTCGAGCAAAAAGTCGTAAACCTCATCGAGGGTGGCGCGACTGGATCGGGTAGGATGCAGCATGCGTTCGAGCAGATCGACAAGCTCGTCACTGAGCAGATCCATGGTAGGGCCCGGCAGAGCATGAGTGCGCACATAGCGCATGTAGTCGATGTCGTGAATACAGGCCTTGTTCCAAGGGAGATCGGCAAAGAGGACGGCATACCAGGTCAAACCGATGGCCCAAACGTCCTGTGCCACATCAAAGCTGTCTCGCACCAGCATCTCAGGGGCCATGTAGAACTGAGTTCCTGGGACGCGGATGGTCTGGGGAACGTGTCCAACGGGCTGGATGTTGCCAAAGTCATGCAGGAGGAGGTCGCCGCTTTCCGTGATCAGGCAATTCTCTGGCTTGATGTCACCGTGAACAAAGCCAGCCTCTGCGACACCACGGGCAGCAGCCACCAGTTGTCGCATCCAACGGTGGGCAGAGGCAATGGACACGTCTTCTGCGGCAGTGGGTTTGATAAAGTCAAAAAGGGTTCCCTTGGCCAAGGGCAACACCATGGCAGGCTTGCCGTCGATGCTGCTCGTGTCCAAAAGGGGGCATACGTGTGGAACCTGGCGCATGCGTGCCATGGCACGAATTTCGCTGCCAAAATCATGTTGGCTCTTGTTGATCACCTTCAGGGCCACATCTTGTTGCAGTTCATGGTCAAAGGCTTTGTACACGACGGCAGTGGCACCGGCGCCCACCTTTTGGTGAATCTCAAACCGAGATGCCACGGATAGTGTCGCTGGGCCATCCATCATGGCAGTCAGTGCCATGAATGGAAAGGCAAAGACGAGGGAGAGAAAAAGAAGAAGTTATTGCAACTGCCAAACCTGGTACCCTGCTGTGTTAAAGCAAGAGGGACAAGATATGACTTGGCTCGAGACAGTTTGAGGCGCTGCTGAGCGGTGCAGACGATGGCAGCTGCAACCCGTTGTTCTCGAAATAGAAGTGCAAAAGCCAATATAAACGCAAACACAACTGCCAGCCGTGTCTGAAACCGTGCGGACAACTGAGCAGCACCGCACACACTGATCCAAAACCGTCAACGCGGGGGTTAGATAAAACGTGGTACCCGGTGGCAACCACAAGTCCACAGAGTCACTTGGCACCGCCGTCCGTATCGGAGAAAATGCCCAACCATGAGGCAGCGCGGTCTTCCCTCGTGTGCGTGTGTGTGTTTCCTATGGGCGTTTGGTGGTTGTGGTGGGGCGCGCTATTGCATGCAGAGTGAAGGTAACACACAGAAAGAAGGTGCGGTGACGATTTTGGGGGGTATTATGGGTATCAACCAATCCAGTGAGTAAGGGGTGGGGTGTGAGAGAGTTTGAGAGGTTTGGGAGAGATTGAGAGAGATTGAGAGAGTTTGAGAGGGAGTGAGAGGGAGTCCGAGTGAGTGTGTGTGAGAGACTACAGAAAATCAGAGAATATATAAAAAAACCAGAGATTGAGAGACATCTGAGAGACACATCGGAGATGCGTGTGTGTGGGCCGTTGGTTGTGGGGTGTGTGTGGAAGGGTGTGGCTAATTGTGGCGCATGGCGATCAATGTGTGCTCTGTATCAAAAATCAAAAATTACGTTCTTTGGCTTGTGATGATGGCTGGCGCGGAGCCAACTGTGCACAAGGTGTCTTGTGTGATGGCAGATGAAATGGCTTGGGAGGCTGGTTGGTGTAGGGTAGAAAGGAGCCCTGCAGTGCCTTTGGCTCGCGAGGAGCTGTGAGTGCCCCATCTGCGCGCGCCCGTCGAGGATCATCCGTGCATGATCATCATGTTACGATGATTGCCGACAACTTGCTTTCCCTGCAAGTTTGCTCGGTTGAGCGCCTGACTCGAATTCAGTACTCCCCGCCATTCGTTCGAGGCAGAAGCATACGGTCCCACCAGTTTTGCAGAAGTGGTCTCTCTCACTGCTATGAGTAGGAGAGACAGCGAGAGAAGCGAGGCAAAGGAAGAAGCATGGATCACCCAAGCTTGCTCGGAGGATTGGCAACAAAGGTTATGACGTCAGGACGCTCATTTACCCAACTGATTGAAACCTTGATGGGTAAAGATTTCAACCATCTTTTAAGACTAATCTTTTTCAGTTTTTTTTTCGGTTTGGCGTCATGTGTGACGTCAAGCACAACAACTTGTGGACCTACCAACCCGATCCCATTTCATCCCCAAATGCTTTATGACGTCACACCAACCATGTCAAAAAACAGCCGTTGAAGCCACAGCCAGTTGTATCAACCGCCACATGCTGTCCCAAATCCGCACAAAAATCAACGGCGCCAGCAACACAGCAAGCCAACCGCACACACACACACACACATAACAGGACCTTGGACAGGTGTCATCAGTGGCAAAACTTTGGAAACTCTTCGTTGTTCTCCCCGCGCGCGTGTTGGCAACAGGCGGAGCCAAGAACGAAACAAGGAGACAGGGAGACAGGGAGACAGGGAGACAGGGAGACAAGGAGACCGGGAGCTATCCATAAGAAAAGCGTGCGAAGTGCGTGTTAGTGTGTGGTGAGCCAAAGGCCAAGGCTTTCAAGTCAACCCATCAACCAATCGAGGCACGGTGACTCGAACAATCTGCTTGGAGAAGAGGCAGCTGGCCGTGGGGTGTGTGATCAGAGTTCGCTTCTTCAGTATCATGTCAAAAACGTGATTGTACATCTGGTGCACATTCATCTGGTGCATGTGTGATGCATGTGCACCAGCTTGCCAATGTGCCAGCAGAGCCTTTGTTACAGCCCCCCTATTCACACGGCGCGCAAAGGCCTTTGACCGTCAAAGATCTTTCTTTTGATGGGCCGGTAGCTCAAAGGGTCGCTCAAAGGCGTGGTGAAGCTCGTCAAGAAAAGGCGCAATCAGTAGAAAACAGTCGATTAATTTTCACATGACGTTGACGATGTTGTCTTCATAACCCTCACGAACCTCTTGCTTTGTGATACAAAGACGTCAACCACAACAATGTACCACCCTTTGGCACACGAAGAGATTTTGAGGGCTGGGCATGCAACAGCTAGCGACACACGAAGCAAGACTTTCAAACGTACAAGAAACACCCAAGATACCGCTCAACGGCACATGACATGGTTCTCATGTCAGGCGGTGAATAGGCCGCGTGAACCCACAGTCTGCGAGGCAGTCTTGCCCGCTGAAGTCAAGCGCCGGTGAGCCTCACGGATGTGACAGGGTTCCAAAGCCCCCGAGTCGCCCCACTGCTCTTGGACATCCAGCGCTGTTTCCACCAGCTCACCCGTGTACACCTTGGCAATAGCACCCATTAAAATGTGCGTTGTCTTGTCACAAGCTACCGTGTCAAGAACGCTGCCCATAATCTTCGCTCATAACCATGTCGACAGGCAAGCGAGGGCAAGGGTGGCGAGTCGGTGCACCATGCCAGGGAAAAGAAAAAAAAAAGCAAAGCAGAAAATCAAGCGTTAGCAATCGAGTGGCCTGGCTTGCTCTGTATTGGCCGATGATGCTTGGGAGCAATGCTAACTTTGCGAATGTTGTTCGGTTTGAATTTGGAGCGGCGGTAAATAGCATGCCGCTCGTGCTGCTCAGGCGTAAAACTGTCGAGTAGCAGCCTATTGTAGAGACAGGGGAGAGCGGCACAGTCATTGACTCAAACGCGAGGGGCTTGGGGTCTGAGCCAGGCCTTGGTGTGACGATTGCAGTGTTTGACCCCACACCAGCCGGCAAATGCATCTCTCCCTCGAAAGACCCCAGTCTTACTTGAGCCCGCGGGCGTATTGTTCTTGCTCGCGACGCTCCTGTTCCGTATCATCATCCAGGAAGCCCTGAAGCTGCGCACGATCCTCTTCATCCAGAGGCGCCTCTTGGTCGTCTGCATCGCGCACGCCCGTGGCCGTCGAGGCTGCGCACGCACCAGCCCTCGTAAGGAGAGCACACACCACACCTGCGAGGGCGAGATGCTCATGCACGTCGCAAGCAGCATTGGACCAACCTTTATCGTCTTCTTGCAAAGTGACACGCTTTGCTGGTGTACCCATGTTTCTGATACGCCTCAAGCCCTTGACGTAAACAGCATAGCCTTGAGGGCCCGTCACTCACCCACCGTGCACCTGATCTGCTGCCGGCGTGAAGTGATCAGAAACGCGAGAGAGAGAGAGAGAAAGAAGGAAAAGAAAGAGAAAAGAGGGAGAAGAGAGAGACAGAGAAGTAAAGAGAGAGAGAGAGAGAGAGAGAGAGAGAGAGAGAGAGAGAGAAAAGTGCCTCCGCCACAACACCTGTTAACAACAATTCCAAAGGAAACATGGACATCTTTAGCCGGGTTTCATCGATGGCCGGATGGTGTGGAATGGCAGCGCCGATGTCGCCCCTGCCCGCCAACCGGACTTCCAAGCCCCTGGGGGGCGCTTGGACAAGTTGCAAGGGCTGAACACGGGCCTATTGCCACCCTTGACCGCCCCTATAGTCGAGGAGAAGGACCAATTGCATTTCCAGTTGTCTGCAGGTTTGCCATCAGTGTGATCTCGAATCAACTCATCGTGACGAGAATCTGTAGTTTTCTTCCTCTTCATGTTCTTCAGTATCCCAAAGGGTGAGTTGGCTCAGCCAGTGGCAGCTGGACCCGAGATGAGACGACCAGGTGGCACGTACTCGGCAACTGCGGCTGTATTTCTCGCGCCTCTGAGGTGTCGTTATGGAGTGTAGCTTGAGCTGTGTATGCGGTGGGCCCTTGTGTCTGCTGCGGCTGATGACGAGGACCCGGACACTCGTTCGGGCCGGCGTCTCTCTGGGCTGGACTAGGCCAGACTTGCATTTTCTTAATTTGTTTTCTCAGACCTCAAAGAGAGCTCGACAGTCGTAGCTTGACTCACGCGGTGCTGTTGATTTGCACTCTTGATTCTGTGGCTTCTTTGGTCTACTCCATTGTGGTGCTACCATGGCCACGGACACTGCTGCGCAGACCGACGCGATGGCTGCTGCTCGTTCTTTTCAGTTGCTCGTGATTGGCGGGGGTTCGGGTGGTCTGGGCTGTGCTCGCCGTGCCGCTGAATTTGGCATCAAGGTAGGTTCATCTACACATGGACCTGTGTCATGGATGCCGCGCCTGTCTGCCCTGCCCTCACCAATGCCCACCCTAGGCGGCTGTCGTGGAGGGCGGCCGAATCGGTGGCACTTGTGTCAACGTGGGCTGTGTTCCCAAAAAAGTCATGTATGTCCACCTCTATTTTTGTATCGCTGGTGGTCGGCCTGCCTGGCTGCCTTTTGCTCAATCTGGGAGTAAACCTGATGGTTCAATTTTGTATTGTTCTGTCTTGAACCTCTGCTGCGCGTGCAGGTACTACGCGGCAACGATGTCCGAGGCCCTGCATGACGCCAAAGACTATGGCTTTGACATCACCCAGCATGCGCCCTTTGACTGGCCCACTCTCAAGAAGAAGCGAGATGCCTACATTGAGCGTCTCAATGGCATCTATGACCGTAACCTGGAGAAAGGCAACATCGAGAAAATTGTCGGCCACGCCAAATTTGTTGACAAGAACACGGTCGACGTTGATGGAACCCAATACACTGCTGACCACATTGTCATTGCCACTGGTGGCTACCCGACGCTGCCCAACATCCCCGGGGCGGAGCTTGGCATCACTTCTGATGGATTTTTTGATCTGGAAACCCTTCCCAAGAAGGCACGTTGGCTGCGCATGTGACAAAACTTGCACCTTCACTAGCCCGTCCAATGGATCACTTATTCTCTCGTGCTTGCATGTTCAACTTGATTTTTGCGTGTAGGCTCTGGTGGTAGGCGCAGGTTACATCGCCGTTGAGATGGCAGGCATTCTCAACGCACTTGGCTCGGATGTCACTCTCTCCATCCGCCACGATGAGGTCAGAAAATGCGTGTGACCAGCAACTGCGATCGTTGCATCATCCCTTCTGTTGGCGGCTTCGAATCACGCTTGCTCGTTATTGCCGCGTTCCCGTGTTGTAGTTCCTCCGACCCTTTGACGAGCTGGTGCGCAAGCAGCTCATGGAGGAGATGACCGCCGCTGGCGTCAAAGTTGTGACTAACAGCAGTGTACGTAGCTTTTCTTCTCTTTGCAGGCGCGGGCTTTCTGTGCTAGACTGCTTGTCCACAATGTCCAAGTCTTTCTCATTGGCGTGCTGTCTGCATTTTGAATCGCGTACAGGTCAAGGCCCTGAGCAAATCCGGTGAAACCATCAAGGCCGACATGACGATCAAGGATGATGCGGTAGGTGCTGCACTCCAGTGTGCAGTGTGGTTAGGCTGGACTCAAAACCCTCGTCCGTGCAAGCGTGCTGCCTTGTCTCACAGCCCTCCGCTGGCCTTTTCCAGACCTCAATTGAGGAGCTTGACTGCGTGCTGTTTGCCATTGGCCGCACACCTCACTCCAAGATCAACCTCGAGGCGGCTGGCGTGCAAGCCGATGCGAAGGGCTATATCCAAGTGGATGAAGACCAAAACACCTCCCAGCCTGGCATTTACGCCTTGGGTGACGTGTGTGGCAAGTATGAGCTGACGCCTGGTAGGTCGGCCGTTTTCACAACCTGCCCGCCAAGATACCGTCTGCGCAACACTGGCGCGCTGCCTCTTCTTCATGTGCCATCATCCTGCGCGTAACCTTGCCAATAGTGGCCATCTCGTGCGGTCGCAAATTGGCACACCGCCTCTTCGAGCCCAATCCCAAGAGCAAGCAAAACTGGGACTACATTCCCACCGTCATTTTCAGGTGAATCACCCTTTTTTTCTCGCTCGTCCTAATGAGCAACGATAGAAAGCAAAATAGGCCTACAGTTGCTCACTCTCGGCCACGCACTGCACAGCCACCCGCCCATTGGTACTTGCGGCTTCACTGAGGATGAAGCTCGCGAAAAGTTTGGCAGTGACAACATCAAGGTCTACAAGGCTACTTTTACTGCCATGTACCACGGTATGGTCAACCTTTGTATTGCTGCCAACAATCACATCAAGTGATACACGGTTCTCTTCATTTCATCACCACGTACGATTTCTGGCCGTGATGCTCGTCGGGGTGCAATCTAGCCATGACTGAGCGCAAGACTAAGACGGCCATGAAGCTGGTCTGCAAGCTCCCAGAAGAACAGGTGCGCATTAACCTTCCAGCCGATAACCTATGCCTTGGCGGTCACATCTCACTAGCTTGGGCATTGATAGGTCGTGGGCTTGCATATGATCGGCCTTGGGTGCGATGAGATGCTCCAGGGCTTTGGCGTGGCCATGAAAATGGGTGCTACCAAGGTACATGGATGCTCGACAGCGCGCTGAAGCATGTGCATCGAGAGCTCGGTGCTTTTTGTGATGGGAAACTCTGGGTGTTTGTGTCTCTGGCCTGTTGCCTCATCCGGTGCCTCTGCCACGTACCCTTTCCTCGTGTAGGCTCAATTTGATTCTTGTGTCGCCATTCATCCTACGTCTTCGGAGGAGCTGGTCACCATGCGATGAGCACCTAGCGTATCTGGGATTTGAGATTCCTTCTCCCTTTGATCGTCGCTGTTTTATAAGAGTTGAAAGTCGCACGTGTGTTTTCAAACTTGGGATGTATCGCTGCTAGTGAACAGTTTGATCAATTTTTGACAGCCAAAACAACCCATAGGGGTTTAAAACACTCGCAGGACAAGGTACTGGTGGACCTTTTGTCTTGAAAAGGCATACATAGTCAGGTAAACACGCGCAAGAAACGACAGCACATCATCGAGACACAAATATCGGAGCATCGCACAGCGACTCTTTCGATGTTTACACAACAGAGAAGTTCAAATCGGGCAAAATTACAAAACAAATCCCAAAAAGTAACCAACACAAACGGGATTCTTGAATGCTGTGGCCTCAACCACAAGCGTTGCTTGGACCAAGGTATGCTGGCCAAAGAGCCTCGGCAATGAACCAAGGTAAAAGCATCGGGGAAGGGAAGGAGAGCAACGACGGGTAACAAGGGCACCTGGCCAACAGGCTGAGCATATGATTAGACATCTGTCATCATCATTGAGGCGTCGGGGGCAGCTTCATAAAGGTCACTTCCAAACGATCCGTGGGAGGCATGTGCAGCAGATGCCGCACGCGTTGCGCCAATTTGGGCGTAGGCATCTGTGCACGGACAAGAAAAAGGAGCGGGACAAGAAAAAGGAGCGGCCCAAGCCGCAGAGGTGAGGAAACACAAGTTTGAGGCGCGTGGAAACGAGGACAATCAAACCAAAAACTGATCTTGGGGTGCGATTATACCGCCATCAGTCTGCGCGGCGTTTGCTTGACCATAGGTCTGGTGATTACTTTGTAACGTAGCATAGTCTGGACATAGCGGTGGCAAATTCTATGAGTTGCGGGCCGAGTGGCATGATATCATTTCGCCCCTCTCTTCGCGAGCTCGCACGCTGTACTGCGTTGATTGCAATGACCCAACGAACCCAGTCGAGGCATTTCGTAAGCGGAATCAGCCCACGCCGGCGCATTTTTGGTTACAGCAGCATCAGATGTTGGGGCTGCGTATAGGTGGTGCCCCGCTGCAGGGGTGGCTGCAATACTGTATGCGCTCGGGAGTGCCGAGCGTGCTTCAGTCACGGCGTAGCCATAGGCGTCAAGGCCAGTCTGCGGCACCTGTGACGGCGAAGCATAGCTATAGGCAGACAAATCTGGGCCAACAGTATGTTGTGGGTTGAGGCTCATCCCGGGGTGAACCCCATCATTACTCTGCGCCGCCCACTGGTTGACCCTACACGCACGTGACAAGCAGTAAGCAAAGGGCCCAGAGCTGCTCAAGAAGCGGCGGATGACAGCAGCTGTCGCTCTGCTGTCGTGATCCTCTGACGCACCTGAGCACGCTGAGCTGGTCGTTAGCCTCGGCAATGGCTGCCGGCGTCATGTCATTTTGCAAAAGGTCACGGCCCTGTAGTTCACGACGAAGGAGGGCGTGAGCAAGAAGCGAGCCTTGGTTCGAAAGCAAGCCAAGCAAGCGATGTACTATACCTTTTTAGGGCCTGGTCGACGGGGTCGGCGTTGGCGCAGCCAAAGCACCAGCAGCACCGCCAGCAAGAGCACACCTCCAGCTGCGCCAGCCGCAATGGGTACCAGTGAAGATGCATTTGAGGATGAGGATATCGAGTCCGGCGCCAGCGTTGTGGTCACTGAGTACGTTGGTGAGGTGTTTGGCGCCGCGGGGGTCGTTGTTGTTTCAGAAAGTGTGCTCGCACTGGTTGATGTGGCAGTGGACGTGCCGACAGTGGTGGTGATGGTGGGGGGCTCAGCTATGAGCGGCAGGGGTGCATCCACGTCCTGGATACCTATCCAGATTGGTGAGGACGGTTTGACCCAGGGCGGCTGTTCAAAGCGCCGGGCACAGGACACGCCTAAAAGCAAGTAGGCTCGGGGCCATGGTAGGCCATGAAAGCTGACATTGTACACAAATGTACTCGTTACCATGTCACCGTTCACAGCAACAGAGGCTGATACATTGGGAACACGCCGCAGGGTCAAGCGTTGTGGCGCCGACGCACCACAACCAAACGTAGGTGCGCTGGTCCCTGGTCGCCAGGCAGAGTAGGGATCCAGGGGCTGAAGAAGTATATCACACGCGCTAAACCCAAAGTAGGACAAGGTCAATGCGTCACGTTTCGCCTCGGAGACGTTGACGGCCTCCGTCGCGTTCAGCTTGAGCGTGATGGTGGACCAAGCAGAAGCATTGACAAAGTAGCCCGCGGTCAGGTCCGGGAAGGATGGGTCAACAGGTACGCCCAAAGCTGCTAGAGCTTGAGGACTGATCCCATCGTGACGGATCAAGTCCAATTGTACGGGCCGGGCCAAGCCGCCATATAACTCGTGAATCAGATTGACATTTGTGGCTGCCTCCCCACTTTCGCTGTACAGAAGCAGAGTGGCTTCGTCAAACTTCACGGTACCGAATTGAAGCTCATTGATCCGCCAAAGGCCGGGTGCCAGGCCATTGGTTAAGGAATCGAGTGGAATCGTCACGGTATGGACGCCTAGATATCCCGCGCACGTGTCATCATCTCCCTGGGCAATGCCTGACCAGTCGCAATGAGCACCTGAAGAGCTTCCAAGCCACACCCACGCACACCATTCTGGAAACGACAGATGGCATACGCGAATTTGTGCGCGCAAAGCCCGTGGTGCAAAGCCCAACACTCGGACGCGCACAGTCTGTCTGTGCAACCCCAAGGGCGTCACATCGACGGACAGAAGTTGGGGCGCATAGTTTCGGCTCATGACCACCAGTGTCGCGGCGTCGTCTTGAAGCGATTGGTTGTGCCACGTGAGGCCAAAGACCCCAGATGGAGACCAGGATCCATCTGGAGTACGACATTCCAAGCCATGGAAGAACAGTCTAGCGGTTGTTGAGTCTGCAAAAAACCGAAAATTTGACCTTCCACGCAGTTGCAGCCGGGTGCCGTTTTGACGCAGCACATCCGTATCCAACGCAATCCACGTGATTGACTCAGTCGCAGCTCCAGGTTTCTGAGCCAGGGCGGCACGGCAGTCGGGTCGGCGCGCAAAATCCGAGGGGGTATCCACCTCAAACAGCACTCGAAGCTGGACAACACCGCCTGATTGTGACTTGGCGGGCATAAAGTGCGCGGACAAGATGCGCGGGGGTAAAAATGGCAAGGCCCGACCGGCTCGCGTCGGAGAGGCCAGCGGAGGGCACGTTGGGGCCGCCAGCTCTGCCCACAAACCCGCCTCGGTCAGATCATCGGGATGCCAGCCCGGGGCGTTTTGGGGAACTTCGGGCTGCTGCTTATGTACAAAGCTTGGGACGTTCTCCGGCGGAAGGTCTTGACCATACGTGCGGGTCTCCAGACGCCATAGCAGACGTCGAACGCGGTGGCTGTGCAGAGGTTGCGGCGATATCACCGAGGCCAGCATCGGGGCAATGGCGCTGGCGTCGAGTACCCAGACGTCCCTTGCCGCTGTGACAGGTTTCAGCGCCACGTTGAAATAGCCGGGCACAACCTCGTTTGCACCTTCAGTGTTCCCTTGAATTTCTACGATTGCAACAACGGCATCGACGGAGCCACTAAACACGAGCTGCATTGATGCACTCGAGTTGTCAGAGAAGCTGGTGTCCTTGACAAAAACCACGCTCTCAGACGACACGTCCGTGTGCATCGTGGGAGCGGTTACTGGCACGCTCGCGCGGACAACGCGCTCCCGTCCTCGCATAACGCACTCGAGTAGACCTTCAGTTGGCAGGGCCTCCATTGCAAGGTGCCAGCCCTCAACGGCACGCGCCCCATTATGCACGGGACGTAGGTCAAGTAGATCAGGCAAGCCCCCCGTAAAGTTGAAAGTGCATCTTCCAATGAGCCCATGGTCAAAATCACCCAGGGTGAGTTCGAAATGCCACAGTGGGATATGATTGATGGTGGTGCTGGTAAGGTTCAGCGCTGCCTCGTCCAAACGCATGGGGACAAGCGCGGCATTAAGGCTCAGAGTGTTGGTCGCCGCCCATCGACCCCAGCTCGTCATGCAAGCAATTTGACCATATAGGGTATTGGGAATGCGTGCGTCGGCAACGGCAGTACCCGCATGAGCCAAACTCCACGTGAAATTCCAGCGCGCGTTGCTCAACGCCACCAAAGTCACTGGACGATACTCATCAAAAGCCATCTCTTCGAACAAAAAGGAACAGCCTTCCAGCTGCTCGCCCTCAGCCAAGTTCAGGGTAAAGGCAACCGTGAATGTCTGCATGCCCGACTTTGAGACCTCCTGAATCCATTCAAGCTGAAGGTCTGGGGGCAAGAGCGTGGTGCCGACGAAGGAACCAAGCTGAGCCAGAGCTTGTCGCGTTTGCATGACAGGGTCAGCATAGGCATTGTAACACTGCGTCAGAAAGAGCCCCGAGGTTGCTGACGCCAACTGCTCCATCCCCATCGGAAAGGGCTGAACCCCTATGCATCCAGTTCAATGTCAGCACAACAGCTCGAGCACGAAGAGGAGACTGCGTCATAGAGCATGCGCGCAAGCAAGGGAGTACGAGAGCAACGTACCAAGAACGGCGTCGTGGGACATCAACCTTGGCCAAACAGGCACGAGTGACAAATGAATCTCGCCCTGGGCCAGGCGTGGGCGAGGCAGCGTTGCATAGAGGGCCGACTGCGATTCGTTGTGTCGAAGGAGGAGTGCCGGCACGTTGATGGTCAGGACGGGCATGCCGTTGGAACTGCTCACGTCCAGTGCTTGGGTACACGCTTGCAAACCCTCTCCTTCTAGCTCGGTCACAAGTGTCATGGTCTTGGCAGGCGCTAGCAGCTCCATGCCCGCAGCATGCACACGACCCAGATCCTACCAGGAGCAGCGTGAGTTTGAACAACGGCTAAAAAAGCGCCCAGACACCTTCGAGCGACATCCTTCATGTCACCAAGGTGGACCCACCTCAATCCTTACGAGCGAGTCATTGTGGCTCACGCTGGCCAAGTCAGCGCGCGTGAAAGAAACGGTGCGTTGCCAACCCTGGCATTCAAGGTGGTCGATCACAAAGTAGGAGCCAACCTGTGGGTTTGTGAGAGCAAAGCGTCAGTTGGGCTCGAGTCTCAGAACCAAGGACCTGATAACCTTACCCGCATCTTAAAAACGATTGTGACTGGCTGACCCTGAGCGTGCACAGGCACTGTCACGCGGCTAGTCTGAGCAGCGCCGCCTTGGAGGACAAAGTAGACCAGAGTACAGGATTGTAAATGGGAACCCGCGTCTTTGAGGGCAACCTTCAACACGAGCTGAGACCACGAGGCCAGATTGAGGCTTGTATTGAGCAAAGTGACAGATGGCTGCGTCACAGGGTAGACCGTGCCCAGCTGAACCCAGTCAGCAAGCGCTGCATTGAAATCAGTAGGCCCATCGATAAACGCAATTTCCGTCAGGTTCCAAGTCAAGCCGGTCTCAAGGAGAAAAGCAGGGAATTGCCACGCCAACAAGGTTTGGACGGTGGAATTGAGTACGACAACGCTTGAAAGGCTGGTCCGCCCAGCCGACTGAGACAGGAGGTGAGAGCATCACGTTGATGTGAGGGAAATGGTAACGCAGGATCAGAGCAGGCCAGAAATAGACAGAGATAAAAGGCAAGGTGGCATAACCGAGTGGCAAATTGTTCTGGCCTAATTGGAACTTACATGAGCCAAACTCAGACGGCGCGCGCTCATATTGAAAGCCTGCGCGTGCACAGCAAGACAGACAGTGATCATTAAAAATGAAATTTCCCAGTCATCAAGCGCACGGCAAAAAGGCACGCAGGAGGGAACACACGAGGAGCGAGGGCTGGACAAAGTGTCCACCATTTCAGCCCACAAAGGCAGCATGCAGGACAAGCACGAACCTCAAAAGGGACTATCCCATCCGTGGTCAAGACGGCCATGACGTGCGCGACGCCACAGGCCCAGGAGGTAGCGAAGCCCACTTCAATGTCACCGTTGTTCATACTGTCGTAATATATAAAGCTTGGGCGGGGTTCAATGAGTGCTGTGATAGCAGACATGTTTTCAAAGGTCGCAGACGTTTCAAGGGTAAGATTGCTTCCAACAGCACTGAGGTTGCAGCGGGAGATGGTCCAAGTCACTCGAGGAATCTGCTTTGAACAGGTGCGCAGGCTCAGTACCAGCCAGTTGGAAAGGCCATCAGCAAGTGAAAAATCAAGGTTCGTACTGGTGCGGCCGTTCGCCGCGGCGAGGGCCACACAAAGACCGGAAGCCGCGATGTTGGTGCGGAGTCGGGAGCGGATGTCTGTCGCTTGACCGTGTGCATCGAGTAACAGCTCCGACTCGACACGGGCTTGCAAACTTGGCTGTGTGACTTGAATAAAATTACCAGTAAGTGGCAAGGTCACGCGTTGGTTGCGCAAGTCAATGCAAATCACTTGGGACAGGTTGTAGCTTCCTTGGTCGGCGCCAGGGTAGAGATACAGCTGACCATGCAAGCTGCCGACCCGTGTTGGCAACAGCAAAACTTCATATTCTGCAAAAGAAGAGACAAAAGTGGCATTGCAGTAGGAGAAAAAGCTGTCAAAGTTTGAGTAGGTCACGGTGATGGAAATGGGTTCTTCCTTGTTAGTCACGGCAATTGCGGCCGGATTCAGCACCACATCGGCAATGACGTCGTTCTCTTGAGCGTCAGATTCAGGACAAGTGGTGTTTATGGGAAAGGCTGTGGCTCCGTCTTGCACAAGTCGCCAGGCGGGGAAGATGCTCATAACGCCTATTGAATACTCTCTGATTACAATCTCCTTGAGCATCAAGAGAGAGTGGCTTTTCACTCTGCGCGGGCACGGGCGTCTCGCGTCAGCAACAAGGCAATCCAAAGGCATTTGAAGGGGTTGGATGACAAGGACCAAACGTACAAGGGAAAGGTGAGGTTCAAACGCTCAGGTGTGGGGATGGCCCCGGACATGTTGTGTGAAAGCGTGATGTTCAAGTCTAACTGCGCTAGAGGAGCCAATACAATATCCAAGTCCCACGCTCCGGCTAAAAGTGGGGAAGGCCCAGAGGCCAAAGGAAAAAAAAGAAAGGGGCATGAGAGAATTCAGAAAAATGCGCAAAGTAGCACAAGGTATCATTCTTGACTGCATGCAAGACTGTGCTGCTGTATTTGCTTACTCAAGGGCGTCCAAATTTCTATTTCCAGTAAAAGCTGGCCGTCTTCACACTCCACTCCATTGTCCCACAGACGAAGGTCGGAGACGTGAGCGAGGGGCCGTATTGATGGAAGGAATGGCTTGAAATAAAACCAAGAATCGGCGTTGGGATGGGGTTCAGCGAAAATATTGTGTGTTACAGAGTAAGTGCTGGTCAGCTGGAACTTGAACCAGGCTGGCGCGTAGTAATTTGCACTCAACCCGAGCAAGTCCGCGCCCATTCGAAGAGTGCAACGCGTCTGGTTGGTTCCCGAGATTGGCTATTGGCAAAAAGGTGGACCATCGCATTGAAGCCATGGATGTGGGTCAAGGGTTGGCGTGCAAGCTCAATCTTCCGGACCATCAACGCGGACGACGGTCAAAACCGAGGAGATATCAGGGCAACAAGTGATGCGCCCGCATCATCATTATCAACAATATCGTTGTTTCCTAAACACATACTTGAATTTTGAGAGGAAAAGCCCGCAATTCGTTGTTGTCCATGTGTTCGGCCAGAAAGGTTGGAAATTGTTCAGCTGCAAGCAGGGCAAGAGTGGCTGCCTGAAGCGCAACTGCAGATTCTATCACCACCTTGATCCCCCAAGGCGATTGACCGATAACATATCATGTAAGCCAAAGTGATCATGCATTAGTTTTGAAAGTGCATGTAGATACAATGACTGAAGTAAGACGCACCTCAAGATCATAGCTATCCGCGCGCTCATCCTCATGTCGCACGGGTACCGTTGTGTAACTGGCAGAGGGGACGAGAAGCAAAGGGAGAGGCGTTTCCATCAACAAGAAACACACCAGACAAGAGGTTTGAGCATGTCAACCGAACAACAAACAAGAAAATAAGCAGTCTTTGTGCAGAACGCAATCTGCACGTGCCAGACACATACTTGACAATGCGGTAGCTGGCGCTATAAAAGGCAGGCGGCAACAAAGTTTTGTTTCCTTCGATAAAAATCTGAGCCAACAATGAAAGCTTGAGCTGATTCGAAATCTCACGAATGGTCCAGATTCGGGTTGTCAGGATGCAAGCCTACCGTGTTGCCGGCAAAGTTTGTGCATGCGACATCATTCAAAAGCCACGGCCTGTTGCTAAGTACTGGGATGTGCACAGAAGCTATGCCTTCAAATCGGTTGGACCAAAGAACCATCGAATATTTTTGTGTCTGCCCAGATGTTAGGGAAACCGTGGCGGTACAACTTGCCATGCCGCTGTGATTATCCTGGTATGAAACCATGACTTCAAGTGGCAGCGACCAGGATGACGTGTTCAGGCTTGGCTGGACCCACTCCAAGATGGGCGTGCTGTGCGTCACATCAGAGCTGTAGCTGAGGTCAAAGGCGGCAGCCGTTGCACCGTGCAGCTCATGTGTGGTGTTAGCAAAATCTCGACATTGCTGAACTACAACGCGAAGCCGACCGTTGGCACGCCGGAAACCTGGTACACGCAGGGCGTGCCAGACATGCAAGCGCCTTGCAAACTTTGCATCGGGCCAAAGGTGTGCCGTCGACATGTTGAGCGTGACCATGGCCTCATCCACGGTCTGCATTCCATCGACTGATGTGATTTGCCAGTGCAAGGTGCAGTCCACCAGCTTGGTGTCCCCAATGTTGAGGACTAGCGTGATGGGGCGAGTGACAAAGGGCTTGCGCCCTAAGAAAAGGGGGCTGGGATCGACCAGAATTTCAAGCAACTCAATGTTGCCAGTCGAGGGGCCCTTGGTTGACATCACAGTATTTGTGATGCGGAATGGTTCTGCAAGAAGATAGAGGAAGCACACGTAGATGCGAGTAAGATACGATGTTGAGGAGGCGGAAACGCCAACAGCGCCTTCTTGTGTGGGCCATGCTTACCGGCGCTGCTTTTGGCTTGATCTGCGCACCTGACTGTGTACTCCTATCAAACGCATTGAGGAGGGCATGAGGTCAAGAAGCGAGTTGAGAGCTGAAATGACAAAGTGGGTCAGCAAAAAGTCAAAGCAAAGTGGGTTAAAAAAAGCTTCAGGTCAAGGAAGTAACATGCTGGCCACGCACAAGCCTCAAGTGACGGCGCTAAGCCCAACTTGGGACTCTTGGGGAGCACAAAGAACCGACCTACCTCTGGGAAGCAAGCGTCGAGGTCATAGGGATCATACCAACGACCAAGAAGAACTTGATAGACAAAGGCGTCACCATGAGGTGTGGCCGTGTGCGATGCAGTGATGGGCAGCAATGTTCCGAGCCCACAGCGGGGGCTGGCCACGGTGCAGTTCATGTGCAAATGTTGGTCATCGTAGACGGCAACGGTCAGGTAGAGCACCTGGGTTGTGGAAAGGTCTAGGAACGCAGGACTGGCAACGGCGCTGGTAATCAAAGGGTGGTATTGGTCCTCTTCAGACGCAGCATCGTTGGTCACATTCCCTTGGTGCACACGACAACCCACGTCGGGCGAGCACGTGACCTTCACACCGATTCGGCCCAGGGGCAAGAGCGGCGGGTAGCCGATTGACCACATCATGGCGTCTAAATGACCTCGAAATGATAGTGAGGTTGCCGCAGTCCAGCTCGTGCGCGGAATCAGAGTGATGCTGGCGTTTGACTGGGTTGACACAACTACTTGGCGCTCAGGCCGGGGTGGCAAGAGGAGCTCGATGTTGCAGAAGCTGTCCACATTATCCCGGTCATTGGTTGTAGAGATGGCCACGACGCCCGAGCTCAAACTACTAGAGTTGGGCAGCGAGGGTGGAGCAACCGAGGCATCACACCCTTGCCCTCGGACGCCGTGCAGACCAAGGGCAAGCACGACAAAGCAGGCAAGGAGCACCCGCGCCATGTGGGCCATCCCTCGGCCAAGGAGTACAACCACAAGTCTGCGCCTCAAAAACACCAACCCATGACGGGCGTGGCGCGCGCATGCAACCCTGCTACCCACAGATGCCCATACACGACCGTGCACACAGATCAACAAGGCGCGGCGCAGGAAGAAACGGCTCGCACGAGGAAATGGGAGAGCAGCACAGAGAGAGAGAGAGAGAGAGAGAGAGAGAGAGAGAGAGAGAGAGAGAGAGAGAGAGAGAGAGAGAGAGAGAGAGAGAGAGAGAGAGAAGTAAAGAGCAAAGACACAAAGGAAAAGTACAACGCACACCAGAGTCCTCCTATGATGCTGACAGATGATGCTGACAATGAAGAGAGAGGAGAGAGTGTGTGTGTGTGAACAGGAAAACATCATGTGGTGGTGACATGAAAAAAAAAAGGGTGTGAGGCGAGATGTTAGGGGCTTGCAAACACGAAAAGGAGGAGCAGTTGCATGATCAAGATTATTTTTTTTGGGAGAGGGTATTCAATTATCGTTCAGGGGCGCACGACCAAAACGACAATGATCACCCGACACCAAAGCCATCGAGTTGGGGAAACACGAAAGGCAGTATTAGGCAGGCAAGCAAAAGACATGGATTGAATGGTCACCTCTGAGTTGCGGCGGGAGTGTGAGTGTCACCTCTTAGTTGCGGCTGGAGTGTGAGGTATTCATGGGCGCGTCCGGCACGACGTGATCATGAGGCAAATCATCCTTGAAGGGGTAATCCGGGTGCATGGCCGTCGCATCCCACAACAGGTGGCGCCAGCCCATGTTCATGTCCGAAAGCACCTGGAAGACGAGACGTCCAGTGTTCAACATCAAAAGACAAAGCGTGAAAATGCGTGGCAACACACCAACGATGCTTCCGCAAAGTACGCAAAGCAAAAACAACCACAACCAAAAGCGGGATAGCAGGCACGTACTGCCATGTCTTCAGGGGTGAGCTCAAAGTCAAAGACCTGGAAGTTGGACTCAATGCGGGCCGGGGTCACCGACTTGGGGCAGGCGGCCGTGCCACGCTGAATGTGCCAGCGCAGCACAACTTGAGCCGTGGTCTTGTTGCCATGACGGGCACCAATTTCCTTCAGGCGAGGATCCTGAACAAGCGAACCGACCAAAGGTCAAACAAAGGCAGACGGCGGGAAAGAAGAGGGAGAACAAGACAACTGCGAGCAGGTCAACCAAGGCACTACCGACCTCAAGCAATTCGGGTTCGCCGGGCTGCGCCCAGGGGCGATCATAGGAGCCCAGGGGCGAGTAGGACTACGTTGCAAAGCGGAATGTCATCACGCATCAGAGTTGAAAAGCGCCACAAGTCGGGTGAGGAGGACAGCACAAAAGTGGGCTGTGCAAGGCGGACACATACTTGGAATTGAACGCCCGTACGCTGGCAAAAATCAATCAGATCCTTGTTTTGAAGGTATGGGTGACATTCATTTTGAAGGATGGTGGGCTGGTACTTTCGGGCAGCCGCCTGCACCTCGGCCACTTGACGGCGATTGAAGTTTGACAAGCCAATGGTGCTATTCATGGTCAGGCATTGCGTCAGTAGTGTCAGTAGTGAACACAAGTCAGGTAGCTCGGAACGCACACCGTGCAAAAAAGGAGGTATTTGGAAAAAAAAAAAAAAAAAAAAAAAAAAAAAAGAAAAAAAAGGGGAGGGGTGGAGACCATGTTGGCGCGCCCTACCGCACGAGGCCGGCATCCACGAGCTCTTCCATGGCGTGCCAGGTGTCCACGTAGTGCGACTCGTTGTCACTGCTGTATTTGCCGTCGGCCTCGATGGGAAACATGGTGCCTATAATCATGGCAACGGGTGGTTGTCGGTTGTCAAACAAGTTAGCATGACGTTTGCCTCGCTGTAATAGCCCGAGGGTGCATCTGGCAGCAGTGCTGGCGTTTGGCGGCTTTGAAAACGGATGCATCTACCTTGTTCCTTGGGAGCAGGCTCGTTGGTACCGTCAATCACGCGAAGGGTGTTGTCGGCGGGACAAGCCTGTTTTGGCCGCCCGGGATGAGAGCTCCCCAAGCCCTGACATGGGTTCATGAGGTATGCGCGTATCACACACCTGAGGCCAGTGGATGACAAAGGAGTCGACATAATCGGTCTGGAGGTCACGAAGAGTGGCCTCGAGATCGGCTCGCACATGTTCAGGGCGATGGTTTGAGTTCCACAACTTGCTCTACCAAAAAGCACAAGCCGCGTGATGACACAATCAACACAAAAATTTGCGGCGGCTTGGCGTTTCCACGAAGAAGCAGAAAGACCTTGACACACCTGGATGAAAATGTCCGAGCGCTTGAGATCACCCTTGGCAAAGACGTCCTGCAGAGCTTCGCCAATCTCCGCCTCCTAAAGCAAGCCCACCCGGGGCGAAATGAGACGATGTCATCAAGAAGCGCCATGAACAACGAGTAAGAAGGATGAGGCATTATCAATATGTTTGATATGCATAAGACAGACGTTGGCATAGTCGTTGGCAGTGTCCAAGCAACGGTAGCCGCTCTCGAGGGCCACCTGTGCGCAAGGAACAGTCGACATGCGTTCAGTGAGCCGAGGCAGACCAAGGCAGATGGCGGGCAGCGAAACGAGGGGTGAACCAACCTTGACAGCTGCACCCGTCTTGCCAAGCGGGGATTTCCAGGTCCCTTGAAGATCAGACCCAGGTCAGAGAGAGTGGGATGAGCAAAGCGCAGCGAAGGACTTGGTGCCCACGTTTGACCAAAAAGTGTCTTTGCAACGCATCCAGCAACAGGGGGCAACTCAACACCACATGGTCCTACCAAGGCCGATCACAGGCATCTCCACACCATCACTCAAGGTAGTCCAGCCTTCCTTAGCACCTCTATCCGGCCGAACGGAGCAAATAAGGATGCCGTTTGCACAAAACCCCACCAACCGCGCAAAGTGTGTGAAATCAAGGATCTCGCGATCTCGCCCAAATCACAAACAAAACAAAGGCATTCAAACACGTTGGCAGACTGCCGGCGATTCAACGCACGTGCTGTAGGCCAAACGACTGGCTGGTGCCAGTTGCGCAAACACGCGCACTGCAGCCGCACCGCGCCCAGAAACCAGAGCCAAGGCCATCTTTTGTCGGCACAAGTAGAGCAATCACACACTAAAACAAGAATACCCGGAGCCAAGAACCGCATGAGCATCAAGCAGCGTCGCAAAAAGACCTTCAAGAGCGCAATCCATCTTTCAAAACTGCCCACCGTCGCCTCATATTCCCAATCGCTTTGCGTGGCCCTCCCCGATCCCCACGCACGGCCTTCCCGCGCGCGGCCTTTCCGTCCCCGTCCGCTTTCACCACTGACCGCCGTTGATTCAAACACAACAAACCAAGAGAAAACAATAAAAAAAAAAATGAAAATAAAGACCACAAACGCACAGGCACGGATCCTGGAATTCAAAATTACCACAAGTAAGAGACATATCAACCAATAGCGGTTAGCGTGGTATTCATCGGGGAAACCAACAGTGAAGGGGGTTGAGGTGCGATTGTCCCAGCAGTGTGGGCCGTAAACGACTCTGATCGCATTCACCGTGGCCGACTTGGTGGTGCAGGGATGGAGACGGCAAAAGCCGCGAGTGCCAATTTGATTTGGGTGGCAATTTTGCCGAACGAACCAGAGAAATGCAAAGCGAAGAGCAGAATTGGTTGGCTTTCTGCCGTCCTGGCCTGTCAATCTCAATTGCAAGGGGCCTGGCAATTCTATCGGTATGGTCGGTTGGGCAGGTTAACAGTGCCGCCCGTAATCGCGGGCCGATCGTCGGCAAAGAGGGCAGGCGTGTCCATCTCCAGGAAGCGCTTCTCCCAGCCAACCTCGGCCTGAGCCACACGGTCCAGCTAGCAAGACAACAACACCACGGTGAGGTTTCTCAGTCAAAGCCAACGCGACGAGAGAGAGAGAGAGAGAGGAAGAGAAGGTAGCTCAGGCCACAAGTAAGAGCACTATTGGGAAGAACGGTAGAAGCACACGGTCAAGTGTCGTACCACGCGCTGCGATGCGAGGCGAGAAGCCTCGCGACTCTGAGCCTGCTGCGCTTCATCAAGGGCCGCGGGCATGGATCCTAGTTGAGTCTGCACACCACAAAAGGCACACGCACACAACAAACACACCAACAAACACACGCGAAGATGGTGAGTGTGAGTCAGGCCTCGAGAAACACGATCAAGCATGCTACGCATCAACCTACCAAGACTAGAGTTTGACGCGCCATGAGCGCCTCGTTGTAAGCTACCGCCTTCTCAGCATAGCCCAGCAGGATCGCTTCTGACACGAGGTCGTGTGCCACCGCGTTGAGGGCTGCATAGCGCCAAACAGCATGTTGGCCACACTCGTGCCGCCGACGCGTACACTTTTGCACACGATGAAAGTCAGACCCGTCTGGGTCTGATACGACCCCCAGCTCAGCCAGCTGCACTTCCAAAGGTTGCAAAGGGTAGCCGCAAATTGCATCTCCCGGCTCACGACGCTATTTGAGCCATTGGTAGCATTGCCCGATCCACTGGCGTGAGGCTGCACTCTGAGTTGGAAACCAAAAGCAGGTCATGGAGCTTACCAGCAAGTCTCGCCCAGCGCCATGCTCTACACACTGTGCATACAAGCGTCGACAAAATCCTTGACGCTGCAACCACCACACAGTTCAAGGTCAGCACAAGACAAACTCGGTGCGAGCAGGACAAGTGCCACTTATGCCGCGTCATGAGAACAGAAAGACGACAAAAGAATCGCAGCGTCAACGTACTCGAATTTTAAAGTTGCAGTAAGCTTTGATCGGACAGCCCGGCAGCACCATCTCGTGCGCAGCCGAGACAGTAAAGCTCTTCTCAATCTGAGACCCAGGCAAAACATGGTCATCCACGTCAGCAACATGGGGAACTGCACGTCTCTGAGTCTCCCAGATATCAAAAACGCGCGAGCCACGGGTTTTAGCTTACAGTTTGAAAGCACTTGAGCAGATGGCCCGGTAGCTCTGACAGCGCTAGCTCCCGAGAGCAACTGGGGCATTGGAATGTCCCGTCGTCAAACACCTCGGCTTCCATCGACGCTGAAGCATGTAGGCGCACAAGCATGAGAACTTTGCACAAGGATAGCTTACTGTGTTAGTGATAAAGGGAACGAAGAAGAACAAGAAGAACAAGAACAAGACTAAGAAGAACAAGAAAGCTTACCTTCTTCTGGTAGTTCATGGCGTGATTGAAGGGCGACAAATTCAATATATGCCTCCAAACGTTGGTAGATCCCATGCTTGGTAGCCACGGCCTCACGGTGACCCTTGACGTCCTAAGAGCAGGTAGCGCAACATTGACCACCACGACGTCAATGATGGCGAGACGCATGCAAGCCTGTGATAAGCTGTGACTCAAGCATGGAGCATGCACCCACCTCCCGGGCTTGGGCCAAAGCGCGTCGCTGCTCGCGGGTGGCACATGTGTCTGGCGGCGCACTGGTGCAGCGCAGCAGCATCGGCAGATGTGCTGCGTTGGCAGCCAGGCCACAAGTGTGACAGCAATACCCAGAACCGGGTCGCGCCTCTCGCTCACATTCAGCTCGCCGACAAAGGCGCTTGGTGCTTGCCGAAGAAGGTGGGGGAGTTGAGTCTTCTGTCCTGAGGGTCGCCACGGGTGACGCGCTCGTCGCATGCGCGTCTGAACCACGCCGAGATGCGGTCTTGACGCGTCTACAACAACGCCCAGGCAGGCAGGTTGATTCAACAGGAACTGACGCTGCGCACAACAACCAAGCACGAAGGGAAAGGCGAGAGGCAGCTGGGCGAAAGGCATACTTGGCGGAAGGCACATCCCGTTTCGGTAATGTTGGAGGGGATTGTGCCAGTTGGCGCATGCGCAAAGCCTCGGTGCGGGATACCTCCGAGCCCGAGCTACTGGCATTATCATCTTGCTCAGGGGCGGGTGCACACGTGGGGCATGTAAAACTATTGGCAGCTTCCACCGTGTCTTGATCGGTGTGCACACACTCGGGATGAAACCAGCCTTCACAGATGTCACATTGTCTAGAAAGGCAGGCAATGACATGATAAGCTTGGCAGAGCCATTGTCGGGATAATTGCACAGGCGCCGCGCGAAAGAATGGGCAAAGGTTCAAACTTACACCATGAAAGAGCCGTCATAGGGTCGACGGCAAACGCAAAAGAGATCGCCATCCTGACCCGGGGTAGCCGTGGCACCCGTGGAGGCCATCCGCCTTGGTTCCGATGACCCGGACGTGCGCACGGTGGGCTCGTGGGGCGCCGAAGAGCTCGGCACGTCAGTGGTCTCGCGGGCAACTGCGGTCGGCAATTGCTGAGGCGATGCCACCGGCGATGGTGATGATACGTCCATGGCATCATCGTCTTGGGTCTGACCTTGAGCCGGGGTAGCGGGTGGCGAGGAACGGCCCAGATTGGTGGTTGAAGTCTGGGTGCTTGCTAAAGGCCCACCATGTACTTTGGGTGTAGGGCGGTCACTTGAAAGTGGAGGTTGCTCTGCGGACGTTGTCAAAGCAGCCAACGCGGTCTTGGGCCCGACCTCGTCCATGCGCTGGCTCGAAGCTGAGGTAGGACGGGCCGTTGGGGGCGACTTTGCACGCTTTGCATCGGGCTGGGATTGATCAACAGGCTTGGCCCGGGGGACAGAGGAGGAGGAGGTGGAGGAGGAGGTGGTGGTGGCGACTTTGTGGAGCTCTGTGGCGGCGGTGGGTGCTAGGTGCTCGGTTTTGGGGCCGGCGCTAGAAACGTGTGACGGGTTTGGTGACGGACTTGCTGTGGACTGCGAGGTAGATGCTGTGGCTTGCTCAAAAGACTGCGCGCTTGGTTTGGTGATGGGCGTGGCGACCTGAACGGGCTTTGGCGAGCTAGGGGGCTCTTGCGTCGCTGCAAGAACAGAGTCAGAGTCGGGCTGCTTTTGTGTTGGCAAAGATGGTGGTTGCGCAGTGGTTTTGACTTCCGAGGCAGGGCGCACGTTGCTAGTGGGGTCGGGCAAAGTCAGATCTTGCACCATTGACATGGCTTGAGACTTGCTGACAGCCACGGGCTCAACCTTAATCTGGGGCTGTGGGGAGGAACTGGGACCGGGCTTAGATTCAGGCTGTCGCGGGGCTTCGGATCTGGCTGTCGGCTCTGGCTTGGCCTGCTGCGAGCGTTGGAGCTCGGGTTTGGACGGGCGTTGTACCTGGGACACGGTTGGCTGTGTCTCGTGAGCAGGGCCTGCAGGAGCCGGTTGAGTGAGACCCGCCTCTGATGTTGAGTGCAACAGCTTTGATGGCTTGGCCGGTTGGGTGCTGGGCTTGTGTGGCTCTTTGGTGATGGCCGTGTTGTCGGCCGTGTTGTCGGCCGTGTTGTCGGCCGTGTTGTCGGCCGTGTTGTCGGCGGGCGCAGCAGTGAGGGCATTAAGGGGCGGGGAACTAGGGTCGGCTGTCAAAGGTGCTGAATCTCGAGGCTTGGGGAGCACAACAGGCGAAGGAGGTTGCTTGGCGGCCGGTGCGGGTTCCCCCTTTGAAGCCAAATTGGTGTTCAGGTTGTCGGGCATTTTCTTGGCTGTAGCGCCGGTGGGCTTTGGGGGCTGTTTGGCGGGTTTGGCGGTCTTGGTCGCTCGGGAATGCTGTGGACCCTTGGAGGCTGCTTTTGTTGCTTTTGTTGCTTTTGTTGTTTTTGCTGTCGAGGGGTTTGAGGTTGCTCCGAGGTCATTATCAGCGTAAGCAGCTGGCGCGAGAGGGCGTGCGGCCGCGGATGGTGGCCCCGCTGGCGTCGGGTCTGGTGTTGCAATGCGCCGGCCATGGTCATCGGGGGATACGGGTCGTCTGTAGTCTGGATGATCGTCCATCCGAGCCCGGCGACCTTCCTTGTCGTCGCTGGAGCCATCGTCGTCTTCGTCCATGCTCTGCAAATTTGCAATCTCTGCATCACTGTCATCATCGTCGCTCGGTACGTGGCGATGTCTCGATGATGGTTGTTGTTGTTGTTGTTGTGGGGGTGGCGAGGGTGGGGGAGGCGAGGATGGGGAGGCGATGAGGGGATTGGATCCTGTCTTGGTGGTAGCCTCAACGGGTGCGATTGTTGAATCAGGCTTTAGAGGAGAGCTGCTGCTGGGTTGTGGGGTAAGCTGTGATCGAGGTGGGTTACGAGGCTTGCGGCGATCCTGCGTGGCTCGGGGCCGGCGTGTGGCTCGAGTCGTGGTAACAGAGGGTGCATCAGGCTTGGGCTTGGGCTTGGGCTCGGGAATCGTTTCCTGTTCCTGGACGTCATGATCGGCTGAGGCTGCCAGCGATGCGACCATGGAGAGTGTAGCCAAGGGATCGTGTTCTTCGTGGCTCAATGATGCTTGCTCTGCCTGCAAAGCGATGGATGACCAGAAAGCGAGGCAAGCATGGCGGGGCAGGACAGCACGGGTGCATTGAGGTCATCATGAGCGAGGGCAAAATTTTGCAAGGAGGAAGGGTTGGCATAGCCCTTCCACCCCAAGGGTGGTAATTTTGGCGATGACGAACCAATTGGCGGAGCCTGTCACGATGCGCCTGGTTCCAGGCAGCCATGCTGCAGGTGCGCTTGGTGCTTCAAACGCCAGCCAGAGGGAACGGCAGCAACGGCAGCAACGGCAGCAAATCTGTGAGGAGAGGTGCTTTAAGCGTCAGCCGATGCCATGCCCTCCCTCCCAAGGCCCACACTGGGTCGGGGACCGTGAGCGAGGTGAGGGCGAGCTGGGGGCAGAGCAGACGGCGCCGTGCACCCGGGAAACGGCTGTCCGTCCGTGTGTCACTCCGACCAAATACACACCAGCCACAACAACAGTTGACACCGACATGGTGCCCTCTCCTATTTTTAGCGGTGCTTGGTAGTCTATTTCGGCCAACACACACACACGTACAGCCATGTGTGTGTTTCGCTTACGTGTGCTTCCAAAGGGGGCGGATACATGCTGTGTGTGTGTGTGTGTGTGTGTGTGAGTGAGTGTGTGTCCTTGCAATGATTACATTTGGTACTGGGTGTGCGTGTGCATGGATGGGAGAGGGATGTGCTGTGGGCAACAGCAAAGAGAGGAAGACTCATGATGGTCCAAAATCGGCCCAAGCCATAGGGAATCCCCTACCATTTCAGAGAGAGGTAGCCGAACGTGAGTGAATTTCAGAGAGAGAGAGAGAGCGAGTGAGAGTGAGAGAGAGCGAATGGTTCATTTTTCTCTCTCTCTGTGCGCGCGCTCTCTCAGCGTCAAAGATCTCATCCCCGCCCCGCGACTGTGGGCTGGTTTTCTTGTGCTTCCCCGCCTTTGCTCCTCCTCTTTTCCTCTTTTCTGGGATCGGTGGTGCTGCTTCCACACACGCTTGCACAGAGCTTTGTGTAAGACTTTGACTGTACCAGGATCATGGCAGTGCGCTATGAATTACAGTTGGTGTCGTCCAACGGCGGCAATTACATTGCCGGTGACATGGTTCAGGGCCAGTTGATTGCCAAGTTTACCCGTAACATCACCGTCGACTCGATGCAAATTCGGTTTGTCTTTCTTCCTCCGCCCCTTTCTCTTCTGGTCGATCCTAGTGCCATGGCTGTGATCCCACTCTCAGCCTCGCTCCCACTCTCAGCCTCGCTCCGGCCTTGCTTCCTCCCTTTTTTCTTGCTCTTCTCATGGCCTCGTTGTCACACCCTGCTCTTCGCTCACAGGATTGTCAGCCAGGTGCGCGGCAAGTCGGGCGGCAACTCGAACAAGTTTCAGGACATTGTGTCCAGTCCAACAACCACACTGCTGAGTGCCCAGCAGAGCTTCTCCAAGGGCCAATCCCACCAGTTCCAGTTTGCCATTGCCTTGCCTCAGAATGTGCCCTCCAACCTCAACGTCGACTACATGGGCGAGGCTCGCACCTGCCTCCAGGTGATTGTCAAGGAGAAGAAGCGCCAAACGGTGGACGATGTGCCCCTCAACGTTCAGTCGGGCTACACCGGTAGCTGGCCACCACCGCCCCTTGAGTTTCAAGAGCGCAAGGAGGTGTTGGGCAGTGGCTCAATCTTCTCGAGTGCCAAGAACTTGGGCCTCTGCGACTTGTCGGTGGTCGTGCCATCCCAACTCGTGCGTAGCACGACAGGCACAGCCAGTGTGCGCTTCCACGTGGGCAACCCAGCCAACCTTTCGCGGGATCGCTTGCGCATCCTGATTGAGCTCAGCGCTGAGGTCACTTGCAAGTTTGGCCTCAATGAGAGCAAGCGCTACTTTGTGTCTGTGGCCGACTACATCCCCACCCTCAACTTTGATCCGTCGACCTCCACCTTCACGGGCTCTCTCGAGTATCGCTTGGACGGTAGCCAAGCCCCGGCTGGCAAGTCGATTCAGAAGCCTCAGGACGTTTCCAGCTTCAAGGTCGGCGTCCCCATCCTTCCCACCCTCATTGGTGGCCAGAATTTCAAGGTTGTCACCTCCATCCACGCCCACATTGTGTACTACGAATCTTTCAAGATGAAGGCTGGTGGTGTGATCACCGTGGTCGACGAGGCTCGCCCCTTTGCGCAGGGCTCGGCGCCCTCGACGCCCCACAGCTCGACCTCGTCGGCACCCATGGCGCCCCCTGCAGCGGCGGCCGCTGCCATGGCACCCAGCTACGAGGCTGCCATGCAGGATCCGGGCAAAGATGCCAAGGCCGGAGGCCAGCCCTACCCCCCTCAGCAACAGCAACCGCCGTACCCATCCCAACAGTACCCGCCCCAACAACCGTACCCTCCACAACAGCAGCAGCAGCCTTTCGCGCCTCAGCAGTACCCGCCTCAACAGCAGTCCCAGCAATACCCGCCCCAGCAATACCCGCCTCAACAGCAACAGGCATCTTACCCACCCCAGCAGTACCCCCCTCAACAACAAGCCCAGCAATACCCGCCCCAGCAATACCCGCCCCAACAGTACCCGCCTCAAGCGCAACCCACGTACCCACCCGCACCCCAGGCAGCCACCTATCCTCCACTGCCCGGTCAGGGCGCCCCGGGACCTTATGGTGCGACGCCTCCCCCGTACAGCGGTGACGCTGCTTATCCCGCCGCACCCTACGGTGCCAAGGGACCCTATGCGTAGACCCGGCTTGTGCCGAACCATGCCCTATTCTGTCTATTGCTATTGATGTCGTGCGCCCGTATGCTTGTATGTATCTGCATGTCGTGGTGTTTATGCGTGCGTGTCATGAGTTTCCAGAAGCACCAAATTGATGCAGTCATGTAGCAAACACTTGGGTCCCTACTCGCGATCTATTCTGTCACTTGACAAGCCAGCATGGCGTGTACTACCTCCTCAGGAACCGCGTCACACACATCCACTCGTCTTCTACCACGGAGGGAAACGAGTGCTAGAATAGAAAAGCCAGAACCGTGCGTGCGCGCCACCCGAGAGTCCTGAGAACCGAAATGTCAGATAAAACTCATCGCTGTCGGCCCTGATTTTTTGTATCGTTTTCATATGATTTTTCCGTGTATTTTGTATACAAACTTGTCACGAACCACTATGGCCGCCTCCGTCGCTCAGGGTACGTCTGGTGGGAGACTGGAGAACGGCAGCGGGGAGAAACGGCAGCGCCTTGCTGGTTTGAAAGGTGGTTGATAAAGGGGGGGAATGGGTCATCAGATGCTGGTCCTTGAGTCTGCCTCTGCGCAGGCTGGTGGGGATGAGCCTGTTCTCAGAATGCCAGGATGAGGCAGCAATTCTGGCCAGCTGCGCTTCTTCCGTGCTCGGCGGTGGCGCGCACAGTCTATCCAACCCTCTCATCTTTCTCGATGCCCGGCCCTTTGCTTGCGATGTTCGAATCTGCTTCTCACAGCTGCGCGGTCTTTCCCGCTCCTTTCGGCCCGCCTCGGGTATGTTGAGCTTGGCTTGGCTTTTTTTACCGTCAAGCATCCCTCTTTATGAGCGGGGACATGTCTTGTCGGCAAAATAGTGTTGGCCGCCTTGTTATCGCACTCATTCGCGCTCCTGTTTATTATAATTATTTTTCGCTACGAATGACATTTGCATAGCCTTAAGTCAGCTTCGGCGACCCTGCCTGCGCTGGCGCAGCTGCGCTCCGTTGCACAGACCACGTTCGTTCTATTTTCGTCTGTATAATTGCTTGTTCAGCCCATGCCTTCAAGCAATGTCGCGACTCTTATCCTTTGAGTCTTTCGTCTCGACTTCCTCTCTCTCTTTGTTTAGGCCCTCTTCGGCGGCCGTCCCTGCCCCCGTGTTTGGCAAGAGCAAGATTCCCGCAAACATCGACAACCGTGCTGGTTTGTAGCCCTTGCATCCTTCCCCAATGTTTCCTCTGCTGCTCAGCGAGGGGGTTCTTCTTTCTTCTTTTTTTTTCCATTTGATGAGCTTGCGCTCGCCGACTCAAAGTTCTTGGAACGCCTGGCGTCGGTTCTGATCATCCCATTTACTCTTTTTACTTGGCCACAGACTATGCCCTCGCCAAGCTTGATGATCTCGTCAACTGGGCTCGCAAGGGCTCAATGTGGCCCATGACCTTCGGTCTGGCCTGCTGCGCCGTCGAGATGATGCACGTGGCCGCGCCCCGCTACGACATGGATCGCTTTGGCATCGTGTTTCGTGCCAGTCCCCGACAGTCGGACGTGATGATTGTGGCTGGTACCCTGACCAACAAGATGGCCCCCGCCCTCCGCAAAGTCTACGATCAGATGCCCGAGCCCCGCTGGGTCGTGTCCATGGGCAGCTGTGCCAACGGTGGTGGTTATTACCACTACTCTTACGCTGTTGTTCGCGGCTGTGATCGTATTGTCCCCGTCGATATCTACGTTCCAGGCTGCCCGCCCACTTCTGAGGCCCTCCTCTACGGTCTTCTTCAGTTGCAGAAGAAGATCAAGCGCGACCGCTCTCTCCAGATGTGGTACAGGAAGTAAACTCAGAGCGACGCTGTGCATCCTTCTCTTTTCCGCCCTTTAGTCGTCGCGGTGCCACTCTTTTGTAATGTTTTCTCCTTTTGTTCCTATGTTGCTTCGCTCGTGTGCCGTTGTTGCATTGGACGTGGCCCCCCTTCTCTCTCGTTTGTTTGGTTGTGTTTTTTTTTCCCTACCTTTTTTGTTGACCGCCTTTGCGTTCTGGTCTTTCCCGCCTCAAAGGGCGTTCTTCTCCTTGGGCCTGGTCGCGGTTGGATGTCAATGCTTTTGTCGTGGACCTGGAGTAGCCATTTGCATGATCCGGCAGACTCAGCATGCTACCCCTCTCGTTGCATGGCAGCCGTTCTCCTCCTTGTTGCTCTTTGCCACGACTCTTCTGTTATCCATCCCTCCCGCCTCTTCTTGCAAAGCATGTTCGAGCTTTCAAACACCTTGCCATGCGGAGAAAATGCAAATCTAAGATTTAAATTTGATCATCACTCTGGTTTTGCCCCCAGCTGCCTCTGCTGCCTTGCGGTCCTCCTGGTTCTCGAGCGCGCGTAGACGTGACTTTTGCCAAGACGCCCGTCCTTGCAACGAGGCAAGAAGGACCTTGGTACCGAACATTAGGAGTTGGCCGCAAACACAACGTTCTCGGCCAAGTCGTCGTCATCATCGCTGTAGTTGTCGTGTGGCGCAGTGCCTGCAGCAGCTACGTTGGCCACAGAGCCACGCTGGCTGGAAGACACGGAACGTGAATGGCCGTACTCGCCGCTGCGCTGCTGGGGTTCGAGCGTCATGGTGACACTCGCCCGCTGTTCGGGACCCTCCATCATTCGAGCATTTTCAAGCTGAATAAAAAAACAAAAAACAAAAACACGACAGAGCACGCACGTCATCAAGTCAGACAGCGCGGTTTATCCCAGCACAATGCACCATGAGAGACACGATTCATATATCAAGGATTAAGCAGGATAGGCATCGAGTAAAACGTACCTGTTGTTTGAGGGTATCAACCTGTGCCGCATAGTCGGCACCGGCCGGGTCCAGGTCCATGGCCTTTTTGGCTGACGCCAGCGCATCCTGAACATAGCCGGCGTGTTGGTATACCACGCTGTACCAATCTGCAGTGAGTACACCGTCCAAACCTGGGGGTCGCAACTCGTACAAACAGCAAGGGCGGGAGGCGGAGGACGATGGAAAAGAGACCTGAGCAGCGAGTAGGCCAAGGCCGAGTTTGGGTGAAGACTGACGGCTCGGCTACCGTCCTCCATGGCGGCCTGAGTATCGCCTGCAAGCAAATGGGCTCGAGCTCGACAAAGTATGGCTCGCTCGTAGGATGGGTCCAGCGCCAGGGCTGCCGTACAACTCTCCACAGCCGTAGCCCATGCCTGCGCCGTCAGGGCTTGTTCTGCCTGCAGCACGAGCGCCTCTAGCTGTTGCGGTACCAACGTGGCGCGGGTCGTCACCAACTATGCAAATGCATGCCACAGCAGCATTGGTTGAGCAAGGTGGTTACAGTAGGCCCAGCCGCTGGACCACACCCCGCCCCCCTTTGCTTTCACTGGCATTTGATTCCACGGACCAGCCCCTACCCCACTGCAAATAGCGACGCACCTCGTCTCCCTCCAAATGATGGTAAGACAACAGTTGCAAGTCGCATTCCTGGCTGTTTGACTACATTGCCAGATCAGGGCACCGAACAGTAAAGATGAGCTCTTTATTTTGTCAGACCATGCTCACCTGCTCCATGAGCCAATCGACATGGATGACACCGCCCGTGAAAACACAGTTTGTTCGGCGAGCCTCGCCCGTCAGCCAACAAACCTGGCACATGGCAACAACTTGCTCGTGGGTTTTGCCGGCCACGGGTTCACCATTGATGGCCTTGATGCGATCTCCAGGAAGGATGCGACCCGATTCGTGCGCCAGTTCGTTTTCAAGAATTTTGGCAATCCGGACCGCTTGTTGACGTTCCTCTGCACCTCCCTAGAATCCTGGGGGTGAGCCGGCCGACTTACGACAACTTTGGACGGTCCTGGAGCCAAAACGATCCCACCGAGTGTCTCACCTCAATGACAATGCCAAGGCGTGACTTGTCCGGGGTACGCCGCAATACTACACGACGGGCATAAACAAGTTGCTCGCCGCTCTCGCGACGTCGCGGCGACAATGACTGGATGTCCAAAAAATCAACGTTGAATCGTCAGCTGTTAGATGCCAAAATTAACGATAAAACATGCATGCAAAAAAACCGCTGAGCGCTTCAAAGTCGTACCCGGTCGCCAGGCAAAGGTTGGCTTGATAGAAGCACGAGCCGGCACTCGTCAGCCGAGTTCTGCTCGAGCCAACGCAGATAGCACGAGCCAGTGAGTGCCCCAATATACAATTTGGTTGTGCTCAGAGAGGTCCAAGCGTTGTGTCTGTGGGTGTCGCAAGCAGTCAAACCTGAAGAAGAGCCACCACATCGTCGTGGGCCTTGCCCGAAACGGGGACGCCGTTGATAGCTTTGATCTCGTCGCCAGAAAACACACATCCGCTCAAAGCGGCAGTTTCTCCTGGAATAATTTGACAAATACGAGGCAATGGAAGCCCCTCAAGCGTCTATTGGAAACACATGCAATGCGTTGAGAGCGACCACTTGTATGGGCTATATAGGAGCGCGAATCAAATTGGAAAGAAAGAAAAGGCGCGGGGGGAACATGGGCCAAGCTCGGGCTCGAGCGCATACCTCGACCTGAAATCCTAAGCGTGGTTGCGTGGCATCAGGGCGCAAGACAACGTCCCGCTCGTAGACTCTGGCCCGATCCGCTTGAGGAGCCTCGGCATGGTCAGGGTGGCGTTGCTGTTTGGTCTTTTTTCGAGTTTCTGCATTGGCAATGGCTTTCATCCTGCCATGGACGCCACCGCATGGCAATAAGGTTGGTTGGAGGGGAACAAAAGTTGGTTGGAGGGGAAAAAAACAATATAGGGGACAAGGCGTACGTATTGGCTTGCATCTCAGCCTGAAGCTTGCGATAGACGGCCTCGCCACCGGTGGTCACACCGCGTGTCAACAATTGTACTTGTTGGATTCTGGCACGGGATAGGGCCACAACGGGTCAAGTTGAGTGATGCATGCTGTGTGTCTCAAAATGGAGGGGCGGCGAGCCTTGGGCTGTTGTTGACAAACCGGCCAGTCAGTTCTGTCTTGAGCAGCTCAAGGCTGTTGACTAGATCTTCACGGGATAAAGTAAGATCTTCTACTTGATCGCGTAGGTCGGCATTGCTCTCATAAACTCTGGTGCACAAAACATGGCAGAGATCAGGACCCAAAACAAATGGAATGAAGAGCCAAGATTGCAAGGCAGGCGTGGCTCAAGTACGATAAACAAAAAAGCCAAAACAAACCGATGCAGCTTGGACTGCCAGGTTTCATTGTCCTCGAGCTGCTGGCGCAATTCCTTCACCTGCTGAGTCTATATTCGACCACGCAGGGGGGCACTCATTGGTCAAAGTCGTTTCGGAGGAGACATCTACCTTTGCAGATTAATGCACGACTTACAAAGGCATCAATGGTGCTCTCAGAGACGGGCCCCAAAAGTCGGGGCTCTGCCTGGGCTAGACGATCAAGCTGTGTCTGCAGCCGGCCCTCACTCTGAGCCTAAAAAAGCCACGAAGAGGAGCCCGATTTGAGGGCGTAAGTGTATGTATCCAGATCAAGTATGCAGGGCCATTGTCGAGCTTCTTGAGAGGCTTCACTGCAAGCACACCTTGAATTGACGCAATGAAACAAGCTCTTGCTGTACATCGCGAATCTCAGCCTCGAGCGCCAGTATGCGTCGCTCACTGGTGTACAAAGAGGTTGGGCCGTTGGGTCCAGGTTCAGCGGTACGAAGGGCGCAGGGGGCGAGGAACCTTGGCCAGGAGGCAATCGCATGGGCACGCACCGAGCTGTGGCAGTGTGAGCAGTGTGGGAGAACACAGAGTACATGTCCTGCACCAAGCGGCGCAGTTCATGATACATGGACGGGTACTGCTTCTCCAATGAGCGGATAATCTGCAATTGGCGGCCAAAGTCGTTGCGATCAAGCGAGGATGATGATCTGCTGCCAACTAGGGAGGCAAGCCGGGCGTACCTCAAGCAACTGCGTTGCCTTGTCGTCATATTCACGTTGGCGGGCAGACATTGTGCTGGATTGCGGTGCCGTGCTGGCACTGGAATCTACGGTCGGCGGAACCAAAGGCCCTCCAAAATTGAGGCACGTACGAACAACGGCAATCCACTGCACAACATCTCTCTCACAACAACACTGCCAATCTATCACGCTCAATAATGGCCATCATCGTCGACAATTGGCAGCTGTGGCGGCCACCGCCGTGGCCCCCGTCTGCCAAGAAAAAGCAAGTCACGCACAAAGCCAGCAGGCAAGCATCTTCACCCCCACCTCTTTCCTTCGTCTTTGGACCCCCTCGTCGTCAGGCCAGGTGCTCCTCCAACACAGCGATACACCACACCACGACAAAGCCGACACCAGCTTGCACGCCACTATCACTCCCTTCCCCTCACCTCCTCGAGGAGCAGACCCAGCGCCTCTCACCCAGCTCCCTCGATCCCACTGATCTGGTCAAACGTCAGAGAGAGAGAGAGAGAAAATGAATAACTGAGTGAAATTAAAAAGTATTTTACTTTTTATATTTGAATCGAGGTTTTGGTGTGTGTGTGCGTGTGTGTGTGTGTGTGTGTGTGTGTGTGTGTGTGTGTGTGTGTGTGTGTGTGTGTGTGTGTGTGTGTGTGTGTGTGCGCGCGTGTGTGTGGAGAAGCTTCTGCTCGGTCTGTTTCGAACTCTTGAGAAGCTGGGCGAGAGGGAGGAAACACTTTTGTTTGAGCACACCGATGTTTTTAGTGCGAGCTTTGGCAAGGTTATGCGTACATGTTTTGCTTCAAAGGGGATGGATTTGAGCGCTGCTTCATGATCACAACGGTCAACGCAGTGGTCTTTGTGAAGATGATGAGCAACTAAGATCAAGGAGATGGAAGGAAAGATAAAGCGCACGCGTCGCAGACGCGCAGGCTGATAAGAGGATCAAGCAATGTTGAACCACAAAAAACCTTCCTTGTTCATTCCGGCAAGAACGCAGGCGTCGCGGGCGCGCAGGCTGGGAAGAGGATCAAACAAAGTTGAACCACAAAACATCCCTCATTCATTCCGGCAAGAACGCAGGAGTGCATCGATGGGGACTTGATCCCAAGACGTCTGCTTGGCTGGGTCGGGTTCAGTCAGGGTTTCTGTTGACGACCCACGGTGCACACGAGGTCAGTGAGGTGATGGTGAGGCGAGCATATCATTTCTTGGCCTTCCAAGATTCAGGGGGGGATGGAACGGAGATGAAAAGAAGATGGAAGAAAAATGAAAAGGCGTGATGGGCGTGTAGCACGTACGCAAGATTTGGTGGCAGCGCTTGCCACCGGGTGTTTGCTTGGCAAGATGCATGTATTCCATCTGTGCTTTGATGCAGGCAATCTCACGGTTCATGCGAAGAAGGGAATTGGCGACATGTTTCATACTGCAAGGCGCTGCCTCAGCAGAGTCAGAGGCAGCGCCAGAGACAGGCTCAGAGCCATGGGTCGCAGCCGTGCGGGCCGTGGCAGAGGCTAGAGTGGCCTCGGTGGCGGCGTGCTTGGTGGGAGAAGGGTGAGACCCATTCTCGGCAACGGCTGGTGCGAGGTCTTCATCAATGTCGTCATAAGAGAAAGCGTTGACGGCGTCATCGACGGCATCCTCATCCTCGTCTGTATCTTCGCCTTGAGCCGCACCCTTGTCTGGCTTTGCGGGCACGGACCTGCTTGCATGAGCGTCCTTTTTCGCTGGCTCAGCAGCTGTCTTGTGTTGAACCTCAGCCTTGCCTTCGGCCGTGTCTTCCTCGTCTCCACTCTGGTCTGAGTCGTCCTCGTCAGCACTGTTCAGGCCGTAGAGCTTGGGGATCAGGAACATGTTGAACTCATGGGGCGTGTTGTGTTGCAAGATGACCGGCATGGAGACAAGCGGGCTGGGGTTAAAGTAGTCATGCCCGGATTCATAAAACTCGTGCTCGTCGCAAGCAAACGCATCGTCGTTCTTGTCGTCTTCCTCTGGTTCCGGGCTGTAGGGGTCAAACTCGTCGTCTTCACGATCATATTTCTCTCTCGCCGCCGGAACAATTGGACTGAGATACTCAATCAGCAGGGGGGCTAGCTCAACGGGCATGCCAGGAAAAAAGCGTTGACAATAATGCTCTTGACGACCCAACTCCTCAACTCGCGCCCAAGCGGCCGTGAGCGTTGAACACAGGTATGCGCCTGCAACCTCGGCACGCAGATCGTGGTCTATCCGCCATGCAAACTGCATATCCTTGTCGAGATTAAAGTAAGGGTTATTCACATCGACGGGCTCAGATTCCCGATGTTCCATGTCCGTCCAAGCCGACCAATCGTGATCAGATCCGTCGTCCATGGCTCTGGGTAGAGAGGGCTGTCGCCGCGAACGTGTGGGCTGGCGGAAAATACAGCAGGCGCAACATGTGATGATAAACAAGCTCGACTAACAGAGAGCGAAATTTGTGATCATAACCAGTACGCGAAAACAGTGATTATTTGATTCTCCTGCTGCGCTGCTGCTTTGTGCTGGCATACTGCTGTTGTTTTGCTGCTGGTTTGCTGCTGGTTTGCTGCTGGTTTGCTGCTGGTTTGCTGCTGGTTTGCTGCTGGTTTACTGCTCTCTCTCCTTGATCTCGTTGACAGCACTCGCTCACTGTCTGTTGCCCCAAAACCCCCAACACACGTAACTGCTGGATATTTGTCAGACAAATCTGTGTCGCTTCGCATCTCTGCAGGCAATGGAAAGTAACGTTAGTTTCCTCGGAATCGCCATTTGTGCGCGTTTCCATCTCTGCTGTCCCATTCATAACAACAACAGGCAAGATCCCACACACATCTGCTCTGATCCCAGCTGGATCCCCTTAAAGACGCCACACCTGTGATCCCGTTACGACCTCGAAACCCGACCTTGACCTAGCTCGTTGTATGGCAGCGCCCCTCCGCTTGGCCGCTCCCATACACACACACACACACGTGTGCCCGCGCACTTGTTATTCACGCCATCTGTCTGCCTGTCTCTCCCGCTCCCTCTCTTCCTCTCTCTCTCTCTCTCTGTGTTCTTCTCCTCATCCCTGTGTGTGTGTGTGTGCGTGTCTCAGATCTTTTGACAATTGGTGTGTCGTCATCCCCATTTCCGTGAGGCGGTCACCAAGGTCCGTCTCACTCGCCCCCTTCCGTCCCTCCGTCCGTTCGTTTGTGCGTCTGCTCGGCTGTACCCTGTCTGTGTGTGTCTTTGCACTGCCTGCCTGGCTCCTTTGTCTGCCTGGCTCTGCTGCTGTTTGCTCTTCTCTCCTCTCTGTTCTCTTCTGCCTTCCTCTTGGCAACAACCCTTGCTGTTTCCGCGTGCCTCGCCGTGCCCGGCTTCTGTGATGTCGCCATTGGGGGCCTCCTGCTTCTGACTGATCGGCTGCAACCGAACTTACGTGCCATACATGCCACTTTTGCTGCTCGTTCCGACTACGTCAGGCTGGACCGTTTCGCTTTGTCTCCACCCACCCCTGCCCTGCCCTGCCCCGCTCTATCGACTGCTGGCTGAGCTCGGTCGTGTGCGGCTGCCATCCGTCATCACCAAGTCTTGTCCGGAGCGCCAGCCAGTAGCCCGCGTCTGTTTATTTTTATTTATTTATTTATTTTTGCGCGCGGCACTGGCCTTCCCTCGCAAGTATCATGACCAGCCCGACTTGGGCTGCCCCGTGGGCCATGGCCACAGCGGTCGTGGTGGCTGCGCTGGGCCTCGCCTCGCTCGCTTCGGCCATGCCCATGCAAGTGGAGCACTTGGATGCCAGTGCGCATCAAATCAAGGTGGATCTGGTTGATGGCCACGGCGACCGAGAACACCGACAGGTAATGTTCATGCTCTCATCGCTCGCCAAGGCCGCTGCTTCATTCACATGGTCATTGACCCCAAGCGTCAGACGCCACTTTTCTGTGCCAGGCACAGCCAATGCTTGCGCACTTCCCAGTGCTTCTTCCGAGCCCCTTTCTTCAGCTTACCATGGCTCTTGTCTTTTCCGTCTCAGCTTGTCATTCAGCTGCCCGATGTGATGCCTGCGGACCAGGGCAAAAGCACGAGCAAGCAACAGGCCCAAGCTCAACCGCAGCGCCGTGATGTTCAGGCGGATGCGGCCACTGATGGCCCCACCATCCATTCCAACACCCTCGATGACCTGTATGGCAATGCCATCCTGGCCTTTCCCAACAATCAAAGCGATCTTTTTGTGATGGTGACCCAATTCTATTCGCTCGGCTCGGTGGTGGCAAGTCACGTATACTTTTCGACCGACCTCGGTCGTAATGTCACGCGTGCTCCCAAATTCGAGGCCTTTGGAGCCATCACCAACGTCTTTGTCAGCACCACCTCCCACAACACCATCTTCTTCGAGCTGGAAGACAGCGAAGAGTTTTTGATAACCGATGACGGTGGCCAATCCATCCGTGCCTTTCTCAACGTGACGAACAGGGCCCTTCTTGACTCAACTGTTCAGTACGGCCGCATTGGCTGGGCGCAGAACGGCATGCTCTACATTTCCTCAGACATGGGTCTGACCTCGACCCTCATCAACGACGATGGTGAACTCATTTACATCTTTGGCAACGTCCATCCTCAAACAGGCAACGTGCCCGAGTACCTTGCATTTCTTGTCAGTTGACTCGCCCGCGTCGTCGCCAGATATGCACAGATGCACACGCGGATCTTGATCGAGACCAGCAATGGCCATCAAACGCTCGTGTCGTTTTCACACATTCTCACCTTCTTCGGCACGCCCGCCCGCTTGATATTCTTCTTAGGCTATCGTGGATAGTGAGGTTGTCGTCATGACGTACGATTATGAAACGGGGACCCAAACTAACATTGCGACGCAACTGACCCATGACCTCACCATTCTGACATCAACATTGAGCACGCCAGAAAACTTGATCTACGTGTATGTGCGCGACAGTAACCTCAACTATGGCCTAGCTATCAGCATTGACGGCGGTGACTTGCACGCCGTCACGTTTGACAACAACCCAGGTATCTCGGGCCTGCAGGTGCTCAGCTACGTCGACCAGGTTCTTCTTGTACGCGTCCAGGATTTCGCGGGCATCAACTACCTCTACGTCCTCGATGTGGGAGGGATGGAGGACGCCAGTGCACCCATTGCGCGGCGCACTCTTGCCGGGCTGCGCTGTTCCATTTCCACCTGCGACGTCGTCGGATCTTACGCCGTGCGAGGTCTTTTCTTGGCCAACATTGTCAGGAATGGCAACTTCTATACGTTTAAAACAGAGGATTTTGGTGAAAATTGGGAGATTTTGTCTGTCGTGTCCGAATCCTGTCCGGCCGGCTCCACTAGCGCGGCATGTCGTCTGCACTTGCACATGGCGGTTGGTACTGCCACCATGGGCCTCAGCTTCTCCGCCACCCGAGGTTGGCTAGCGGTCCCCCACATGATGGTGGGTCTTGGCAACACTGGCACCACTCTGGCACCTGCAAGCCGGGCCACGGTTGCCGTCTTTATTTCTAGCGATGGCGGCCAAACATTCATCGAAGCAGCCGAGGAGATCAAGCAGCCGCTGCCCGCTGATTTTGGCGGTGTTCTGGCCCTGACCGACATCTATGACACCCAATCTGCTGGCTCGACCACTTTTCAGTACAGCTTGGACGAGGGCGCCAACTTTACGACTGTTGCCTTCTCTGATGCAGCCGTGCACGTGGTGGGCACGCTCGCGCACCAAGACATGAGCACGCCCCTGATCATGATGGTTGGCTACGAACGCACCCCTGCCAACAACGACTACCGCTGGCAAGTTCATGTTCTTGACTTTACCCCAGTTTTCCCGCGTGTCTGCGCTGATGCCGACTTTCAGCGCGTGCCTGTACGAGACGGCGTGAGCACCGCTTGCGTGGCCGGCGCCACCGAATCTTTTGTCCGCCGCAAACCTGAGGCCATTTGCTTGCAGTCCCGCGAGCACGATGTCGACTTTCAGGCCATTCCTTGCGAATGCCAGCCTGCCGATGTTTTGTGTGGAGATCATTTTGTCAACAAAAGCGGCGTCTGCGAGCCAACTGCTCAGGCCTGTGCAGCTCTGCCCTTGCCCATCTACCAGCATGCAGAGGGGAATTCGTGTGAGGGGGGCCTTCTCGATGAAATGCTCACCATTTGCACCGGCGTATCCACGGCCGCCACGACCACGGTATCCACCCTTGGACCGACTACCAACACCATGTCCACTTCTACCCCCGTTACAGCCACCCCCTCCGCGTCCACGACTGCCTTGAGCTCTTCGTCTTTCGCGTCTGCTTCTGCGACTCAAGTATCCACCACTACCACCACTACCACCACTACTACTACTACCACCACCACCACTACCACCACCAGTACCACGCCATCAGGAAGTTCTACAAGCACGATCAACGGGCAGAATCCAAACGCCGACGCATCTTTGAATGATGGCGGAAATAGCAACAGTGGCTCGAATCAGAGTACCCTCTATGTTGTCATTGGCGTCGTCCTAGGCCTGGCGTTTCTGGTGTTGTTGGTTGTGGCGTATCGTCGTCGGGAACGCGACGACCCCGTCTATGCCGCCAACTACGGGAACGTCACCGGCTTTGTCAACCCCATGCACGACCTTGACAACCCACCCACAGGTCCAGCTGTTGGGATGGGCTCTCGCACAGTGCAAGCCAACCCCATCTACGATAATGCTCAACAACAAGCAATGCATGGCAAGCCCATCACCAACGCTGGCTACATGGACGTCGCGGGCTCTTGGGATAAGTCGGGCGAGTATGTCGCTTTTGCCAACGACCTTGGTGAGGAAGACGGAGCCTACATGAAGGTTGGCACCCCACACGATGCCGACGACGTTGACGGCGCTTATGCTATGGTGACCCCGGGTGTTGGCTTGCCTGGGGCGCTTGACTCGTTTGACGACGATGACGACAACGATGCAGGCTACATGCATGTGACCAATGAAGATGAGGGAGAGGACGATGGTCTCTATGCGGACGCTCGCATCACCAAGTAGCTGACCCAGGTCTTTTTCTATTGATGTGCGCCCTTGTGTATTATAATATTAAGATAACCTCGGTGTCTTGACGTTCTGACCTCTTCGTCTATAAATTGTCGTTGTTGTTGTTGTTGTGCATGTGTGTGTGTGTGTGTGTGCGTGCGCGCGCGCGTGTGTTGCAAGTGGCCATAAACACAACTCTCTTTTGATGCCCATAACAACTTTCATGTGAACGTACATCCTGATGATGTTCAAAATGAATCAAGTCTTTTTTAAGTATTTTTGATGTCGTCTCATCCTTCTCAAGGTAGGCGCAAATTGGTCGGTTGGCTGTACTTACAAGGTTGGGGAACGAGTCTATCAGACAAGATTTGGGGTGAGAAGTCTTGCAAAGCGACGTCCAGCAAGTCTGATTCAAGAAAGATGCAGATTTTTTTGAAAAAAAAAAAAAAAAAAATGCAAGAGAAGAAAGAAACAAAGAAAAGAAAGGGAGCTCACCTCGCGTGCCTCACGAAAGGCTGCATCAATGTGCTCTGCTGACGTCGCCGTCTAAGTTCACATGCAAGCAGAGGCGGGCGAGTCAGCGATGGTGCTGAGCGCCTCAAGCATTTTCCCTGTCAAAGCTTTGGCACCACGTATTCGAGTATATGCGACGTTCGCAAGATGTTGATGACCAGCATGGATCCAAAGTGTGTGTGCATGTGCGTGCGTGCGTAAATATGCGTGCGTGTGTGCGCGTGTGCGTGAATATGAATCATTTATTGACTTGCCTGTGCTCTTGGCGCGGTGGTTGCTTGGGCTACCCCACCCGCCAGCAGCGTCGCCTTTTGATGGGCTTTTACGCTCACTGAGGCCGAAGTTGTGTTTGAGCGGCCAGTGTTCGCGACCTGAGCTGTCTCCACAGCCACAGCCGCAGTGGTTTGTACAGACTCCAGAGTGCTCTGCACTACCTGGCTCTGAGGTGCGTCTACCGACCCCGCGGGTGCTGAGCGCGAGGGCGAAGGCTGTGCTGTCCGTTTTGATGACACCGGTGATTTAGCTGAGGATCAGCCAGTGTGGACAGAGCAGGTGAGCTGATTGAAGAGTGGGAACTGGAGACATGAGACACCGGGATGAAGAGCCGTCCAAAATGCAAAAGAATAACTTACGCTTCGCACTTGAGGCCTTGCGTTTACCCTGACGGGTTTTTGTGTGTGTCGCCGGTTGTTCGGAGACGGGAACTTTGGTAGCTTGGGAACGGGCTGCTCGTTTGTTCTTGGCACTCTTTTTGGTGGCATTCGGGCGTGCTAAAGAGGGGGTTATCTGACGCTCGTGCCGACGAGATCGGCCATGGGACCCTGTTGATGATGCTGTCAAGGATGACGACGATGGTGATGATGATGATATCGCAGAAGTTGTGACTGGTTTTGGCGCTGATGATGCTGAATGAGGGGTCACGTCGCTCTGTGCGGTCGCCATGTAAGCCTTTGCTGCTGTTGCAGTGGCGAGAGTTGGTGTTGCAGATAGAGTGGGATTCGATCGACGCAAAGCGGCTGGAATCATGTGAATGGTGACGATAAAGAGGTGCTGATCGCATGATAGGTCATGCTCTTGTGCGCGAAACACCAGCTTTTCACCCATGCTCCATCGTTGGCGCTCTGTATGACATTATCCCACCATCACCGTCCATGTGTTGAGGAGCAGGTGCCTTGGGACGCAAGCGGGATTGTGCAGCAAGGGCACAGCCACGTACCAATGATCAGAAGCACGGCTTTGGTCGCAATGCTGGACGCTTCCGAGGCAAACGCGCCATGCAGGGCTCGCTAAAAGCAGAAGACCCGGATGAGCATGTCCAAAGGCAAGAACGCGAGGTCTGTTGCAGTACGCTACGCTTGCTTACACGGAACTGATTCTGCACGACAGGCTTGCAAAAACGAGCCCACTGTTCTTCTGCAGTGCTGCGCTCATTTCGTGCATGCCCGAAGCGCCATCATCAAGGTAGATGGCCAGAGACGGTTGGGGAAAGAGGCTCGCCAGGCAGTGCATTTCAACTGTACCTCGCAAATTCAAAGCGACATTTATAGACGCGATCATTACAAACAACAAGGTGCGGTTGATCACCGAGCAGCGCACGGTCCTCGAGGCCAAACATCTTGGAAGGACGTGCACCAAAGCCCCTGCACCAAGATGGAGTTTAAAAAAAAAATGAAAAAAAATACGGTTTGCAACGGTCTCCTCAATTGCCCATCGGTCGACAAAAAAGAAGGTTTTTGCCGCCAAAACCACACACACACACACACACACACACACACACACACACACACACACACACACACACACACACACACACACACACACACACACACACACACACACACACACACACACACACACTTGCCTTGATAAAAGTAAAATACATAATACACCTCGCCCAAGTTTGGATGACATTGTTGTCGCTGTGAGAACGGCTTGATGCAGCTGGGGGTGTTGACTGTGACGACGTCGCGGACGGCGGCGACGGATGCCAGTGGCGGGGTGTTGGCGGAGGCTTTTGATGGGGTGTTTGAGCGTGTTGAGCGCGGCGTTGTGGATGATGATGTGGAGGCGATTCAGGCGGCCATGCTCTCGTGGATTCGCGAGTGGGACCCGGACTGCATACTGACAACCGGTGGAACGGGACTGGACGCTCGCGATGTCACACCCGAGGCAGTACGCGGGCTGTTGGATCGGGAAGCACCCGGAATTGCCACCATGCTGACGGTTCAATCTTTGGCCAAGACTCCGATGGCAGCGCTCTCACGGTTTGTCGCCGGTGTCAAGCGTCAGACCCTGATCATCTGTCTGCCTGGCAGCCCAAAAGCCTGCCGTGAGTGCGCTGAAATGTTGCATCCCGTGCTGCGCCATGCCATCGATACCATCCGGGGTCGCAAGCGTGCTGTTCAAAAGGTGCACCATACGATGCAAGCTGACACTGCCACAACAGGGAATCAGGATCACACCGTGTCGGCTCCCACGCCTCCTGCACACACGGGCTGCAATTGTGGCCGAGATGCACCCGTTACGAGCGTGCAGACGAGCGACTATCCTGTATTTTATGCAGCACCTCCGGTTCCCAGTGAAACGGCCTCTGAGCGTGGCTCTGGGGCAGCCGCACGTCACCGCAAATCTCCCTATCCCATGCTGCCCTGGTCCATGGCTCGCCAGCGTGGCCTGGAGGCGCTTACTCCGCTACGTCCCGTGCAGCGAGACGTGGCAGCAGTAGCACTGCACGAGGTGCTTGCCTCACCCGTCACAAGCACTGTCAACGTTCCCGCCTATCCAGCCTCTATCAAGGTTTGGCCAAGATCTGGACCCAGGCGCCCGCTCACCCCTACCTCGCGTCGCAAAAAAGTCCACGTGAAAGCTTACCAGGAATATGTTCTTTCTATTTTCTCAATGTACCCTTCCCCTCCCTGCCTCCTCCGACTTTCTCCTGCCGGCTCCAAAGGATGGCTATGCCGTCCGGGCTGCTGATGTTGATGTGGAATCGTCCGCCAGCCCTGTTCAGCTGACAGTGCAAGGCGTTAGTACGGCAGGTCAGATGACGCACCCTGCAGCGCAGCCTGCTTCATTCGTGGCAGCTGGTCACCCGAGCTCATTTCCGTCTCAACGTCTCATCGCTGGACTTGTTAGGTGCGGGCTGGACCGGTGAGCTGCCAGCTGGGGCGGCGGCTCGGATCTCGACTGGTGCCCCCGTTCCTGTCGGTGCAGACGCCGTTGTGCAGGTGGAGGACACGCGTCTCATTGCCACCAAAGATGGGGGTGCAGAGGAGGCCTGTATTGAGATCCTTCATCCCGTCAGCCAGGGTCAAGATATCCGACCTCCGGTTTGTGACTGATTGATTTGAGTCCTAGCATGCCAGCCGTCTCAGCTGCCTCGGCTTCATGCAGGACTCTGGTTTGCTGATCGCTTGCTTGCTGTGACCGCTTTTCAGGGCTGTGATGTGCAGGCCGGAGCGACTATACTCGATGCTGGTGTCACCCTCGGTGCCGCCGAAGTAAGTCTCTGTAGCACGGGTCTCCTCTACTCTTCCTGGGCATATAACTACACCTCTCCTTGATGTACACCATATGTGCGTGGGTGTGTGGATTGGTTTGCCACTAGTGTGCATTGTTGCGAATGTGTCGTGTGGCAATGGTGGATGTGGTGCCACGGCCGACCGTTTGTGTGTTCTCTACCGGGGACGAGCTGATTGCCGACCCAGCCTCAGCCGATGAGCAGCGCGCAGACCAGGTCATTGACACGTAAGTTTGTTCTCTGCTGCCAAACGCATCGGGTGCCTTGGTGTCTGGTGTTTGCCTTAATACTGAGTTTTGGCATCCGTTACTTGGTGAGCCAGGAACCGACCCATGCTACTGGATCTGCTTCGAGCGCATGGTTTCGATGTGGTGGACGGTGGTATTTTACCAGACGATCGGGAACAACTCGAGGGCCATTTACGCACCATGTGCAATCAAGTTGATGTCATGATCACGTCGGGCGGCGTTTCCATGGGTATGCCAACTGTTGAAGGCAAAGGCGCTTTGCTCAAATCACGGCGCGCGTGCGTGCGCGCGGATGTGCGTGGATGTGAGGCTGAACAACCCTCCTTGGCCTCACCCAAGTTGCTGGCTTGGCAGGCGAGAAGGACTTTGTCAAGGACATGATTTTTGCGCTGGGGGGCGAAGTACAATTTGGCCGAGTGTGGCTCAAGCCTGGCAAACCAACAACCATGGGCACCTTCTCTCGCACAGACTCACGGTGCCGAGCCTTCTTCGGTCTGCCCGGTATGTTAGCTTGGCTGATGGACCTGCCAATCCTGAGCCTTGCCATTAACGTAATGGACGTCTGCGTTGCCTCACCTCCAGTCTGGCGATGGTAATCTGGCGAATGTCTGACGATAGGAAATCCGGTGTCTGCCTTTGTCACGTGGCATCTCTTTGTGTTGCCCTGTCTGCACAAGCTGGCGGGGCGAGCAACGGGATTGCCCGTCCTGTGGGCAACCTTGGCCGAAGAGGTGAAGCTGGATGCGCGACCCGAGTTCCAACGCGTGGAGCTGGAATGGGCGTCTGTGACCGGTAAGCCGACTGCTCTCTGTTGCTCGTTGGCGGGGGTTGGGGCACAAGCTCAGCATTGCTTTGGCGTTTTCGGAAGCAGGAGCCTTGCCCGTGGTCGTGCCACAGCCGGGGTTTCTCAGCTCAAACTTGACCAGTGCCACTCGCTGCAATGCCTTGTTGGAGCTGCCGGGGGCCACCGCGCAGCAACCGTCACTACCGCGCAATGCACGAGTCCAAGTCCATCTCTTGGGCGTGTAAGGGGGCAAGAATGACTTGAGAAGGAAATGGCGGGGTGGTTTACTGTTTTCCTGGATTGATTTAGGCTTTGAAGGTCTTCAGTTTCAAGCACATTTGTGTGTGTTTCTTCACCGAGAGATCGATGAAGCTGCTTTTGAGACCGTTGGTTGGGTGTCACTGATGCCAGCTGCTCAGCTTGTCAATAAATTGATCGCCGCCTTGGTTGAAGGCTTGGCAAGGGAGAGCCAACAAACGGCTGGATCCCTGTTGTGAACCAAGAACTTCGCAGGGTTGTGCGACGTATCGGAAAGAGGGGCTTACTCGCAGTTACTGGGAGGCACAAACGCGTTGGGGTCGCTGATGCCGATGGTGAGGTCGAAAAAGTGACGAGTGATGGAGTCGGCCACGTCGTAGGCAATGACCTCGGAAACGGGAACGCAGTATTCAGTGGTGAACTGGCCGTGCCATTCCCAGCCGCGAGGATGCTGGTAGGCGGGCATTTCCCACGAGCTCAGGGTGATGGTGTAGTCAAGGGCACCGATTGTGGACTCGCCTTGGAAGGTAGAGTTGTCGGGAATGCCCCAGGCATGCCACTCAAAGTGAGGATCGATGGGGCTCTTGGTGCAGTTACGATCGGTGACGTCGACGAGGTATTGCACACCCTCGTTGAACAGGACCAGGCGCTCATACACGTGTCTAAGAAAGGGACGAATTTCAAGGCAGATCACAAGCATGAGGCATGATCACGTCAGGAGCAACAGCCATGGTGGTGTGGCACGCGCCACGATGCGTGGCCATCATCGGCAGCGTTGATACGCCGCGGCCAAGTTTTTGAGCACTTCCAAACGAGACGTTGTCGCCACAACCGCGTGCGTTGCTTCAAGAGCCACGCGGACATGCTCTGCCTCCCCAAAAGCAAGCGAGAGGGCAACACAACAACTCACTGGCCGGAACGATGGGGATCAATCTCATCAACAAAGCGCAGGCGCTTGTTGTGGGAATCGTAGCTGATCTTGGAAAAGACTTCGGTGTTCTTGCCGTGATCAAAGGTGGACACACGCCCCTCCCACTCAGGCGGGGTGGCACACTTGGCCGGGATCTGGGCCTGAGCCATGCCCAGCACCAACAGCGCTGCCATCAAACGCATCATCTTCAAAGTTTTTTTGCAAGAAGAAGAAGCACAGAGAGAGAAGAGAAAAAATTGAAGCAAATTGGAGAGAGAGAGAGAGAGAGAGAGAGAGATGAATTGGTTTGAGAGAGAGAGAGAGAGAGAGATGAATTGGTTTGAGAGAGAGAGAGAGAGAGAGAGAGAGAATGAATTGGTGAGAAAGAGTGAAATAAAGCACAACTACCACAAGAGAGAGAGAGAGAGAGAGAGAGAGAGAGAGAGAGAGAGAGAGAGAGAGAGAGAGAGAGAGAGAGAGAGAGAGACAGAGACAGAGAGAGAGAGACAGAGACAGAGAGACAGAGACAGAGAGAGAGAGAGACAAATGAATTGGTTTGAGAAGAGAGAGAGAGAGAGAGATGAATTGGTTTGAGAGAGAGAGAGAGAGAGAGAGAGAGAATGAATTGGTGAGAAAGAGTGAAATAAAGCACAACTACCACAAGAGAGAGAGAGAGAGAGAGAGAGAGAGAGAGAGAGAGAGAGAGAGAGAGAGAGAGAGAGAGAGAGAGAGAGAGAGAGAGAGAGACAAATGAATTGGTTTGAGAAGAGAGAGAGAGAGAGAGAGAGAGAGAGAGAGAGAGAGAGAAGGCATAAACGGCAAAGAGAGTTAAAATCAGAGAGAGATAGTTAGTTGTGAGGAGAAAAGAGACTGATCAGTCAGTGACATCTCACATCTCTCTCACCATCATCATCTCTCTCTCGTCTCTCTCTCTTTCTCACAAAAAAAAAAAAATAATTCCGAGAGGAGGCGGCAGCTGGGAGGGAAGGGGAGCGGTTTGGGCGTGTTCTTGTGCTGGTGGGGGGAGGGCAGGGTCGGCGAGGAGTTTGATTGATTGGTTGTGTGTGGCTGGGGCAAAGGCGTGTGGATGCGCCTTTGTTGACCTCTGAGCCATGACGCACGCAAGTCCAATTTTTGATCAGCTGCGCTGGCTGCATACGACCCGTCACCAGTTTCTGACTGCCGATGCTGTACGTGGTTGGAGCTGCTTGCCCTGCAGCAGGTGTTTGTGATGACTGGCAAGCGCAAGAGGACACGCTTTGCCCACGGGCCCAGCATGCACGTTGGCGCCGAAGCACCCTGCCAATGACTTGTCACGTCTGCTCGTCGCTCATTGCACAGGCGAGCCTCAAGGCTCAAGTCGATCCGGCCCTCAAGAAGCTCAGCGATCTTTTGCCTGTCACCACGGGACACCTCGTGCGGTGTGTTGGCCTGCAAATGACGTTTGCGCTTCCTTTGCACCCTGAATCGTCTTGGTGTTGTTGTTGTTGTTGTTTTGCCCGCAAGCGCTGATCAGTACTGCTCCCACATTTTTTGGTTCACTGGCCATGACCCAGCGAGCGTGTGGGCGCCACCTATGCAGCCATCTTCGAAAAGACAGGCACGCTCAAGGTTCGACCTTTCCTCTCTCTTTCACCGTCTTTTCGTCTGCTGCCGACGGTAGCCCGCATCTGATCATGCCGCATGCTTTCAGCTCAATCAAGTAGCCAATCAGCTCACGGATTGCCTCAGAGCCCGCGACGATGGCCAAAACACTCAGCGTGCTCGCCTGTGCGTCATCTCGTCTCCCCTACCATCCAGCTCCTCGTAGCCTACGTTTTCATCCTGGCAGGAGTGCAGGTTCCTTTTTTTTGAAGAGGGCGCTCCGTCAAGTGGCTCACATCTTGTCCTGAAACTGCTAATAGCTGTGCCGCCGTTGTCTTTGGCCACCTGTGCACAAGCCTATCTCGCTCCGTGCGTAGCAAGCGGCCATGTTTCTTTGTGACCACCCTGATGTCTGATTAACATGTCCTCATTCTTGCTGATTCCCATCATCAACCTTCTAGATGACTTCCTTCGCGAACGATGTCGTTCCCGTTATGCTGCGAACCCTGCGTGCAGCAGACGTGAGTCCCAGCGCTCGACTGGCATGACCTCCCTGCGCTTCCTGCTCCGTCTCCTCAATAATATGGAACACAAGACACTCTCCAAAGCTAATGACAAGGCACTCTGACTCATGCTTTGAAAGGATTTAACCAAGCGCGTGTATCTGCGTTCGCTCAACAACGTCTTCATCGGCTTGGGTACGCGCCTGTCGGCACCCAGTTGCCTGCGGCACACCCCGCCAACTGCGTTCTCTTCACGACTTTTGGCACGAGCAATGTAACCTGACCAACCGTGCTTCCTTTGCTACCCGCCAACCTGGTTTAGCCTCGGCCGCAGATGTGTTTGCCAAAGACACCTACAAAGCCGCAAAGTAGGCCTCCTGTGCTGCGGCCCTCCTCCATTCCCAAGCAAACTTCTTACGTGCGCACCGGTTTCTATTCTTTCAAATTGCTTCCCGGGTCGATTAGACAATGTCTGCAGGACAAAGACCCATACGTCCGTTCCGAAGCGGCCGGGCTGGTTGCCAGCATGAGTCTTCAGGTTTGTTTCGTCACAAATGGCCCACTTAATGTGCATGCTTAATTAAAATACCGCTCCTGAATCTTTGACTTTGATGTGGTTCCTGCTTCCCGCCCCGCAGTCAGGCTATGTGCACCAGAATGACTTTGACGGTGCTTTGACTTTACTTTGCCGCGCTGCCGAGGTGCGTGCCTTGTTCACTGCCCAGCACGAGCCTTCTACAGATACAAATGCCTTGCCTCACGGATTTTATCGCAACCACCAGGGGGCCAACCAGCACGTTCGCCTTAGCTTGAGTCGCACGCTAGCCACGCTCTGCCAGCGTGCCTTAGACCCCAACACATATGCCGGCGCCCGTTCGTCGCGCCGGGTTGACTTGCCCATGCTCATGGACGTCATCAACACTCTCTTTGTTCGTGCGGCCAGCACTAGCCAGCCTGAGGTAAGACGCCTCGCTCCCAACACAATGCCGAAGGAAGCCCTTTGTAGCTGCAAGATTGCCACATGCCCGCTGTCTAACAACGTTGCCTTGTGCCTCCGCTTGGCCTGGGCTCCATAATGCGCGGTAGTTCCGGGCCACGCTCAGTATTGGCTTGACTCTGTTCCTACAAGGCATGGGTGGTACCTGGCTCGAAGCTCGCTGCGCAGAGCTCTGTGCACTGCTGCTAGCCGTCTTTGACAACGCCAAGACCATGCCCACTCCTACGTCAGCTCTCCACTTACGTCGGGCCATCCACTTTGTGATTGTGGACGCCTTGGGCCGTCGCTTGGGCCAAAAGGGCCGCTCTGACACTTTGATGGCGCTCAAGAGCTACGTCGAGGGCAAAGTCGCTCAAATCTCGGCTCAAGCCAGCGCCACGAGCTTGCCTGCGCTGACCAACTCGGGGCTGGATAACCCAGGCCTGGCCTGCGCCTTGGAGGCCATGGGCGACCTCATTGTCATCCTAGGTCATGCGGTGGCCCAATCCTATGAGCAACTCGTCACACCCTTGCTTGAGGCTTCTATCAGCCCCTGCACCGCCTCTCGGGCTGCCACAGCCAGGTAGCTACCCCATTCTTCTCCGTGCAAAGCACCTTGGCCGCTCTGCAATGAGCTCACAAATATGCACTGCCGACCATAGATGCGTGCGGGCCTTGCTTGAGGTGGTGCCAGCCCGCGCTGCGCAACTAGCCAAACAATGCGTTACGCGAGTGGAACAGTTCAGAAGTCAACCAACTGCCTTTCAGGGTGCTGCGGTACGTAGCCGCGAGTTGATGTGGCCCATGTCTTGAGCCATTGCACTTCATCACAATCCCCATTTGCGCTCGATGCCTCGTCTGCCAGCTATGCCTCGGTGCGGGCCTATGTGGCAGCAGTGCCGCCTCCCTCGGTTTACCGCAAGAGCTCTGTTCCATAGTCTACAACATGGCTACCAAATTTGTTTTGGCGGCCAAGGACGCCGAGGGACCCAAGGTTAGCCGCGTAGCTCCAATTGCCACCCCTTGGCTTTTAATAGCAGCCGACGTACACCACATTTGGTTCAAGCCTCATTGTCGCGCACATATCGAATAACCAATAATAGGCCAAGCCCTCGGTCGTATACAAAGTGGAAGCGGGCTGGTATCTTCTGTCCAGCCTCATGTCCATGGGCAGTGCAGCCATCAGTCAGCACTTGGCCGACCTTGTCAAGTATTGGCATGGCAGCCTCAAGGTGTTGGAGAAGATTGAGGCCAAGGCCGACGAGCTTTCGGCCCTCGTCTGGGTTGAGACTCGCTCTGGACTTGCACATCTTCTCCACATGTTTCTTCGCCACTGCACCTCGCTGGTGACCGTGGATGCTCAGCGCACTGTGGCCCAGCTGTATGTGCGCATGGCTGAGCAAGTCTTGGCTCTTCCCAAGTTTGCAGCGCGAGTACAGCAGCGAGTGGAGGGTAACCTGCAGCGCCTGCGCGCTCGTCTGTACGAGGGCCTGAGTCTACTGCCACTGTCCATGTTTGAGGATTCCTTCTCCAGATTACTTCTCCTTCTCGTGGCAGATATCACGCTGGCCGAAACGCCCGCCAGTACTGCTACCAACACATTGCTGCCCGGCCTCTGCCACCGCGATGACCACGACCTCATGGACCTACCTGCCGAAAGTGACTACAACGTCATTGAACATCAGCTCCAGGCTGTCTTGGGCAATGGCATTGAAGCCATTGAGTTTGACCTGACGCACCTCGTTCGACCTGATTGTGCCGTGCAGGTGTGTTTGCTTCTCCCACCACCTTTGCTGTTTTCTCTGCATATCATACAAGTGCACACTCATGTCCTGCTCATGGCGCATCATGCCGCTAGGACACCGCCCCCTTCCCCACTGACGTATCCGTTGTGAATGCGGCTGTCGTGCTGTTTGGTCAATTGTTTCCCGTTCTCGGCGCGCATAAGCACCGTTTTCAGCTTTTTGAACATTTCCAAAAAGCCATGGCTGCCGTCAAGCCCGGCCCACAACGGTGTGTGACCCTTCGGCCCTCCTCCTTTTTTGCTCAACGCATTTACTTGAGGCACCGTCACTCGTCGCCGACCGCCCTAAAAGCCGTATGTGTGTGTGTGTGTGCTTCATCTGATCCGGCCAACGTGACGCTCGGCGCTGCAGGACGGCCGTTGCCCTCAACATTTTTGCAGCCGTCTTGAGCGGGTTGCGGGCTTTTGCTGCCCTTCGCAAAAAGCTTGGCAAAGAAAAGGTCGGTCGACACTGACCGCTAATTTTTTGAGTAGGGTGCGAAGACGAGTGAGGCCTTGGGAGACAGCACGAACATCACGCTCATCATGGTAATTGACTGCTCACTACGTATTGTGACGTGATGCTTTGATGTGCCCCACCATTGACAGGTCATCAAAGCCGGGTTGGATCTCGTGTTCAGCTCGTTGCAGTCTGAGGAGAGTGCCTTGCGCAGCGCTGCGGCAGAAGCGATGGGGCGTCTTGCACAGCTCGGAAATGAAAAACTCATTGCCATTGAAATTCCACGCGTGTTGGAGCTGCTGTCCAAGGTATGCAAGTCTCTGACCCGTGTGCGTGGCAGAAGCACCGAGCACCCCTTGCCTTTTGAACAAATCTGATCTGCGCGCACTTTTCGTAGGAAAAGAATCTGATCACTGTGACTGGTCTGATTGGCGCCATCACATGCATGCATCGCTACGGCGGCTCACTCAATACCAGCGCTTATGTGTCACGTACTGTACAAATCATGACCACATGGACCCGCGATCAGAATTCAGTAGCCGCTGTGTGGGCCATGCGGTCGTTAGCCACGCTAATCGACGCTGCCGGCTACGAGTATCGTCCCATGCAAGAGGCAACCTTTGATCTTTGTGCGCAAGTGATCTTGGGTGATGCAGCCATTGACGTGCAAGCTGGAGCAGGTGCAGCCATCAATGCCCTCATCACGTCGAGCGGGCCAGAGCTGCAGGTGCTTGATGAGTACCGTTCGTACCTGCAAGTGTTGCTGCGCGAAATGCTCAATGCCACAGCACCGCCCATCCAGTTGGCAGCCCTCAATGCCTTCCAGCAAATGACCGTCTTTACGCCTCAGCATGTTGCCATCGTTGAGCTCGTACCGGTCTTACAGCGCGAACTAGCATCTGAGCACTTGCAACTGCGGCATGCGGCCGTGGTCATCCTGAAGCAACTCGCCCAGCGGGAGGCTGCACAGGTCCTCAAGGCGGGTTCGGATCTGGATAAGCATCTCTTCCGTATGATGGACGGGGAGGACGATACGCGGATGCAGGAAGATGTGCGGCAGGTCATTCAGGAGCTGCTTGCTGCTCTCGCTGCTGAGCACCCGAGTCATTGGTTGCTATTGTGCAACTCGGTTCTCTCGGGCGCCACTGAAAAAGAATCTCAGGTAAGCGCGAGCATGGAAATAGTCAAGTCTGGGCAGGATCTTCGAGCTCGGCTCAATTTTTGTATTTTTTGTATCAAGGATACTGTGCAAGCTGACCCCATTGTGTGTGTGTGTGTGTGTGTGTGTGTGTGTGTGCGTTCGGGGCGGTGACTTTCAGGCCAGTTCCTATCAAGCACAGCCCGAGGAGGATGAGGATGAGGACGCGGCCCGCGTGCATGTTGCTACGACCGCACGCACTGTGCTGCCAACACGGTGGCAGACCAAGGTGTTTGCTGTCAACTGCGTCAAACGCATCATCCAGGTTTGCGTGGAGGCTACTAGTACGGACGCGGTCAACCCACACCTCGATCAGGCCGCAGCGACGCAGGCCGGTGGGGATTATCTCGTTTTGCGCTTGAGCGAGATTATTCGCACGGCCTTCATTGCGGCTAGTGCAACGGTCGACCAGCTCCGACAGGTGGGCCTGGAAACGCTGGAGCGCATCATCACGGCGTTTGCTGCTGCGACGGACGTTGAACTGGGTCCTGGTCACGCGCTGCTGGAGCAGTACCAAGCTCAAGTTACGTCCGCCCTCCGTCCAGCATTTGGGGAGGATGTCTCTCCGTTGGTCAAGTACACTGCCTGCCAAGTCAGTCACTTTGTTGTGACTATCACTGTGCTGCTGCTGCTTGCGCGTGACTCTTGCTCCTTCCTTCGCTTTTCATGTTTTATATCTATTTTTTTCCTTTGATGCGCGTGCCTGATTTCCCCTCGATCATGGCTTCTTATGCATTCTTTTCCTTGGGTAGGTGTGCGCGTCATGGATTGCGAGTGGCATCAGCCCCGACTTGGACCGACTTGTCGGCTTGCTTCGCAAGTGTCTCGATACTTTTGAAGAGCCTCCTCTGTCCAGCTACAATGAGCGAGCTACGACCATGTTCAGGCTGGGGGTGCTCAAGGCATTTGCCACAGTGTACTTGGCAAGTCAGGCTGATACGTCCAAGGCCGCTGCCCTCAACAAGGAGGTGGCGCCGCTTCAGGCACGTCTGGGTGATGGATGGCAGGCTGCGTTGCAAGACTACGCCATGGTGTGTCTGCCGCCAGAGTACAGCAATCAGGTGCCAAAGAGTGGGGCTTTCTATTTTGAGGGCACTCGGTCAACGGTCCGGGGTTACTACGAAGCCGTGCATGTGGATCTAGCGCTGGCAGCCGCCGAAGTGGTGCTGCTGGAGGATGAGGGCCGTCCCACGCCCAGCTTTTACGTGCTTCTGGGCATCCTTGTCAAAGACGCTGCTTCGCACCAGGGTGAGGTGGACCTGGGCGTTACCTGCCAGGCTTTGAGCACCACGCTGCGGCGCTGTCCAAGCGTGGTACGGGAGGATGCCGTAGTGGCTGAACTGCGCGTGCTGCTGCAGACTTTGCTGGTCACGCGTGCGCTGACGCCGCAATACTCGGTGCCCAATCTTGTGCGGCACATCTTGGTGGCCTGGGAGGGTTTGGTGCAGCCAGACGGTCCGGCGGACACGGTACAAAGTGCTTTTGACTCGGCGGTTCTTGTCGTGGTGTCGCGCTTTCCATCGCTCAATCACGAGCAACGATTTGTGGCGTCGTCCGAGCTGCCAGCCGGGCAGCACCTCACGATCGAGGAGGTTGTGGCCGCGATTGATTTGTGTTCACGGTGCTGTACCGCGCGGAGCGATGACGCCACACAGGTGGCTCAGCTCAGTGCCCTCACTTTCCGCCTCATGCTCGACGTGATTGGGACGGAGATGGAATTGGGCAAGCGGGTGATTCCCTTGCTTGAAGCTTTGATGCAGCGCTCTGAAATTCCAGTCACGGTGCGCCAACAAGCCCTGAAGACGCTTCTAACCTCCCTACGTGCAGGTATAGTACGCAGCGTTGCGTGGCTATTGTGGCGGCATGCATTTGGGCCCAATTCTTGTGAGCATGTAACCTGCCATTGGCGCACCTCATCCCTATCCCTGTGCAGATGAAACGGATGCGGCCAAAAGCGCCTTGCTCTTGGCCCTTTTCAAGACTGTGCAGCACAGTGCTGAGGTGCGCACGTCGAGCCTGGACTGCGACTCTTGTTTATTCAACGTAAAGGAAGCTGCGTTTCAATCGTCAAGCTTACTGCCGTGTGCTTTGTGTTGATAGCTTTTCAGCGGCACAGATATGGCAAGTCTGTTGGGGGAGGAGATTGAGGCTGACATTGCGTCGGCAGACAAATGGCCCAAGGTACATCATGTGGTGTCCAAGATGATTGGTTTGATCACTATCTTCTGTGCATTTCGTGTTTCGTTTACGGAGGCGTCACACGCTGATTTGATTGGCTGGAACCGGCTGTAATCTGCTTAGACGGCCTTGATTGCCAGCAAATTGGGGTGCACGTTGCTGGAGGCTGAACACCGGAAAGTCTTGGGCGCAGCCTGCTCACGAGCGGTGGTGCAGGGTATGTACGCTTGTGTATCTCGAGCAGTGACGGCCAAACCCACCACAACAGAGGTACGTCTATGCGCTCTAGCTTGTGTGAGCACGTGGAATTGGTGCGTGTGGCAAAGGCAAAGTGAGGATGAGAGGAAGATAAAGTGACAGGAGATGTGGCGATGGGGCAGGGCTCTGCGCACACTCAATTCTTCCACTGACGTGCATGCATTGAATTCACTTGGCTTGTGCATCGCATCGTGGGGGTGACATTGGCAGCATGCACGTTGTGTGCAGGCGTGCATCGACGGCATTTTGCAGTTTTTCAAGATTTGTGATTCAGGTAACGTGTGGCGTGTGCCTGCTACTGAAGTGTGGGGACCGGTGCTGATTTGCGTGGGGCATGCACCGGCCTGGTCAAAGTAGATGCCGTCACGTCAGCTATGGCGCTGGGACTACCACTGTTGATTGCGTTGCTTCAAGATGGCGCTGTAGCGCCGCCTATGGCCAGCGTACATCAACATGCACTAGCGGCTGTCAAGGCGGTCAGTTCCAGCATGGCGCCCCTCGGTTCTGACATTGCCGCCTCTTGTTTATTGTTGCCACGGGAGTTGCTGGGGATGGGATTCTTGGCTTTGCCGCTGACCCTTGTGTCGGGGGTACGTGGTGTGCACAGGTGGGTCCAGCGCATCCTGAAGCGTTCAAGGCCGTCATTGCGGCCACTCCTCAGCTCAAGACGCGGCTGGAGAGCGCCATCCGACAAGGGGTACGTGATATTGAAGATGCTTTTGGGTGAAAATGGATGGAACAAGGCGCCAGGGCTTGGTCGCGAGCGTTGCGTTGGCGGGACGTTGACGGCTGACTCGATCTCATCAATGATACCGTGCAGGCACAGGCGGGCGCAGCGGCGGGCGCAAGTGCAGGGGCGCGTAACCCGACGATCCAACTCAAGATGGACTTTTCCAAATTCCAGTAGTGATTGTAGAGCCAAGGCAGGACTTGTTCGCGCGAGGTGTCCTTGTCGTGCGTTTGCTGCGCGTTGGTTGATCAATCGAGTAGGCGAGTCCTTGCGTTGAGTTTGTCACCGCGTTGTGGCGGGCCAAGGGCGGTGGTGAGAGCGGCGTTGCAGGTGGGCGCACAGGGCCGCATCATATGCGGCGCGTGCAGCAGGGTTGAGCAAAATGGCATGGGCGCGGTAGAGCTGAACGACTGTGCCAAGGGCAACATGTTGCCCTTGCAAAAGGGTCAGTCGTCGCTCCAAACGACGAGCATGGGCTTGATCATCCACCCCGAGCAATTCATACAGGTCTGCATCCAATCGCACGCTGCGTGGGTCGAGCCGGTCCACCAAGCCCCGCCACGTGGCCGTGCCACTGCTGGCCGATCGTGCACGCCGTGCCATGGACGACTGCCCAATCTTCATCCAACAGCGCTCCGGCCGATGCCTCAAAAACAAAGTGAGAGAGAGAGAGAGAGAGAGAGAGAGAGAGAGAGAGAAAAGAGAGGAGAGAGAGAGAGAGAGAGAGAGAGAGAGAGAGAGGAGAGAGAGAGAGAGAGAGAGAGAGAGAGAGAGAGAGAGAGAGGTGTGTGTGTGTGTGTGCGTGTATGCGCGGGGAGAACGGGATCAGAGTAAGTTTGCTCGACCAGAAGATACCATGGATCGTCAGTGGGCACAAATATTGGCGTTTCGTGCCGAACGGGCGACACGGCCGGCGCCCGAGCATGGCCGGCCCATTACGGATCAGCGCGCGCGGACTGGGGCTGATTTTGTGCTGGGGGAGGAGATTGGGCGCGGATCCTACTCGACCGTGCTCCAGGCCACGGAGCGGGAAAGCGGCCGCGCTTGCGCCGTCAAGGTCATCAATAAGAAGTTTATCACTCGCGAGAAGAAGACGCACGAGGTCATGCGCGAGAAGGAGGCGCTGATTCAACTTCGCAACCCAGCTCATGTGGTGGCCCTCCTCTTTACGTACCAAGACAGCGATAGCCTGTGCTTTGCACTGGAGCTGTGCAACAACGGTGACCTGCAGCAACTGGTCGCGGCGCTCGGACCCCTGGCTTTGGGAGACGCCACCTTTCTTGCCCGCCAGCTGGCCGAGGCTATTGGCTTTTGCCATGAGCAAGGCTTTGTGCACCGGGATGTCAAGCCTGACAACTGCCTGCTGGATCATCAACTCCACGTCAAGCTGACCGACTTTGCGGGCTCCAAGTCCATCGTTGCGCACGGGCGCGGGCGCAAGTCTTCCTTTGTGGGCACACCTGAATTCGTGCCCCCGGAAATTCTCAACGCCAAGCCCTCCACCTACGCCTCAGACTGGTGGTCCTTCGCCTGCAGCTTCTACTTCCTTCTGACGGGGGAGCACGTCTTTGATCAGCCCTCGCAATACATGATGTTTGAGGCCATCTGCCAAGCAGAGTACAAGCTGCCGGCGTGGCTGCCTCGCGAAGCCGCTGAGCTGATCCGTTCTCTCTTGCAGGTGGACCCTGCAGTGCGCATTCCAGGTACCGAAGCAGATTCCGAGGCTGACCGCCACGGCCTTGCCTACGTGTTGGGTCTCCCTCTCTTTGCCAACCAGCCCGTCGAGCCCAACACACGGCTGCAGTTGTGCCCCACTCTTCCTGCATCGGCCGAGCCCATCCCGGACGCCTGGGTCAACCATGCGGCCAAACCCACAGGCACGCGCTCGCCACGCAGTGTGGACGAGTGCCCTTACAGGTCCTTGCTACCAGCTGAAGCCCAGCTTGAATTTTGGGACCATGTCTGGCTCGTAACCCCCGGCGACAAGCGTGTGCTGGCCTGGCTCGTGTGCCGCGACCACCTCTACTCGGTTGACGTGGGCGACACGCTCCAGGGCAAGTCTCCGTCCCTATACCACATGTTGCCACTAAGCGAGGTGGTGGGTGTTGTGGCTGTCCAGCCAGATGCTGCAGCCCAAGAGGGCGCGCACACGCCCGTGCCCCATGTCATTGTTCAAGCGCGTCATCGCACCCTGATCTTACGCCGTTTCGAGATGGATGATGTCGACTTTGCCGCCCACCCAGAACACCTCATCTATGAAACGCACTGCTCCTGCCCCGACTTGGCGGTCGCCATCCTCACACACCAACAGCAGTCATAAGAGCATGTTTCAGGCCACTGGTGACTTTTTTGATGCATTTTTTTTGCTCGCCGGGACCCAATAACTAGTGTACCAATCAAATGGGTGGTGCCAGCCCTGAGGGCTTAACGGGGTTGTGGTGCGCATGCCCATGTCCAACGCAGACTGCCTGCCTGGAAATTGACCCCTATCTGTAAAAAACCAAAATAGCTACTCGGCGGTTGCCCTACCGTGCCTGGCACATATCGAAGAACGGGCAGCTTGACTACATGTGCATACGCTTCCTAACCCTGACCCAAGACAAGAAGGCAGCAACCTCCATAGCCACGCTTGACACGACGAGTCAACAATTCTTGCTTCATCCGACGGCTGGTGAGCTGAGCAAACAGGAGGCAAAGAATGATAGATGCGACATTTGGAATGGGTGGGAAAAAAAAAAAAAAAAAAAAAAAAAAAAAAAAAGAGAGGCAAAAAGGTTTGAGCGTCTGCGTTCGATTCAAAGGGCCAGCTTAGAACATCTTTTTCTTGCGGAAAGAGCAGCCTGTTAACAGGGGAAGAGACAAGAGCAAGGCAAACAGGAAGTCAGCCAACAGAAAACCAAACAGGGTGGAGCGAGACCAAATGACCCAGTCTTAAACGTCAAATTGAGCACATTGAAAACACACACCTTCCGTAAGACGGGCCTTGCCACCAGAGGGACGGCAGATGATCTGCGAGCACTCGCCACACATGACAACAGTCTGGGCGTGGCTGTAGACGGTGGAGATGTTGGCGCAGCCGGGGCAACGCACATCCTACAAAACGAGAAACACGATCAGAAGATTGGGAGCATCAGCTAAACATGTTCGCAAAGACTGGTGCCCGTGTGATGTGTAAGCAGCCTCTTGTCTGCAAGAATAGTCCTGTAGCCGTGGCTCTGCCTTTGATAGACCATAAATGGCTCGGCTCGAGAAAATGTTTTCTCAAGATTGAGAAAACCATCATGTCACCACGAGGACCACGAGCTGAAGAGACCCGAACATATCCAGAGAAGTGGTAAGGCAGCTCGTTGGCTAGAATGTCTAAAGTGACTCACCATGAAGAAAGAGTTGGGGCTCTGCACAAGGCGCTTCAGCTTGTGCTTGCGGGCCTCATCCTCAGGGCGAGGGTTCAGGAGATCGACAGCGAGCTGCCAAATCAAGAGCACACGTCCCAAAACGCACGGACATCATATCGTGTGAGCACATGCTCATTAAACAGGTGGCAGCAGAAAAAACATCGACACACGCGTCTGCCGTCGCCCATCAGCCTCGAAAGCTTGACGATTCAGGCACGGTGGCAACAACAACGGCAGCGACAGGGCAGGGCAGCGTGACACGTACAGGCATGATCTCGGTCTGTGCGTCGAACAGAGAAAGAAAAGTGGCGCTAAGCTGGTTATAACCTCAGCTTGGGGTTCAAATCTCAAATCTCAAACCACAATTACACTTGGTTCCTTCAGAACTTTTTTTCCCTCGCTACGAGAACAAAAGGAGAATCCAGACAGCAAGAGGAGGGAGAGAGAAGATAAAAGCGACCAAAGGGTGGCGGCGAGATGCTCCACAATACCAACAACCAATTCAGAAAAGAAAATGCATAGCTCGCCGCTCATTCGTCGGGACACCACGACCAAGCCAATTTCGTCAAGGTCGACCTCGACGAACGGCAGCTTGACGAACGGCGACCGTTCGTCAAGCTGCATAGGCATCACATGTTCCGTATGACTGCCTAACATCGTCAGACATCACGCTCCGCAAATCGTCTGACGTTTGGACCTAGCCCAAAAGTATTATACTTATGACCTCGGTGTGGCCTGCTCTGTTGTTGTTTGGGAGAACGTTAACTGGAACCTTGACTGTGCTTTGGGCAGCGCCCTGTTCCGCTTCGTTCCGCTTGGTTCCGTTCCGCTTGGTTCCGTTCCGCTTGGTTCCGTTCCGCTTGGGCGGTTGAAGCGCTTGCCCTCCCCCCCCCCCTCTCTCTCTCTCTCTCTCTCTCTCGATCGGTCACTGGCACTGCTGCTGCCGGGCTGGATCCTACGCCCGATGTGGGCCGCTCGGTTAACTCAGTGCGGACTGTGCTCGCTGCTTCCGACTTGGCCAGGCACCCCCTGTCATGAACAACAGCAGTAAAGATGCCGTTGTTGGGACCGAGGATGACCTGCCCGTACCGCCGCCGCGAACGGTGTCCATGGCCATGCGCGCCAAGCCCTCGCGCCCCCCGCTAACTCAGACGCCACTTGTGGCAGCCGCGCGAGCACGCGCCCTGACCAGCTTGCGCGATGCCCCACCTCCACCCCTGCAAGCGCCCATTTCAACCAACCGCTCATCTGGATCTGGTTACGAGGTTCCTAGTGCCTTGCGCCAGCTCGGCACGGACAATAGCAGCCCCTATGCCGAGTTTCGTGGCACCCCGGGTACTCCCAGTCGTGTGCGCTCTATCACCGTGGGCCATTTTGAGTTTGAGCAGCTGCCCCCTCAAGTTCGCTTAGTTAGCACAGCATCGTTCAGCAAAAAGTCGGCGGCCAGCACCGACGCCAACGGCGCTACCCCAGCTGCTGGCGCAAACGAGTCGGCAACAGAGTCCAACACTGATGCTGCTCCTGCGAGTAACCCGGTCGTGACCGTCTCCGACCTCGCCGACGATGAGGAACTTATCCCAGAAACGAACACCGACGCGCACAACTTTAGCAATCAAGGTCAATACCTCGCTGAGGAGCGCCGCCTCAGTGCCCTGCGTGCCTCCGTCCACATTGATGATGAGGAGCTTCTCGCACTTCGCCGCCTCTTCGCTGGACTCAACCTGGAGGACCCGGAGACCGATGACGATCCACCTGCCTCCTCCGATCCGTCCCACGCAGCGCCGGACAGCGAGGATAGCGATGATGAGCGGCAACGTTCCATGCCCCCTTATTCAAAGCCCAAGCGCCGACATGAGCGCGTGATGGACCACGAGTACGAGGCCCCGCGCCCCGCGGAAGTGGATTTGAAGTCCGCCGATGCCAATGCTGATGCCCTAAGCGAGGACAGCCATCACTACAGCATCATCGATTCCGTAACCGATTCAAATCTCAAGCTTCACGATCCTGATCGCCCACTTCCGGCCCTCCCTGACCCTGAGCTGGGCGACAAAACGTCCTCCCTGGGCTCGGAGTTTCGCCATCGTACTGCGGTCCTGGCAGGCCAACTTCGCAGCAGCGCACGTGCCTCGCTGCGGCAGCGAGCAGCAACAACAAGCACTCACCAATATGACTTTATCGACAGCAGCTGCTCAGATATTTCCTCGGTCTTGGCGCGCCCACGAGGCGCGGCCCGCAGCAAAAAACACCGAACCTCCTTGTTGGTATCAGACATTGGCATTCGGTATGTCTACAGACGTGTGAAAATCAACTCTTGCCTCGCTTGTCGCCATCTTCCTTAGCCTTCGACTTTTTTTTTTTTCGAACCATGACTTTGTTGGATAGCACCCTCACTGTCTCCATGTGTGTGTGTGTGTGTGTGTGTGTGTGTGTGTGTGTGTGTGTGTGTGTGTGTGTGTGTGTGTGTGTGTGTGTGTGTGTGTAGTGTGGCCTCAGCGAGCCCTATGGGCCACGGTTCACAGCTCAAGCCTGCCCAGTCCGATCCAAACGGCCTCCAGCAAAGGTTGTCCGTGTGCGTAGACGATTGGCTGCAGGAACAGGCTTTCGAGCCAAACTCGGCGGAAAAGCGCAAATCCATCATGCGGCCCATTCCTCGCACGCTCTTGCGCCTTGGCACCGGGTGCGTTGGAATGCTCACGTGGGCAAACTAGCCTGAGACCCGCGCCGTTACACTTGCAGTCACGCGTCCAGCCATTCCAACGGCATTCAGCCTTGCCTCACCTAGCCTGTGCAATACCTTGACGGTGCTTTGTCCAGAGAAACCCAACCCAAGTTTTGCAGCACTTATACCAACGAGCAACTTTCCACTGACGCTGTCGAGAAGTGCGGACCGATATTTCACCGAGCCATTGTAGGTTCCAGCCAAGCCAAGACTCGGTCTTACTCAAAGCTTGAATCATTCATCCACCTCCAATCCGGCTCATAAGGATGGCTTGGGTGAATATGCTTGCAGGGTCATGTGTGGCGGAACCGCTGGGCCGTGCTCCGCGGCAACTACCTCTACATTTACCAATCTGAGCGCAACAGGGGACTGATTAAGGTGTGTGCCCATCCATGTGTCCACCATCCCCATTCCTCGGGCTTTGGACTAACAGCTACCATACTGCCTTTAGCGCTTTGAACTATCGGATGCACTCAAGATTTGTCGAATGCGCACGCCCACGCACGCGCATGCCGTGCGCTTTTTCACTCTCAACGATTCGGTTGCACTTGCGGTGCGTTTCCAGCCAACCACTCTCTTCCAAGCGCTTCTCGCTGCCTGCTGGTGCATGTTGGCAAAAGTCTCACCTCTTGAGGGCGTCGCACCTTGATGGCATGCAGCTTCGAACCGGTCCTGAGCTCGAGGCTTGGATCACCGCTGTGAGTGGTGCCTCCAACCACAACAGCACGACCGCGCGCCAACTCGGGAAAATCTACGGCTGGGCTAACAAGGTTCTGCCTGTCATGGGTGCCGTAATATTGCTTTATTCGAATCCTGGCAGTGTCTTCATTCTTTGCTGTGCTGCTTGTTCTTCTCTTTAACTTTCCCCGTGTACCCTGCAGACAGTCCATGGTCGCGTTCGACGGCGCTACCTGACATTGATTGGCTGGTGAGATGTCTCAAGTTTGCTGCCAATGTACTTTGATCCTGTCCACCTTTGGGACTCATGTCATTCTACTGCGGAAATTAATGACGTGCAGCAACATTTTTTACGCGACGAAAGAACGCGGCAAGCCGGCAGGTTTCATCAATCTAGCCGAATGTGGTCTGCGCGTGTACGGCTCGGAGGACCTTTCAGATGACGAGGGCAGTGAATGTATGCCTCAGGCCGTGGCCCACTTGTCCCTTTTTCGACGTAAGTCACTTTTGCACTTGATGTTAAACACAGCCTTCTGTATGGCACTCATGTCCAGCCAGCTTTTTGTTTACATGTATGTGTGGGCATTTGTGGACGTGCGTCTGCGTGTGTGTGCTCACTCGCTGTCTGCCTTGAATCACGCAGCCAAATTTCTTCCAAATGGGCGCAAAACCATAGAAGAAATCATCCTTTCCTTTAGCGATAACACTCAGCGTGACCGGTAAGCCTCAAAAAGCTGGTGTGCTTGTCACGCAATCGATTCTCACCCTCTTGCCCGGACCCCCTTGCCTGCGTTGTGATCAGGTGGGCCCACTTTATTGCACTTGCAATTGGCCAGGTGGCCGAAGAGGTAAGAAGACACCAACACGTTTTTTTTGTCGCCCAGCCCCGCATTTCAGGGGACAGCACTCACGTCCAGATCATGGTGACTTGACAGGTGGCCACTCGTTTTGAAACAGTTACGGCGGCGATATTGACGCATAAAACCTCCACCACCGAGTTGCGAGCCCGCATGACCAACGCGGTACGTCTTCAACCCCATTTACCTTGACGTTCTTTTTTTTTTTTTTTTTTTTTTTTTTTTTTTTTTTTTTTTCCCTTTGTTTTTTTTTTCTCTTTTTGTTTTCTTCTTCGCCAGACAGTTGCTTACTTTTGACTGGCCATGATGCGGTGTACCCGACGATCGAATGCACATCGCCTCTGGCAGGCATTGGTGGGGATTGATGGCACGTTGCGAACGACCATGCCCTCCGAGCAAAGCCGAGTTGACGCCGAAAAGCTGGTGGCGGAAACCCTGCTGTTTATTGGCACGAAACAACAGCCCAATGGCATTGTCTACCACATCAAGATGGCCCAGGTCTGAAACTGAAGCTGCCAGCGCCCGGGGTCACTGCGAACCAACAAGCCCATTGCGCCTTGCCTGAGCTTGGACCTGATGTTTTAAACTGTAGAATCTGATTGGGCAAGTTCTGCAACAATCCGAACTGCTTGAGGAGCTATATGCCCAGCTCGTGTGTGCCACCAACAGCACGGATGGTTTACATACCGGGTTTCAGGCAACGCAGGCATGGCAGCTCCTTGCTTTGCTCTGTGGCTGTGTTCTACCCTCGAAGAATATGAGCAAGTGCGTACGCCACACATTTGCAAACACCTGCAGCCTGCTTCGCCGTCCACGCTCACAGCAAGCCCCGACAGGTTCTTGCACATGTATCTGTCCTTGCACGCACAAGGAGCCATTATTGCAAGCAGTGGTGCTCCGATAGCCACGGGACAGGCGGGTGCGTGCGTGATGCAACGCGCTGGGTTGAGGGCCACATTGTCCCAACGCTGGGAGCTTCATCGACATGCAGACTTACTGAGATGATGGCGATTGTGTGACGTTTGCGGTGTAGTATTGACAGGCGAAGACGTTGAATCCTGGGCGCACTTCTGTCTGCATGGTCTCAAGCGCTTGCTGGAAAACGGCGACCGGCAAGAGCGCCCGAGCTTTGCTGAGATCGAAAGCGTGCTGCTGCGTCACCCAGGTCGCTTCAGCCATCCCATCAGCATCCCCATTTTCTTGAGCAATGCCAATCACATGCTGCTGGGCATTGACTTTTCCACGACAGTTGATGAAGCGCTTCTTCAGGTTCGTGCGCTTCACCCCTGTGACGGACCGGGCGACCCTGTCCCATTTGGTGCCAAAAAGCAACGACTTCGTGATGACCCTCGAGCCATTGCGGTCATAGATTTGTCTCGAACTTGGCATCCGACCACCTCGCAAGAGCGGGTATGTATCCAAAGTCACCTCAGGTGCCTCGTCATACAATGGGCACCACGCCTCCCAACGCCCCGTGTCATTCTGCCCTGTCGTGCTGTTTGGGTTTCTTGGTCTGGAAATTGGGCGTTCTCGAAGTCACGACCACTGTAACCCGTGGTGCTGCAGATTTGCCATCCTGGTTAGCGATCCCCAATACCCAGATGAAGGAGTCTATCATTCCACCCGCGGCGCTGACAAGGTGAGCATGTCATCGGTCACGGATCTTGCTGTGGCCTTTGTTCATCCCAATACGCCTTGCGGTTCAACTATGAATATTCTCATTCTCTCCGCTTTCTTCTTTGCTTATTTGGTTTCTTTCGTTTTTTTTACGTCCTCTTGGAACTTTTCTTTCTTCTTTCGCGTTCTTACGCGGGTGGATGACAGCTGTGCGATTTACTGTCTCGTTGGGAGCGCATGCATAGCCATTTTGCGCAAGGGCACGTCAAGGCCCGGGTGCCAACATTTTTATTGCAGCGACGTCTTTGGTTTAGCCGAGCAGCCGGCGATGAGACGCTTGTCGAGGCCGTCTTGGTGTCCTATCAACTTGGCATACAGTTGAAGGGTACCGGTATGCGCTTGAGACCAGCGGATCAGGCGGAAGTTCTGGCGCGCCTGGCACAGCTAGAGTGCGGTGATCTAGTGGACTTTGAGCAAGAATGCCCTGGGCAATTGCTCGAGGCGCTCGAAGGATTCTGGCCACAGGATGTAAGCTCGCTGGGTAGATATCCAACCTGCGCGCAGATGTATCGCATGTGAGTCCTAATTTCCTTTCTTTTTGGTTGTAGGCTGGCAAGGGCATGCAAGAGGATGTGCGTCGATGCTGGCAGGCATTGCATAATACGGATGCCGAGACTCTGGCGCGGTACGAATTGGGGCGTCAGCTGTGTGCAAGCACACATAGTTCATACTCAATCGCACGGCTTTGGGTGCACAACAGGGGCATTTTGACGATCGTGGCGGCAAGTCCAATGTATGGCGTGACCATCTTTCCCGTGAAGCCAATGGGCGTGCCCACTTTTATCAAGGGCATGGTCAAATATTTGTCCATCTCGGAGCAACAAATTGCGATTTTGACGGCGGGCTACGAGCTCCTGCACCTGATTCCTCTGGCTAAACTGCGTCACTTTGGTTCCGTGGGCGGTGCGTCAGTTCTGCGAGTCTTGACAGACGATTATGGCTTCTGTGTGTGTGTGTGCGTGTGTGCGTGTGTGTGTGTGTGTGTGTGTGTGTGTGTGTGTGTCCACTGACCTCGCCGCCTTGATTGTAGGACCATTCTGTTTGGTGTTCCAATATGAGGGAGAGGATTCTGCCTTGCTGGTCGAGGCGCCGCAACAGAGCGAGATGACCTTGCTTATTGCCTCATACATCAATGCCATTGTGCAGCGTGAAGGCATTACCTGCCAGGTGGCGCATGTGGTCCAAACGACAGTGGATGCCGAAAGCGGCATCTAGGCCGCGCTGCCGGTTGACACTAACATAAACAATGTCTTCCAACTTTGACCGCCCTCATTCAATGTTTGAACATTCTTAATTTCTCCACATTCTTATTCCAACATCGGCATCTTCTTTTCATCTTTGCTGGCTGCTTCTAGAAATGGGGCGCCACCGAATTCAAGAAAAAGTGATTTGTCCCTTCGTGTGAAAATTTGTCTGTGGAAATTTTGTTGTCTTCCCTTTTTGATTTCTGCTCATGCCAGGGAGTGTGCAATGGCGCGTCTGATATGGAAGCAGAAGGATTTGAGATGAGATTAACATGTAAGTTAACACGAAGGGCTTCAAACAAAGCAGAGCCGTCACTCGTCATCGTCTTCACCGTCCATGGCCACGACGAGTGCATCTGCATAGCCGTATCGATGGGCCAGTTCGCGCGCCGCCTGGGCCCAGAACGGGTCAGCACGACGCAGCTGACCCCAGGTGACGTTGGCGTGAAAGCGCTGATCACGGCGGGCAGCATGATGTTCCTGCTCACACTTGGAACCCGGCAGAGACAGTCGATGGCAGAGCTCAGCGACGGGCGTATCCTCCATGCGAAAGCGCCAGTCTGCATGTAGCTCCACCCATCGGTTCCAGGTGACCCAGTGTATCAAGGCCTTGCGCAAGGGATGCATGCTTGCCAGGCCAGGCACCGCCGGTGTGTGTTTAGCCTGTACAAGAGGCCAGCACAAGCGGAGTTTGAGTGTCTTGCACCTGAGACGCATGGATGGCTACGAGCACCCAGAGTTCGTGGGCACAAACACTTGTCAAGGACAAAGCAAGCACCGAGGCAACCTACGATAAATTTCCAACTCATGCCTTCGTACGTCGTGAGGGAAGCAATGACCCGTAGCGGATGCCGGACTTGGTGAAAGACCTGCCCGAAACGGCGGTCCTTTAGGCGATAATTGGCGTTTTCCCAGGGGTAAAACCGATCTGGATCCTGCACGGCATAGATCCAGCTCACGGAGCCATCGCGGCACGCTGCTTCATGACACACATTTATTCCCATGTGTCGAAGGGATGACTCGGTGTGGTGGGTGCCGGAGCGACCAACCCCCGTGATCAGCACCGGGAGTTGGCCCTGGCCCGTGCCACATTCCCGCGTGACCTTGTTGTGAAAAGAGCAAGCTAGGGGCACGGCCGCACCGAGGGGGCCTGCACGCGCATGCGCGGCATCAAACTCGTCCAGTGTCACGTTTGGCGGGGTGGCAAGTGCAGCATCGTGGCGCTCAGCCAGTAAGCGCTTTTGCTGTTCCTCCCAAAGCTCATGCATTGTCTTCTTGCGGGTAGGCTTGGCCTCATTGGGCTGACTAGGCACAGGCTCAGCGCGCCGCGGAGTCGCTAGGGGGTGACTCTGACCAAGTCGCGGAGACGATGTCTCATTCCACACCCTCAGCTGTTGATGCTGCGGGTGCTGTTGCGACAGTCGCGGGGTGGGCGGGTGATGGAAGGCCCCCAGGCGTGCAACCACAACATGCTGGCGTTGGCTCACCAATCCAATTTCTACCACGCCAATGACCAAGGTCAAGGCTGCCAAGGCCAGCAGCCCTTGTGGCAGCACACTGCGGAGCCCGCGCAGGCCCATGACCATGTGTGTGCACCCTCGCCAGGAGCTGGAGGGAGCAGCACCGAAACGCCACGACTTGCCCACTCCCCCCGCTCACTAGTGCCGCCGTCCAACGTGCCGACCGTGCACAAGCTCGACGCTGTCCGCAACTGCCGCAACTGCCGCCACGATCAACGCCGACCATCGTTGCATGCAGGCAAGAAAGCGTAAGGTTTTGGTTATTGTCACTGGGTTCGCGTTTGATTTTCTCTGCCGACCAGGTTAAGACCGAGACTGTAGCTGGGTTCAATAGTAGAGTATAATATCACACTTATTGCAGATGTGATAAGACTTTCTGTGTAAGTTTATGAAGATATATTTAACTTTAACGTCGCCCGTGGCGTTGCTGATGTTGCATGAATTTGGCGGCGGACGTGTGTTGGTCTCGTGCCACTGCCGCTCCCCCGTCGTCCCGGTCCTGGCCCTGGCCCCCCGTCCCAGTCTCAATAGCACGGTCTTGAACAAACAAGACCTCAGCCAGGACCTCCACCTGTGCTAGGTACGACTGGAAGGCACCTGAATTGCCAGTGTTGTTTTGAATTGGGCCCAACATGTGCTGCATGGGAACCGTGTTGATGTTGACTTCTCGTCACTGAACCAGGGAACACGAGAGAGAGAGAGAGAGAGAGAGAGGACCGAGAGAGCTTGGGCGCGTGGCTCCCGTGCCCCCGTGCCGCGAGGGCAGCCCCTTTGTCGCCCAGGTGCCTGACCTTCACGGTGTGCTTTCCTTGGATGTGTGTGCCAACGAATTCTGGCCCAGGCATCGCGATAGTTATTAGACCCGGACTTCTGCCCGCCAGTCCTGTTGCACCATGGCCGCCCATGCCGCCAGCGGTGACGGAAGTCCGCCACGCAGCGAGGGACGAGAGGTGTGTTTCGACTGCCCCAGTGCCTTGAGTGCTGGCGAGGTCTTTTGTGCTGACTTGGCAATGCATCGTCGTGGCTCAGACCACCATTGCCCTCACGTTTTGTGTCATTGTGCCCCGTTTGTAGCGTCGAATTCACAATCAGAGGGCTGCGACGTCGCGACTTCGTCTGCTCAAGTCACTGGCCGATGCCAATGCTGAGGTGCACACCCATGCCTTGTCTTCCCGCCTTGTCCCGTGTTCTCTTGCAACAGCGCTGTGCCTCCGCTTTGACACTTTCTAGTTCTCATGACTGGCTCGTCTTCATGAAATGTGGACTACACCTTCAGTTGGCTCCGGGTAGCATATCGCCACCCGCTCGACGGGCTTCGCACATGGACCCCATCTCAGATACTCCTAGCGAGGGACGAAAACGCTCAACCTCGGCCATCAGCTCCTGGTCCACGTCGAGTCGACGTGGCCATGGGGGTGCCGATGTGGAAACGGTTGTGCGCCAAGAGTCACAGATCCAGGCACTGCGCGCTGAAACCCATGCCTTGCGCATGCAACTTGAGGCCGTTCAGCACGATGCAATGGCCGCTCGATCTGCCAAGGATCAGTTGCAGGCCGAGCACGTTGCGACGCAAGCCATTGTAACAAAGCAGTTGGAACGCATCAACCAGCTGGAGCAAGACAGCGTTGCTGCACAGAAGGAGTTGCAGCATCACCGCGCCGCTCGCCCGGGCTTGTTTCATCGCACGGTACGCAGGCACCAGTGCCCGAAAGCCCTTGGTCTTTCGTCTCTTCAGTTGCGACCAGAGTGCTGAGTTTTTTTTGTTTTTTTTTCTTGGACTGGACTGGCCTTGTCATTTGTTTTGCTGGAGCTGCTCTGTAGTAGTCCTCATCCCATGACCTTTTTTTTTTTTGCTGCGAATAATTGGTGATAGAAAAAGGGCGACGACGATTTGCTTGCAGTTTTGCAAGAACGGACGCATGAGCTCCAGGCGCTTCGTGCCGATAACGATCGCCTCGTCCAGAACCAACACATGTACCAAGAGCAGGTCAGTCACCCGCTTAATGGCGCGTGAGTGGTTCTAGCACCTTTATCCAGCTGACCAATCCCCTCCCTCTCTCGGCCCACAGCTCAAGGCGGTGGAGGGCATCTTCATCCAAGCCATGGCGGCGTCTGGCGTCAAAGATCTGCTTCGTGGCGATGATGGCATCGAGTGCATGCAGCAACTCGTGAACGAGTTTCATCTGCAAAAGGAAGAGAACCAAAGCCTACAAGAGCTGCTAGCTGAAAGCCGGTCGCAAATTCTCGGCTCGCAGGCCCAGTGCGTCAAGCTACAGGACATGCTGGTGGGTGCTCTGATTACTATCGGTTCTCTGGACACTGCCAACTCGTGCTCGCCAGACATGCTATGCCACCGATTCTGACACGCGCCATATGCACCGTTCCTGGGCTGGGAGTGTAGAATCAAATTGAAACCACGTCCTTGGATGTGGAAACAGAGAACAGGGATCTACAGGCTGAGCTACGCACTCTTCGCAGCGAGCTGCGCGATTGCCATGGGCAGCTGGAGCAGCTGGATAGCTATGCCGAAGAAGTCAATCACCTGCAGTCAGAGCTCAAGGCCGCTCGGCAAGAAATCACCGCGGCCCGTACCTCTCGAGCCAACCGACTTTATGAGCAGACCAGTAGTGGCACTGTGCGTATCTCGCGGCGCAGCTCGATGCTAGAGGGCAGTGCCTTGAAGAGTAGCCGTCGGGACGAGATTGCCGAGCTGGATGACATGATTGAAGCACAGAACGAGCGCATCGAGGAGATGACAAAGGAGCTGGATCAACAAGCAGATGATTTTGAATCGGAGCGGACCTTCTTGCTCAACGAAGCACAGCGGCATTTGAACAGCAGCCACGCGCTTGAAGCCGCACTGACTCGCACCCGGGAGCAGTATGCCGCTGAAACAGAAATGCTGCGGATGCAAGTTGAAGACCTCAATACGCAACTTCAAGAGCGAGACAGCGAGCTGGAGTCACTGCGCAGCGCCTCAGAGCAAAATATGCTCGAGCTATCGACAACCATCACGGCCCTGCAGTCTGTCTTCGACGAGGACGACGAGGCCGCTCGCCGCGTTGCCAAGGATAACAAGGCGGTGGCTCATGTCATGGAGTCGATGGACAATTGGAAGGCCGCTCGCAATCAACAGTTGCGCGACGCGCGAACCGAGCTAGCCGAGGTGAACGAGCAGCTCAATCAGACCTCCGACGCGCTAGCTCAGGCCGCCCCTGTACTGTCGCTGCCAATGCCTCCTGCGTCGGGCATGGGCACAAGTGACAAGAAAGACCAAATGACGGCTAGTGAGCAAGCGCCCAAGCAAAGTCTTGACAAGTCTGAGTCACGTCGTAAAGGCGGTAAACGCAACAAAAACGCGCACGGTCGTTCCAATGCGCCGGTGGAGGCCAAACCCACCAGCACAGAGACATCTCGCCCAGCCAATGGTGGTGCGTCGCCACGACAGGCGTCCGAGAACTTGGGTTGGGCGGGGCCCCACGCTCCCTCTGTAATGCTCAAGCTGCAGGAGGATCAGGCAGAATGCATTCTTGAGGCGTCGCGCCAACTCCACCGCACACGACGCGAGCTTGAGCAAGCGCGGCGCCAGCTCGCCTCAGTCCGTGCCGCACGCAACGTGGAGCTGCAACGGCAGGGTCTCAAGGCCGACGATGTTGTCGGTGCAAATGCAGCTACAGCTGCGTCACCAGCGCACCGACGTGAGGCGCCTCAGAATGATCAGGCTGATCACGCGGCGGCGGAGGAACTTGCATCCTCATCCCCCAAGAGCGGCTCGAGGGCCTCCGCAGCGTCTGTGGCGCGCTTGGAACGACGTGTTCAGGCATTGCAATTAGACGTGGAGCATTGTGAACAAGAGAATCGCGAACTTCACGACCAAGTTGAGGTGGCTGACCGGCGTCGCTTGGAGCTGGTGCGTGAGCTGGCGCGCCGGCAGGATCGGCAACTAGGTGATCACGTTCGAGGCTTTGTTCAACACGCCGAGATTTTGGGTCTACCTGCCTTGCCGGGGGCAGGTGATGAGACTCAAGCCATCCATACTTTGGCGTACATGTTTGGTAGCCTCTTGGGGCGGCCAAGCATGGTCACAGCCCGGTCGCAGCTGGCAGCCGTCAGTCCGTATCTGGGCCTAGCGGTCATAGTTGCGATGGTTGTTGGTCTACACTTACTCTTGTGGCGGTGGGGAGGCCATGCTTGGGCCGTGGCGGGATGTACGTTGACAGCTGGTATAGGAGCCTTGTTGCACGCGTTGTTGCGCGTGGCACCACCAACGCGCACGGTGATTGCCGGCGGGTATGTAGATGGTGTGGGCACGTTGAGGTCGGCCAGTCTGCCGACGTGAAAAATCTGCACTGTTTTGGAGGTCTATAGCACGTGTCTCACCTGTTCTATGGCCTTTTTAGTTGGCTGCTCCGAGATGCCGAGGAGGATTTGGCGGTCGCCAAGCGCACCGGCGCCATGCACGCTGCACTAGAGTGCGTTACCCATTATCCTCAAGCCCAGCTTCTAATTCGAGCATGCACATCAAATCTCACAATTGCTCCTGTGGCACATGTGGTTGGCATACGTGTTAGGGCTGGGCGGCTGGGTCAGCCCGAGAGAGTTGTTTCCACCCTGGCCGTGGAGCCCCGGGAGCAGGTTGATCACCGAGGCTCCTGGGAGGCTAGTTTGCGCCGACACCTTGTGTCCCGCCTCGACAAGCTGCAGCAAGAGGGCAGGCCTTGCCTGGAAGTGCGTCGCGTCGGCAACAAGGGCCCGGCAGCTTTGCTAACACTCGTTCCCTCCGAGGAGAAGCATACGAGGGCACCAGCTGCCGTGGCTGTGTTGCTGGGTTTGCTGGCCAGCCATGGCCGCGCCCCGGCCACGGATCAGTCAGCCGCGAGCGGCGCCACGATGCTTCGTTGGGGCGTGGAAGCGAGTGGGCGCACGCTGCTCCGGCATCTAGGACAGCAATTGGCTGGGCGTGCTTGGCGTGCTCGCTGGCGGCCATTTGCTGCTGAAAAAAGCCCTGATCTACTCCGTAACTACCGCATGTACGGTCACGAGTTTGTCGTGGCCCAAACAGAGGCCATGGGCGCTTGGTCGGCCACTGCCAAAAGCCTTCACAAGGCCTTTTTCAAGGTCGCGCCTGGTGCTGCGGTCCTGGCGCTGAAGGTGACGCTTTCGCGAGCAAGCCTTGAAGGCCGAACCGTGTCATTCCCTTTGTTTTGGCGTCGTGATGAGGCACCCGAGACGGCTGTGGACCAGCTGCGGTATTGGGTGCATCTCGTGCAGCGCTACCCCAGTGCTTGCGGTCAGTTCTGCGGAGCTCGAATTTCCGTAGGGTAGTGTATTAGCCTGCTCTCACGTTGATGGCTGTGCCTCCACCACCCCTTAGATTTGTTGTGGCGTGTGTGTGCACGCCTTGTACCCTGCCCCGACCTCCACCTAGTTCTAGCCGAGCCACAGCCTCAGCCAGCACCAGGGGCCGAGCAGTTTGGCGTTGTGTTTGCGGACACTAGCGTACGTATCGTGACGACAGGGCGTTTTTTGAGGCATGTTTGCCGTCCGCATATCGATACTCACTCGGCTCTTGTTTTGTGTTGTGTTGTCGATTTTGTTTTTCTTCTTTTGATTTGCTTTCGGGCACAGGCTGCCGTTTCGGTGCTTGTGGTGGCGTTTGGAAATCATGTTAGCTTGTCGGTGGGAGGCTCTCGAGAGCAGGACCAAACTTTGGCCGATATGATCCACACGCTGCGCTCGGACTTTGATCCATCAACGGCCCCACGAGCCAACACGCGCGCGCAATGACCGCTACAGCGCATTCGAGCAAACCAACAGGCATGCTGAATCTATGAGTCAAATTTGTTGTTTGAAGGTCGATCATCAACTGTGTTGTGTCCTCTGAAAAGGAGGACGGTTTGTGTGGTAGCTTTACTTGGCATCAGTGGCAATGGGGCATTGCTCTCGTGGCGAACTAGCCCATTCAGTCCACGCGCCATCATACACGGGGATTTCTGCGAGAAGCAGGGACGTAATTTCACGTGAGAACCGGGATCGATTCTGCTGGGTTAATCATGCCAAGCCGTCGCAGTCGTTGGCTCGGAGCCAGGCAATCGTGGGCAAGATGGGGCAAGGCAGGCGCACCAGTGCCGTCGACGAGGTAGCGGCCAAAGGCGAGCATGCAGGCCGTAACTCCAGAGCCGCAGGTGGCGACCAACGGTCGGTCAAGCTGAATACCGGCTTCTTCAAAGAGGGCACGCAGCTCAGCTGGATTCTTCATCTCCTGCAGGATCAGGCAATGAGGGGGAAACATGATTGGCTGAAGGAGGAGGCCAAGCTAGTACGTACGCCGTCTCGGTTGACGAGCGCGTCAAATGGGAGGCAAGCGCTACCAGGAATGTGGCCCGAAGGAAGGCCCGGGCGGGGCTCGGGTGCGGTGCCAGCAAATCTGAGCATTTGAATCGCGAATCTCGTTAGTACAATGGAAAGGATGTGTGGCTCGCGCCTGAGACTGAGCTCAAGCTTAGAGGAAGAAGATGCGGGGGTAGCCGTCAAGGGGGAGGGGGGGAGATAATCCAAGGCGGACGAAAAAACAGACCGGCCGCGTGCGCGAGCATCAAGCACTTGTTCAGCAGGCTGGTGGACATTGGCTTGCATCTGCGCCAGTGAGCGCACGAGGTCCGGGCGCATCACAACCTCACAGGGCTAGTGACATACGATTGTTAGGATCGCAAGCGGGAGGTGAGAGAAACGACGGGAGGCTAGCACTTGAGACGTTTGAAGCGGCAATGGCGTTGTCTCCTATCGAGCCAAACAAGCCTGGAAGCCAATCCGAACCGTCGTGTCCAAGGGTGCGGGGGTGGGCTCGCTGGCCGAGTCTGTGGTGGGCAGTCCGAGGTTGGACCAACGACGCAAACCACCGTTGAGCACGGAGACTTTGTTGATGCCAAAGCAGCGCAGAGTCCACCATAGGCGTGGCGCAGAGAAGACGCCATAGTCGCTGCAGTCGTAGACGACCACGTGCGTATCGGCGCCAATGGCCAAGCGGCGCAGCTCTGAGCGGCGGAGATGGAGGATGGAGCGGCGGCAAGGACACCGTGAGTGGAATCGCAAGGAACTAACATTCAGAGCCAGGCTCGTGGTGCCTGGAATAGGCAAGGCCTGCGACATGGTCCGTACCGTCACTCATTTGCTCGGCTGAGGGGAGCATGTGTGGCAGCTGACTGGGGGTAGCGACGGCATCAATATCAAAGAACCGGGCCGATGGGATGTGCTTGGCTTCAAATTCACGTGCCGCATCTCGCTGGGCCTGAGGATGAGTCCCCATCGATGATTGGCAATGCGGCATAGGTGTCAAAGGTGTCAAAGGTGTCAGAGGCGTGAGTTGCGGCAAGTGGCAAAAGATGAGCGCGCCAGGGCGAGGCCGCAGATGAGCAAGCTGGCCAGTGAGGCAAGCTGGTGAGGCGCGGCAGTGGGCGAGGCCAACAACAACAACAGCACCCTCAACCTACCGTGGGAAGATGAAAAGTCGCATCAATGATACGCAGCTTGCTGCTGTTCACGGCCTGCGGCAGCGCACGCTGCAGCCATTCACAGTTGACAATCGCCCTGACGCCGCCGTTCATCTTGGTCCGGTTCCTCTCTTGACGGTGTTACCTAATCAACAGCTCCCTCTGTTGAATTGACTTGAAATATGCTGTTTTTTGCTGATTTATTAACATGTCTCGTGTTATTTTATGTAGATCATCTGCGAGTTTGTGTAGTTTTACTTTGACTGTCTTCTCAGAAGAATTATGCTGACAATTATGGGTAATCGTCACTGTATTCGCTTACTGAAGATTGGGGGGATCAGGGCAGGCAGCAGACCGGAAGGAAGGGACAGGCGGCAGCAGCAGACAAGGCTGGGAGATGCTCCAAAGGGCAGTTGGCTGGAGGAATACATGCACCTGGCCAAGCTTGTCTCCAGACCGATCAAGAGACACAAGAACCTTGAAATCTCAATACCACCAAGATAGCAGCGACTAGGCACAAGGCGGCGAGGGCGGCTCTCCCATCAAGTGCTCCTGTTGATGCTGGCCGAGACGCAGCAATGGCATGCCGCCATGGCTCTCCCATCGTGTTTGCAAGGCAAAAGGCAAATTTCCGCTGCTTGCGATGCGACTCCGGACGTAACGTGAGCGGGTCTGCACCATGATGTAAACCCTTGCCAGATTCCCAAAGTAAAATATGGGAAAGGGCGGGTCATGTTGTGGATGGGGAGGCAGAGAAGCAAAACGGTGACCGCTGGCCTGACCATGGAGGAGCGATGAGCTTGCAACCGACTTGGTTTGGGTTGGGAACGCTTCAGACAGACTGCAAGGGCAGCGGGAATCAAGAAGACGTTTTCAAAAACAAGTCCCTGTGGCCTCAGAAAGACAGTCCCGCGGCGTCTCTTCGATAAGTCGTTGAATCCCAGCGCAGCGCATGAGCCTGCCATAGGCAATGCACCAAGCCGCTTAGGTGCACTGTTGCGTGTACTCCTGAGCACCTCCCACTGTTTGAGGGACGCCCGCGTACCCAGTGGGAAAACTGATCCCGCCAAATGGTGTGACCCGCCTTGGAACGGACATTCGAACCCCTCATTCCCTGTCCATGGGACACAGGACTGCATTCCATGGGCACTCGAGCGGCTCGATCCCTACCCACCCATACTTCTCCACACACACGCACACTTCGTCTCCCACTCGCCATTCCAACGGCATGAGATGCCATTGCGACGTGCTTCTGCCGCGCCCCGCTCAAGGCACCCCTCGTCGCCGCCACCAGAACCCGACAAGACACTTCCCAAGGCAAACGATCCAGCAGGGAATCTCACCCTCTTTCAGCCTTGGCTACGACCATCTCCGTGCTCGTAGCGCTAACACTGAGCGGATCACGCGCGAAAGGTGTCATGCATGTAAACATACGACTCATCATGGCATCCGCCGGTTGAGGTTCTTGGCAATTCGGAGTCGCGTTGCCGCTCATGATCGCACTTCATGGGTATGCACTCGGTGATGGATTCTGCCGCGCCTTGACAGGGATTGGTGAAAAAGGGGGGTCGTTTCGCACCAGGTGCCGTTAGCTCGCTTTGACAGACGCACAACTTGTGTTTCACCCGGCGAGACTTGATCCCAGTGAATCGGCGAGCCTTGATCCCAGTGAATGGACGAGGGGGTGACTTTGTTCTGTCCGCGCAGGACGCACTACACCACAACCAAGGACCAGCGCATGTGAAGGAATCAGATGCAACCGCGTCGGACGCTGGATGGGCTTTTTCTGAGCGAAGCGGCTGTGACCCACAAGGTTTGGCGGGTGAGGGCCGGAGGGTGGCCCATGACTCTTTCCAGCGGACATGTTCATGCCCTGGTGGTCCCTGAACAAAGATGCGAGGTGGGTACGCAAGACCCCCCATTGTCGAGGCGGACCAGGTCTCAACTGCGTTAAGGTACTCAGGACAGACACAAGGACGGGGACATGGAGCCATGGCGCAGCGGCCAACGCAGAAACAGACGGACATTGTTGAACCCCGAGGTCTGTACGCGCTTGCGCCTTCCTCTTCGTCGGATCAAAAGCCAAAACAAAGTTGGGTTGGGGCGGGCTCGTCTCCGGGAAGCACACCGCATCACCCAGCTCCACTTGTGGGCCATTCCTCCCAAACCGCAGCATAGCAAGACGCGAGAGAGGGAGTGGAGAGCGGGACAAGCGGCGTCGCTGGCAAGATCCAACAGAGCTCCCCCCCTCCCCTCTTCCCCCTTGGCGATGAGCGCAAGAGGGAATCGCTGGCTCGTATTTTCGCCCGCCCGCTCTCACCACACACCCACACACCTGCCTGCGACAGAATATCCACGCTTTTGACCCATCGCACCCGGCCTGCAGCCAGCCTCCTCTCCACCTCTGCCTCTGCTCCCAAAGGACGTCAAGAGTCCTCGCACACGCTCCCAACGGCCGGGGTATGGGGTGTTGATCGTAGTCCCTCGCCTTCCAAACAAGCATCAACCTACCGCGCAGCCCCTTCCTCCTGCCTCTGTCGACCCAAACTAAGCCTTGACTTGTTGACGGAGAGCACCCAAGCAAGATCCTCTTCTTGCCGCTGCCACGGCTAGCCAAACCGTGCCATCACATTTTGGTTGAATCCCCCCCTTTGCCGACTTTTTTTTTTTTTTAAAAAATAGCCTCACGTCGTGCCTGGCCGCTGCCAACTGGACAGACGCTGTTTCGCCCCGCCCCTCTGCCCCTCTTTCAAGTTGACCCGCAAGGCTTCGCGCCCTTGACTGCGCTGTTGGTTGTTGTTGTTGTTGCGTTTGTATAGTGCGTGTCCGGGTGCTGGTTTTCTTGTGAAAAGTGCACGGGGCTCGATCGGTTGCTGGCTCGATTGACCACGCAAGGTCCCTTGATTGGGGCTGAGATGTGCCCATCGACAGATTGGACTTGATTGCTGAGTATTATTATCACCAGCTTGAGTCGTGCAGCTCGTTGAATGCTGGCCAGGAAACACGAAGCACGCTTGGTTGAGCTTCTGCCCGAATCAACGGCTTCTTGCACCACGCAGGGTCACGGCTGTCGCTTGTCATTGAGCATGGGGCAGGTGACGTGATCCGAGCCAACTTGCCCTTTGACATACCATCGCCGGGTCATGGCCAACCGACCGTCGGACCCGGGCGGTGCCGGGCAGCCCGACCTGGCCGCACTTCCTCCTCAAGCTCACCACTCACCCCTCATGCCACCAACCCACCCGAATCGATGGCCCCCGTCCGCGGCGGCGTCCGCCCCTGCTGGTGTGGGCAGAGTCGCCCACGACCTGCCTGCTCAATGGGACGCCCCCGAGTACCCTGGGGACCCAGTGTCAGGCTTGCCCTCAATCACGAGCCAGCACTTGCCTCAGGTGCGCATAGGCTATCCCACCATGCTGGCATGCGCTCCCCTTTTCTTGTGCGTCTGCCCTCATGATCAAATTTTGGCTGGATCTTTGCCTTTGGCGGGGCCCCAATCCCAATCCGTGGCAATCAGGCCAATGCAGGGACCATGGTAAATGCTTTGGGTTTGTCGCACGCCCAAAGGGATGGACACGCTACCGTGCAGTTTCCTGTTGAAGCAGTATCCTCCCCGCCGTCTGCGCCCGGGGAGGCGGGCAGGCAAGAGCTTGTCCAGCAGGCCATCGATCTCGTGTACCGCAATCCCACCGCTAGTCCGAGCTGGTTCGCAGCCCTGCTTCGTCAATTGTCCGCGCAGCATCCAGACCGTGCCAGCGTCGTGGCACTGCAGCACCATATGGAGAAGCGAGCTCGTATCGAGCCCGTAGCTCGACTCTTACTCCAGTGCGCCAATCACCCAAGCAGCCTTCGACCTGAACAAATCAGTGCATTGTCTACATTTTTGGCTCAATGGCAACGCGACTCTATGATTGGTTCACCTGAGGGCACCGAGGGCAGACATGCATCTACTAAGAATGTGCCCCAGCAGCCCGCTGACGCTGTGCACAGCGCCTCCAAGCAGCCATTCGACTCTTCCGACGCATCGTTTGCAGCCCTTAGTGAAGGCATTGCTCGGGCACACACCTCAACTGAGCCAGACTTGTGCATTATGACCCAAGACCAGCTGCCGTGCAAGCGTCATCGTCGAATGGCCGAGGCCAGCTCGACCGCAGCCTCCTCCAGCACTCTTGAAGAGCTGCCACCCACCTCGGGGTCCCAGTCGGTTTTGCAGCTGACTGAAGCACTGGGACTTGAACCGGAGAACCTGTTTGCTCGTCTCAATCAGCAACAACAACTGGAGCTACCCTCTGCCTCTTTGCAACACCTCGAGTATCTGCAGCAGGGCACCAGGCGGGAGTTGGTGGCGCCAGGCCTGCCTCGCTCTTTTAGTACTGCCAATCTACCACCTACTGCAAGTGCAGCCACAAGTCAGGCGCAGCCCATGAACATTGCCGCCATGCTTCTCTCCGCAGGGGGCAGAATGGGCCCGTTGCAGGCCAATGCATCCTGGGGTAGCGCTCACGCTCTGGTATCTTCCCCGGGCCCGTCCTTTAGCTTGGGCAGCTGGCCGGGATCAATACCAGGGGCACATGCTGCTTCAGAGCCCATGTCCATGTTTGAGCCCTGGCTCACTTTGAGTGGGGGAAGCTGGCCCGAGACCACCTCAACACACGCCTGGACCTCGTCCATCGACCCTCGCCTCGTCCTTCACGCGCCCTCGGCTTTAGGTGGTGTGCCGCCACTTTTCGATAACATGAGATCAGAGCAGCCATTGATGCAGACACATGCAAGCCAGTTCCTGGCTGTCACCCACGCGCTCGGGGCATGGCAGCCACCAAGCACCGATTCGCGCACAGGCGGTGCCACAGCTTCCCACTGGCTAGTGCATCTTCCTACAGCTCCCAACTCTTCTGCATCATGAACCACTCATTCAAAAATGACACGATGTGTTCAGAGACAAGCCGGCCATGTCGGGCCCCAAAACCCCTTTGCGCCACCCCGGACAGCGATGTCGTGGAGCCGATGGCCCCCGCGTAAAGCGACTGACTGCAGGAGAGGCCTGCGATGCGCCAAGCGCAACTTGTTTTCTCGGTGCCTACATTCCATACCATGTCATTTTACACACCTTCATCTATTCAAGCCCGACTATCTTTTAATCACAAATAATTGATTGCTCTGTCTGTAAGGCTACTAGCGGCCCCATGCCCGTCACACACCAAAAATGCCGGACTCTCTCAAATTGCAAAATCTGATGGTGAGAGGCACAGAGTAGTGGCACGGTGAGTTCGTCTTATGACAACCCCTCTAAAGTTATAATCATCTAAAGTCTAACCCCTTTCACACTTCCAAACACACACTCTCTCTCAAACTCTCTCTCTCTCTCTCTCACATGTGGTAGTTGTGTGCTTTTCCTTTGTGTCTTTGCTCTTTGTTTCAAACCGACCAAATTCATTTCTCTCTCTCTCTCTCTCTTTTTTTTTTTTTTTTTTTTTTTTTTTTTTTGGGCACAGCGATCATGACGGATGTGATTAGCAAGGCCATCGTGTACGGCAACTCGGCCCGAGTACTGCCTGAGCGCGATGCTCAAAACAACACGCATGAATGGACCGTTTTTCTGCGCAGTCCCACCGGCGAGGTACGCCCAGGCCTGGAAAAGAATCCCCATGCATTGAGCTGACGGCCGACACCCCTCAGCTCAAAGTCAGGCGGCGCTCATGCCTGTGACACACACTCAGCCTTTGGAAAAGTTTATCCGCAAGGTCACATTTGCTCTTCACAGCAGCTTTAAAAACGCCAATCGTGGTGAGTTGGAACCAGATGCTCACCCACTTTGGTCCTTTGAGCCCATTCTGCTCGTCGTGATGCCCCGTGATCTTGACTGCCCCGCTCTGCTCTCGGCTCTCGGCTCTCGGCTCTCGGCTCTGCCTACCCTCGACTACGAATACGCCTGATGCTGCAACGGGGGCCTGGGCATGCGCTTGCAGTGGTGGATAAACCGCCTTATGAGGTGAAGGAACGAGGTTGGGGCGAGTTCGAGATTACCATTAAAATTACCTTTGCCAACAACCACTACAAAACCGTACGTCTCGTGAGCCCTTCGCTGCTGACCAAGACATGCTGTCGTCCTGTTCGAGCTGGACCTTGCAAAACTTCCTCCTTACCTGTATCCTCGCATCCCTTCTCAACCTGTCCCCTCGCATCCTTCTTCAAAACCCAAACATGACCATTTTGCGGTTGTTTTTTGGTTCCTCCCTTGCTAAAGCTGCATCTCAAGCATATGCTCAAGCTGTTTCCCAACGAACATGTGGTCAAAACTGAGGATGGCTTTACGATTGAGACATATGACGAACTGGTCTTTCCCGTGCCAGCTTCTGGTGCCTGGGATACCTCCTCGGTGCTTCCCCCGCAGCAGCAGCCCGGTTGTGCCGTCAACTGTACGTCCCAAGCCAGCTTTGAGCAAAATACTCGCATGTAGGCATTTTTTTTCTGCCGTGGGCCTGATAGACTCGCTTGCTGCTGAATGCCTGCACGCTAGATTATGAGTTGGAAAAGGATGCGCTCCAAAAGCTGGATGAAGCCTCCTCTCGTATTCAGCAGTCACTGCACTTTGTCCGACAGCGCCTGGGCGTAAGTTATTGGCATGTTCTTCTGGAAGAAGGGGATGGCATTGCACCCTCATACTATACTGTCGTTGCAACAGGAGGCCGAACACAAGACCAAGGATCTGCAACAGCACATCGAATCAATGGAGAAGGGTGTTCTTCCCGATTCGTACAAGCAGTTGCTACGTCAACAACAAGAGCAGCTTCGACAGAAGAAAGGATCGGCGGCATCTCTGGCGGGTTCGAATGCCGCGTCCACCAAATAGACCTGTGGCCACCAAGTCATTCTGGGCAGTCTGAATGAATTTCGCTACATTACACCTTGGCTACCTTTGCAATGTAATTGTCACCATGAGCGCCAGCCGCGCTGGGCTCCTGTCACTCATGTGATGCTCTTGAGTTGATATCTGACCGAAGTGTGTCCATCGTCAAGTCTTCAAAGTGTCTTTTTCTACGATTCATCAAAATCATGGCGTTGCTCGACACCAGAATCCTTGATTTTCAGATCAATTGGGATTGGAAAATCGAATTGGTCGATGAACATCAATGACTCGGTAAAGAACGGGCAAATTGAAGGCTGTGTGCCAGACAACAAGGCGTGCATGGCACGCCTTTGCCGTCGCCATTCGCATCCACCCGTACATAGAAATGAGAAATGGTAATGATTTCAGAAGAAGCTACTGGAGTAAAGCAAAGCAAAACAACAAAAAAACAAAAACAAAAAAAAAGGGGAAAAAACAAAAACAAAAATCAAGCAAAAACGCAAATCAAGATGAGAGTTTGTTAGATCAGGGTCTCAGACCAGCTGGAGACCTTTGCTAGGTACATTGTGATCTTCATTGGCCCCCGCAAGCAAGCCTCATGTGCCGACGAGTACGCGAGTCGAAACCGTTCGTGGCCAGCACGAACGAAAAATTCTTGCGCGCCAAGAAGTCGGGAGACAGGCTCGTGAGGCGGGTTGCCGCTTTGAGGTCCTTGAACTTTACAGGGGCAAAGAGGCCGACGAGGACGTGCTGGGGCGTCGAGTGGAGGGACGAGTCGATCGGACCTTGCCAGCGACTGCATGAAGCATGGATTCAACGACGGCACGCTCCATGCGGCCAGCCTCATTCAGCCATTGATTCAAAGCCTCCTGCTTTGCAAAAGGTGGATGAGCTGCTTCAAAGAGAGAGATCGAGGCGTGCTGCCCGTGCAGCAAAGGCAGTCACGACAAGTCTGAAGAGAAACGCACCATGGACATGGGGTCGCTAACAACGGTGGAGAGGTCATCTTCAGTGAGGAGCGAGGAGCGGCGACGCACAACTGGCACATCACCAAGAGCTGTGGGTGCGGTGCTGGGTGCAAGAACAAATCATTTGTAAGGTCATTTCAAGGTTGAGCAGAGCAGGACCGATTAGGGCTCTCGATCGTACCGGATGTTTCGAGAAATGGCGCCAATTTTAGACTCATACTCTTCCGGGATAATACCGTGCTCTTGTTGCCCCAGAGTGCCAACAGCCCACGGCTGTTGACTCATGCTGTAGCGTGAACGGCGGGTTTGACGAGACATGCTGGGGCGTGGCTCGGAGAAACTAATGCGGCTCGAGGAGTTGAAGTCTTGGGACGTGTTTCGAGTCAGAATGGTTGGGCCCCCAACACCTTCAAGGTAGGTCCCAAGTTGGAGTGCTGCGTGAGAAGGCAAGCCAGGGGGAGTAGATGGGGGAAGAGAAATTCGGATTCATGCATTGATACCTTGTGCCTCTGACATGTAGCGCACGCTACCACCGTTCGGGAGAGTGTGGGTTTGAAAGACCTGGGGTAGCACACGCGAACAAGATTTGTGGAAAAATCAGGTCAGAAAATCTGGGCGAGCTGGGCCTGAAGGAGGCTGCGTCTTTCTGAAGAGATGACGGACTTTTGAGTTTTGAGGCTTGTTGCGGCGATTCACGGAGGCGGGGCGAGCAAGCGGGGGCCGCTGGGTCGTCTTGACAAAGTCTGGCATGGGTCTGTTGAACGAGTGGCGTTGATGTTGGGATATCGGAAGAAGAGGGGCGGGGTGAGAGAGAGATCGGATGAGCGGTGGCACGGATCACTCGGCTCCAGGCCTTCGAGGCCTCGGTGCATACAGCAGGCGACTGACCGACGGTTATGTTCACGAAAGCGCCTTTCAAGAGCCGAGACCGATGGCGTTTTGGGGATCAGGGCCGGGGTGCCAGCCTGGCTCTGGGCGGTCTGGGCGGGCGGCATGTTTCTGGGGATTTTCGATCTGCCTAAAGGTGGCATGCCGCAGCGGTATGAAGGTAACCACACGAGACACAGAGGAGGGTGGATTTCGGATCCGATTCCTTTTTCCAAAGCTGGCCCTCTGACCCCTCCTGGCACTGGCACTCGGCGGCACGGGTACGATGTTGATCACAACTTGTTGCAGCACCAGCTCCAGTTATTGTAGAAACTGTACCAACACCCGCTTCGTTTCATGTAGATCACACTTCGATACATGTTGTTGGGGCGTTGGATCAAGCCGTTACAGTGTGTACGGACGCGGGTCCAGCAGGTGCGAGGGCTCCGCGATTTTTTTTTTTTTTTTTTTTTTTTTGCTCCCTAATGTCAATCAACAACACCAAACGTGGACAGCCCCTTCCTAAGCTACAGGACAAGAAAATTCCATAACAGAACACTTTCTAGATTCTCTGACTTGATCAAAGATGACATGATGTGTTTAACATGTTACATACATGTACATGTAATTTTTTTTTTTTTTTAATTTTGTGATGTGCTTGAACGGCTGGTGCTTCACTGTCTCTGACGGATGCGCGGGTACCAGCCAAGCCAGGATGAAAATGCTTTGTGTCATGGGAAGGGCGGCTTGAAAAGAGGCCGCGTTCGATCTGGTTGATAATTGATATAGGACACACGGGACGGGGGTTGGAAAGGACCTCAAAAAGAAGAAGAGGCAAATCATGTGCCACACACCAAGATAGCCCCCCACTTTTCAAATGCACGCGCATCCAACTCCGCTGATAGGTAGAGTGCGCAACGGCGACGGCTGCTTGGATGCGAGCGCGCTTGCGGACTTGCGACGCTCCGTTCCATTTGGGTCTAGGCTTTCTTGGGCGGGATGACGGGCTGCTCAGTGTTGGGGTCGCAGTACTGCGTCATGTCCCAGTGATGCTTTTGAGCCCGAGCCAGAAAGTCCTCCTGCCCCTTGCGACTGGGGTCAACTGAGGACTGGTGCCGCACATCCTGCACTACCAACGATCGATAAGCTGCGCGCACGGGAAATCCCATGCTTGTGAGGTGCGGCCAAAGATGGTCAAAGGGCTCGTCGGCTTGCAAGGTCCACTCGATGATCGGCGCAAAAACTTGGCGATGATAAATGACACCAAACGTGCCCATGGTCTTGCGGTCCACGTTGAAGCATTGAGTCGAGCGACCCGTGCGCTGGCGGATCACCTCCATGTCGTGATCCACCTGAGCCCAGCCGCCGGTCCAGCGCCCGCGTTCGGGATAAGTGCCGTTGATCCACAGCGCCGATCCAAGCAGCAAAACACCACCCGTGCTCTCTGCTTCGACCAGGCCGCCACAGCGCTCTTCTGACAACAGCTTTCGCAGTTCTTCAGCAAAATTGCAGTGCAGCAGCGCATCGTCATCAAATACCAGGATTGAAGTCACGCGCGGGTCATTCAGCGCCTCCTCCAGCAGCTGGCGCATGGTCGCCAAGTAGCCCTGTTCGCCAGGCGTCAAATAGCCCGGCTCACCAGGAAGGAGCACCTTGCCTTTGAACTTGCGTCCCAGAACCGGCTCTTTGGATGTCTTGGATGTCGTCTGAACGTAGTCATTTGCAAAGCGGGTTGAACCCTGCACACCGATGAACCGGCGAACGTACACGCTCTGGTTGCGGAAAGTATCTCGACGCACGCGGTAGTCCTCCCAATGCCCCTCTAGGCTCAACCTGAGTATCGAGATCCCAATCACAACAACAAACACACCATTGGATGAGTGCCAATTTAGCCAAAAGCCCAATGTACTGCCAGGGAGGTGAAGGAAACGCAAACGTAGATCCAAGAAAGGACATCATGAAAACGAATACGAAGAGCAAAATAGCACATCACCAAAAAAAGAAAAAAAAAAGTCAAGGGGCAATGATCGCAGGGTTGGATGTTGAGGCGCAGGCAGAGCAACACAGAGGAAAAGGCGACCATTCAAATCAGGGACCAGAAGCCAGGGCACGGCCAGGTGTAAACATCTGCAATCACGCCAGTTTAAGAGCAAATCCACAAGGCCGAGAGATGCGTACATGTATGCGGCACTGAAAAGACGGGTGGTAGTGGGCTGGTTGAACAGATAGCCGCGCTCCTGCATTTGAGTGAGGCAAAGTGTTGCCAAAATTGTCATGAGCATCAGACCGTTGCGCGAAAAATAATCCATTCAAGACCAAGCGCTCTCAAAACCCACCGGAGGACATTCGGGAATTGTTTCGCCCGTGTCCTCATAATGCAATGAAGGGTTGACACTGCAGTTCGTTCGCAAGGCTGGGCAGCCGAAAGTTGAGAAGACACGGCATTTGGCGCAGGCAAGGCTCACGGGGCAAAAGCCAGAGTCGGAGCCAGGAAGCATGGGATGCAAACTTCGTACCATGTGGCTTGGGCGCCACGAGGTGAGCATGGAGACGGGCGTCGACGCGGCGAAGCATGCTAATGTAGGCAGCCGTGTCGATCACTTGCGTGCTATCAGCACGCGAATCCTGCTCGACCTTATTGATGCGCTCTATGGTGCAAGGACAGAGGGGTGGCAACGCAGTGAGTTGACGCAGCACTTTTTTATTTGTTGCCTGGTCTCTTGATCCAGCAGGCGTCGTGGGCTATGCGCCTAGCAACTGACCGTGCATGTTGCTGAGCTGGCTGTTGAAGTACAGGGTTATCACGCCAAAGGCCAAGAGGAGGCCCAAAAGGGCCATGGTATTGGTAGCGGCGGCCATGGCGTCTGTGTGGCCTAGCCCGTGACTCCAGCCTAGAAGCGCCCCCGTTCGTCCATCCACAGGTCACCAAGAATGATCCAAAGGAACCAGACAAACGTGAGCAACCCACACTCAAAAACCACCCCCATCCTGCATGCCAGTTCCCTCTACCCAGCCTCCGATCCGCTCTTCCATCCAGCCACTCACCACCCAACGCGCGCCGACAGTTACTGTAAGGTCTGATCAAAAAATGCCACAGCGTTTTGCTGTTTGTTGCCGCCTTTGACAACAGGTGACACACAGAGAAGAAGAACATAAAACTACAACTGCAAAATACAACAGCAGTCGCATGTCCGCTCAATCGTGTCCAATTTGAACTCGCATGTCAAACCTTCCTTCTCTCTTGTTGATTGTTTGCCACGACGGGTGATTCGCAGGTCAGTGATTCGCAATCATGTGAATTGAGTGATCAGACGCAAAAATGCACAACAGAAACAAGGAGACAAGGGCACAGTACACATTGGTAAACGGACACCACGCTTTCAAGATTTGGGCTTTGCCACCATTGAAAAGAGTGAAGGGCAAAGAACAGAGCCGAAGACTCCTGTTTCTTTCCATCTCTGACACACAGCAGCAGGAAGAACAAGGCTCGCAGACGCAAAAGCACAGCGATTGCGGTTTATGTGAAAAACTTCTTGAGCGACATGTTCTTTTCGCTGTCCTTTTGCATAATCTGAGAAAAGGCCAGGGACAGGGAAATGAGATGAAAGCAACATCGAATAGTCACACACGCGCCATGTAAAAGGAGAAGAGAAGAAGGCGGAGTGAGCCAGCAAGAGCTTGAACTTTGAAACACCACACCAACCTTGGCCACGGCCATCTCAAAATCCTCTTGGGTGACGTGTACACGACGCTCACGCAGTGCATACATGCCTGCCTCGGTGCAAACACCCTGTCCAACCACAAAGCCAGGTTAGGCGGGTTGAATGACGGGTCAGGTGAGGCGAGAGCAGTTCTTTGTCAACAAACCTTGACTTCAGCGCCAGAAGCGCCCGGCATGAGCTCGGCAATTTTGCGCAGATTGATGCCACTAATCATTGGAGAGAGAGAAAAAAAAAAACACAAAGAATATCGTATCGAATGAGAAGCCAGGCCAGGCTCGTAACTCAAGTCGCCACCAACTATCAATCTCGCCTCCCTCAAAACAAAACAAAACAAACAGAAAAAAAAGAAAAAAAGAAGTTTACCGAGTCAAATTCATCTTCCTCGAGTGGATGCGCAAAATTTGCGTTCGTGATGCCTCGTTGGGGGCCGGAAATTCAATCTGTGCGGTGCAGCTAGACACATGAGAATACACCACATGCTTCACGTAGTAGCAGGCGGATGCGCGGCCCAGATGATCCTCGGCAGCAATCGTGAGCATCCACCATACCTTGCGATCGATACGGCCCGGTCGGAGGAGTGCCGGGTCCAGGATGTCAATACGGTTCGTTGCCATGATGACCTGCGCACGACAATGTATCAGGTTAGACGAGTGGTAACAAACTCCTTGATATTGTCGACACCCATCCACCTTGCGCGGGGTAGAAAGGTACCTTGATGCTCTGCGTCGCCTCAAAGCCATCAAGCTGGTTCAGCAGCTCCAGCATGGTTCGCTGCACCTCGCTGTCACCTGTTCTCACCAATGCGTGAGTCAGCGGGCGGTTGGTTGAATCAAGTGGCACAGCTTTGCACGTCTTTCACATGGAGCTTACCACCGCCGCCGCCACCACCGCCCGACTCGGAGCGGGTGGAACCGATACTGTCAATCTCATCCATAAAAATGATCGAGGGGGCATGCTCGCGAGCCATGACGAAGAGCTCACGCACCATGCGAGCACCTGGGCAGGCGGGCATTCGGTGCATGAGAGAAAAGAGATGCACACACCTCTTCCGGGCGAGTGCGCAATCGAATTCTACACCAAACGGGCACTCGCACGCAGGAATGTTTGGACTCACCTTCACCAATGTATTTTTGAACGAGTTCGGCACCCGACACGCGAATAAAGCTGCAGTCGGTGTGGTGCGCCACAGCACGGGCCAATAGCGTTTTGCCAGTGCCCGGGGGACCGTACAGGAGGACGCCCTTGGGTTGGGCGATACCCAATGCCTCAAAGAGCTCGGGGTGCTTGACGGGCAACTCAATCACCTATGTCGATTCGGCAGAGCAGAAGGGAAGGCGGCCGACCATCAAAGCAGGCATAGCACGGAGGATGGGCGGGCAGCTGGAGCAGCCAAGGCAGATTGGCGCAGGTCTGAAGCACCGACCTCCTTGATTTCCTTGATTTGTTTGTCCAGACCGCCGACCATGTCGTAGGTACTGTCGGGGACCTTTTCCAGCATCATCAGGGACACGAGCGGATCAATCTTGTTGGGCAAGATCTTGTGCAGGGTGTAGCTGTCGCTTCGCAGAGCCACACGCGTATTGGGTGACAGCTGCATGCCGGAATTGCATGCATTCAAAAGAAGAATGGGGGAAGGGAATAAAAGGAAGAAGAAGAAGAAAAGAGACATTGAATGAGACACACCACGTTGTGGAGCCCATTGATAATGTGTGAGTTGCGGCGTTGAAAAACAGCGAATACAACATGGCCAGCTTCAACCCAGTGCGGAGAGCAAAGAGGGCGAGGTCGAATGGTAGCAATACGGTGGGCTAGGGGTACACTTTACAGACCTTGCCAACATCGATGGACTTGTCCAGGTCGACCACATATTTGCCCTCTGGCTGCACCTTGACCAAAACCTTTTTCTTGCCCATGACCTTGGCCACTTCGCCAACGTAGGACGCGGGCTCTTGAAGCAACACCAATTCCTCACGCAGTGCCCGGACTAGGCGATTGAGAACGGAAAAGAACAGCCAATGCACGATAGGTTTCTGTTGTCAGTAGACGTGGGGGTGTCCTGGCAGCTAAGCGAGGGCTGCCGCGGGAGCGCACCTTTTGCGTTGAGCTCATTCCGCTGAGCCTCGAGGCGACGCAGGTTCTGGGTTTTTTCCGCCACAACAACCTGCAATCAACCCGTACATGAGATAAGAATTGGCCATCTTGTCGGTCAAAAGAGGCAAGCGAAGGGAGACGCGGTGCGCGCTGGACCTTGAGAGCATCAATTTTGGTCACAAAGTAGTCGTTGACACCGGCGGCTGACTTGGGCTCCTGTCAAAGATACACACGAGCAGGAGCAGCAAACCATTTCAAGGTGGAGGCACGGTGAGTGCTTTGAGGCTAAGAGAGGGCACTGGGCTGTAGGACGGCGGGTGGTGGTGGTGGGCCACTGCGCGCTGCACCACCCGCCATGGGCCGCCAGGGCCAGTACGAGTTCAGCAGGCAAGGGCAAGGCACGTACAGCGATGCTCGGTTGACGCGAGGCAGTGCGCCCCGCTGGGGCAACGGCTGTCGCTGCCATGGTTGGGCAGGTCGAGTTGCAGAGCTTGCCCTGTCGGCGGTTCAATTGCGTTCAGTCAATGACAAATCCAGGAGGCGTGTGAGAGTGAGGTGGCAAGTTGTCATTTCAACGTGGCGCCACTGTGTTTTGCTTGGCACGCAGGAAGCCCGCAAAATCAGAAACGTGACCTGCCAACGCGCGTCAAAGACATTGGTATCACCACACCTCACCTTTGAACAAGAAAGGGCGCTGCCGTTTCAAAAAAACGCAGCGCACAGCGACAACGACACCAACAAAAGAAGAAGCCGTTCTTGTTGCCACTGAATCTCCTAAAATAGAGAGAGAGAGAGAGAGTGAGAGTGAGATAGAGAGAGAGAGAGTGATAAAGAGAGAGAGACGAGAAAAGAAGAGAAGAGAGAAAGGGAGCTGCTACCAAGCATCAGCCGACACACAATGACATTTGGTAACGCAGCCCGTCGTCGAATGTCAGATTAAACTATCAGACTTTCTGGCTCTCCCTCTCCCTCTCTCTCTTGTTTTTACGTGTGGTAATTTTGCGTCTCACGTTATCGTTGACGCTCGTCTCTCTTTGTCATTCAACTGTCACTGTCTCTCTCTCGCCGACCATTTTTGGACCGAATCGCCATGGCAGCGCCAGTGGAGAGCACCGAAGGGCAAGGTACGGACCGTGGGGATAGGGCTGCTCCCACAACCCTGTTGACACGCTTGGGCTGATGTGCTCTGCCTATGTTTGACATCAAAGCAATGTGGGTGCGGCGGGGATTGACTGACAACATCGCTCGTGATGCGCTGAGCAGGAGCCGACAACTTGACGGATCAGGAGGCGACGCAATATGACCGACAGATCCGCCTTTGGGGCCTTGAAGCCCAGTATCGGTGGGTCAAGCGTAGGCCTGTGCATTGCGTGCTGCGTGCTCCTGCTTGGCTCATGTTGATGGTCGCATTCCAGGATCCGCAAAACTCGCATCCTGATGCACGGTGCCCGCGGCCTCGCCATCGAGGCAAGCCATGCCGAGTCCTTCGCTTTTAAATGTGTGCTGTGGCGAGCCACAGGCCCCGATTATATTGGCCAACGCTGATGAGGCCTTACTTGCTTGCCATGCCTGACGCAGACGGCTAAAAATCTCGTGTTGGGCGGCGTGTGCGAGCTGCATCTCGCCGACCCCGAGGTCACAGTCGAAGATGATCTAGGCGCACAGTTCTTTCTGACCCTGGATGACTTGGGAAAGAACGTGCGTTTCTTTTTTCCAGCCGCGTTTGCCGCCCTTCTGGTCAGACTCACCACCCTTGTGCCGCATGGACAATTGCATCAAACCCACATGGTCGTACGCAGCGGGCTTCGGCAAGCGTTGAACGTCTGCAACAACTCAACCCCATGGTCAACGTCAAAGCCAGTGCGACCAGCCTAGAGCAACTGGATGCTGCCTTCCTCGGCCAGTTTGACGTTGTTTGCCTGACCGATGCCTCCTTGGCTCAGGCGGTACGTGTGCCTCGTGTTTGCCCTGCGCTAGCCCGGCACGACTCCAGGTCCTTTCTTATCTTACTGGGGGTTCCCGCCGACAGGTGCGCATTGACGATATTTGCCGTCAACTCAACATTCGATTCTTCTGCGGTATGGCCTCGCTGGGCTCGTGAAGCTGGACTCACGCGCGACTGCCATAACTAGCCCTTGACCGCGCTGTTTGCCTGCCACGCACCCAGGTCGCGTTTATGGTTTTTACGGCTATTTCTTCAGCAATCAACACACGCACGACTATATCCTGTGCGTGGTGCAAGGCTCGCGTCAAGCTTTAGCTTGCATGCCGTGACCCTGTGGACTGGCCAGCCATACTCATGCTGCCATTGCCCCTGCCTCGGGCCTGTTGAATAGAAAACTTCCACAAAGTGACGGCACCGAAGCCGCCAAGCAGGTATGCGCGGGCCACGCTGCCTTCTGGAAAGCAGCAGCCGGGGCGCATCATGACGCTTTTGTTTGTCTGTTCTCGGCGCACAGGTGAAGAAGCAAAAGTGCTTTCCCACTTTGCGCAGTGCCCTCGAGCATTCCTTGCAGGTCAAACCAGCTTCTTCCCTCCCTTTCCTTCTCCTGGAGGACCCTAGCACGCTGTGTTCTGATTCTCTGCGGTCTGACGTGATGTGCTTAACGTTATAGGGGGTCAAGAAGCGTCGTTGCCCGCGCATGTATCCAGCGCTGCTCACCCTGGAAGCAGCCATCGCTTCAGGCAAAGTCAGTCTGCTGAACCGCGCTTCTGTGATTTCTCCTTGCCGTACTCTACGACGTTCATCCATTGCCACTGCTGCCCGCTTTTTGACTGGGTCAACATCTGCTTGGCTATGCTAGGCGCCAGAGAGCATTTTGCCAAAAATTATGACTGAGCATCATGTTGCACCCGAGGTGGTGACCCCAAACTTTGTCAATGCGTGAGCAAACCTGAAACCACGTGCAGAGTCGCAAACCTGGAACCACGCGTAGAGTCGCTCTTGGCCTGGAATGTTTTGCTGGCCTCAACCAGCCGTTTTGTTGACCCCGATCGTAGCATGTATCAAGGATGGCGCACGGAAATGGTGTCCACCAGCGCCATCGTGGGCGGCATGCTGGGAAGTGAGATTATCAAAGCCATCTCGGTACGTCGTGCTTTATCGTGTTTTGCTGTTTGAATTTTGTGTGCGTTCTGCCAACTCTTGTCTTGCCTCCACTAGAACGTGGACGAACCAATATACAACACATTCTTTTGGGACGCCGACGAGAGTAGTGGTGAGGCACACGGTCGCCATGGCGACATATCTCACAGCTTTGTACCTTATAGCACGCTGATTGGCACACGCTCGCCACCCTTTTGTCAACTTTTCCCCTCTTGTTTTTTTTTTTTTTTTTTTAGGTTCAGTTGAGCTCTTGGGCCAAACGGCTTCGGACACGAAGCAGAGCAGTGACCCAGTGACTCCCGCTGAGGCGGCCGTGCCCGTGGCTGATGTGATTGAGCTGTAGAGATGAGGTAATGGGTATCGACCTGGGGCTCGACACCAACTGATGGATCAAGGGAATTTACATGTCAAGCATGCCAATTCTGAGTTTCGTGTTTCTACTAACATTCAACAGCGACGCCAGCGCTGGAAACAAACAGCGAGCAAAGCGACCTATCCATGCACCCTTAGATGGTCAGGGTATCAAAACCAAAACAAAAAGACGATTTGGGATTTACTTTGGGCGTGTGAACGGCCAGAGGGACTTGAGTTGGATGGTTTGAAGCCACCATCTTCTCTTGCACAACAGATCAACGGTGGGCCGACAACAGAGCACTTGAATGGCGAACGCAAACCACACCAACTGGCGAGGGTAGATATTCAGCCAAGTGTGCCCTGTGTTGTGGCAGCACAAGTGCTTCGCTTCCAGCAGCTTCTTCTACTCAACAGGCTCGCCTTTGAGCTCACCCAAGAGGCCCTTCCATAACCGGTATTGCTCCTGTGTACCACGGAAGGGGGGGAAAACAGATTGAAGCGCCGTGAGCTCTGGGCCGTGCACCCGCAGCCTGGACAATCAGGCTGTTGGTTTAGCGGCCTGGGTGCCACATTCATCCACCCAACTGATTGTAATAGCGAGGCAGCAAGGCGGTCGGCCGCATACCTGGGCTTGGCGCATCTGTGTTTGGGTGTATTGCACAATGCCTTTGCGGAAGGCGGCCACACGACGCTTCTTAAAGGTGTTGAGTTCTGCGGCGCGTGGAAGGCCCGACGTGAGAGGGGACGCAGGCTTAAGTGCATGATGGCCTCCCACGCCCTGGCGCTCGACGCAGACGCCAGACCGTACCTTCTTTGGCCGACTTTGAGATTTCAACGGCACGTTCTTCGGCAGCCTTGGCAGCATCCTGGCTTTCCAAGACCTTCTTGCCGCTGGCCTGCGCTTTGACAAGAGCTTTAGCAGAGCGGTCCTGCTCCTGCAGCGCTTTGACGCGGCGCATCATGAGCTCACGTGCTGCCACGGCATCTGCGGCATAGTATACCAGGAGATCCTAAAAAGGCCACCAGCGAGGATGACCGGGTCAGCGAGGGTGCAGGCGTGGGTGGTGGTTGCAAGGGCAAGAGTTGTGCATCAATCGTGGCGGTGCACCGACCAAAAGCTTAAGGTCTTCCTTGGCTGCAAGCTTCTTCTCAATTGTTTGCGCCTTGCCGGTAAAGTCACCCACTTGGCGCAGGACTGTTGGCGAAACGACATTGCGTGAGCACACAGGACGATCAAGCAGCGGCAGGCAGGCCGGGCGGGCAGGGTAGCAATCAAGATCAGACATCACGGCGGGGTTACAAGACAACTGACTTTCTCCAACGCGGTTCTCCACGGGGTACATGTGGCCGAGATGGGTTTCAGCCACCCCAACGCGACCGAGCGCGGCGACGAGCTGCTGGCGGCGCTGCACCTTGTTTCCGCATTTGGTCTTAGCATCCTTAATCATGTTGATGTAGCGTGTCACAAAGGAGCGCTGGTCCTCGAAAAACTCATCAGCTTCCTTGAAGTTGGCCAGAGAAGAATCAAAGTTCTTGGCCAGGCTCTTCAGGTAGTTACCGGCGCGCTCGGTGCGTGACTTGCTCTTGCAGGCCAGCTGAAAAAAGTCCAAGCCTCAATGAGTGAAGGGACAACACAAACAAGGCAGTCGCAAAGGGTTTCAAGAAGTGCACAAGCAGCATCGCCAACAACACGTACGTCATCTTGAAACTCCAAGAAGGCCTGGAGGCGGGCATTCTCTCGAAAGATGGGGTGGGTCACCAGTCGCAGCAAGAAAACCTCGTGCATGGCAACTGTCTTTTGAAAGGCAGCCAGATACTCGCTGCAAGAATTTTCAATGGGGGGAGAAGGGGGGCAATCTTGACTGAGGAGGGCCAGACCAAGTCGATGATGGGCGAGCAGACGCAGTGTGGATAACGCACCCTTGAATCTCCTGTTTGAGCTTTTCAATCTCTTCTGGCGTCATGGATGAGTCGCCAGCTTGCAGCTTGGCGAGCTTGCCATGGCTCTGAGAAAAGTCGGGCTTGGGCGGGCAAGGAGGAATCTAAGCCGAGTGTGCGATCAAAGGCGCAATTAGTTTTCCTCTCGTTACTCTCTTGTGGCCCACTGACATGGCCGTGCAGGGGGCGTTGTCGATCGGTCGCGAGTGACCCACCAAGAGGCCAGCATAGTCTGGGTCCTCAACCAAGCGATCATGGAGCCAGACAAACTCCTCATGTTGGCGTGTGACTTGAAAATCGCGCTTTTGAAAGCGCTCAAGGGATGTCTTGGTGTGGACAGTGAATTTAACAATGTCCTGTTCATTCAGAGCGTCGGCGATGCTAATTTGCAGGGCATCGTCGCGATTGAGATCCACTGTCTTGGTGGGCTCTGATTGCTCCTGTGCAAAGGGGGTGGTGCGGCCCGGGTGGGTGGGTAAGCAACGGAAATAAAAAATCAGAGGCACGACGAATTACAGAGCTAACTGTTGCGGCATCACACTGTGGTTGATGTGAGCTCAGATGAGGGTGGCATATCGGGCATATCGTACCTCTGAGTCGGGCTTGACGTCTTCGGCCAGCATGGTTCACGGTCTAGCCCAACGCACAATATACATGAATAAGCGAAGGCACACATGCACGCCGTAAACCTTGCCTGGCGCGGTGCCACCGCACGCCATGAACAAGGTGCGGGACGGCTGGAGGACGATGACAGAGAGAGAGAAACAACAGCTCAAAACACAAAAAAAAAAAGATGGTGGCGGGGGGGCGCAAGGTCTGGAGGGTTGACCAGCCCCTTTCCCCCCACCCCAGCAGGCAGCAACAAACCCACTTCTACCCCCAGGCAAGGTATTCATCTCCCTCGACACCCCACGGCACACACTGACCTTGATCGGGAGAGAGAGAGGTGCGGTTCAAAACAGACACACTGAAATGCACGCTCTGCGCTTGAGCGATGTTGACCATAACAATCGTCAGATCAAACAGGAGCAGAGACAGAGACAGAAGAGAGAGAGACCGAGACACACAGAAGAGAGACAGAGACAGAAGAGAAGAGGAGAGAGAGAGAGAAGAGAGAGAAAAAGACTGGTTCACACAAAAAGACCGAAGAGTTTCAGTTGGTAGCAGAGCATAGGTACACACAGTTATTTGAGAGTTGAAGACTTTTTGTGTATCATTGGAGATATCATTAATGACTGCAGATTGATTTGAATTTCACCAGAGAAATTGTCAGAAAAGGTCCTGTACCTAACTCATCTTCGCATGAATACACTTGGGTCGGTCCTTCATAAAGTATAATCATACTCTCCTTTTTGTGACAATATATTGCCATTCATTCGAGGCGAACACCATTTTATTGGCAGTCAGTATTTCGGGTCGTGCTCGGCCATTCTGTGTGAAGTACGTTTCAAATCAAGCACAGCAGAAGCGCTAAATTTTTGTGGATCAAACGAGGGTGCTCTTGTGTTCATACGCTTCCTGTGGATGCCGTAGCAGCCCAAAGACCAGAAAATTAGTTATTCTGAAATAAATCCCATTTCTTTTCCTTACAAAACTAACTTAGTTTTGATTCTCTAGGGCTACATGGCTCCGATTGGTATGTCAAATGGCAGCGCCATAAGACGAGTCAGCGAAGCAATGAGACAACTTGGTGGGTAAAGGCAGATGGACAAGACAAGTTCTGATTGATCAATGGTCATTCAAGGTTTATTTCGATTGACAAACGCCCGGGACGATTTTTTTTCCAAACACTTAGTAAGCAAGCTGTTTCCTTATTGGGTGGACTTAGACGATTTTCTCTTCTTGGGATGTGGTTGCCACTGCGCCACTCGTGCAAGGTGTGTTCGACGTGGAGACCCAGTTTGGACGATTGATGGGGAAGGGCTACGGTCCGCAGCGGCGCTTGAGGCTTCTCGTGTTCGCGCCTCGGTACTTGCATGTGATGTCTCTGATGCCGCCGTAGACGGCGTGGTGCACGGTGGACTTGTCACCTGAATGCAATGATGAAGACGAGGAATACAGATGAGAGTGAAGCCAACGAAGATGGAAGTACAAATGAGAATGAAGCGCACCCGCTCCAACGGTCTTAACAGTCAACGAAAGCAGTCAAATCTTTCTTTTCAAAAAAGGTGACAATCAGAAGAACACGAAAAAAACCGTTTCTAACCGTTGAAGTGTGCACCGACCAGCATTTACAACGGCAGCGCCGTCAAACTGGTGCTCGGACCTCTTTTAACGTGGTTGCGCTCCCCCCACACGTTCATCTGCACACATACACACACGATACACGTGCACCAGTGACATGGGAATTCAGGGCTTACTGCCCCTGGTGCAGCCTGCGATGCGCAAGGTGCATATGCGGGCCTTTGAGGGCAAGCGTGTGGCCATCGACGCCTTTAGCTGGTTGCACCGCGGCGCGTATGCCTGCGCCATGGACCTTGCCCTCCGCAAGCAGACTGACATGTAGGTTGCTCCCTGGAGCTTGCTTGATTTTGGGCATCAGGGCTTGATGTAGACATCCCACGCCCCGCCTCCTGCTCTTGTGATACCCCCCTGCTGCCGTGCCATTCAACCTTACGCCTCCTCGATTAGGCATGTGCGATTCTGCATGAAGCGGATTGCGCTTCTCAAACAATGTAATATCACCCCAATCATGGTCTTTGATGGGCAGCCTCTGCCCTCAAAACGCAACGAGAACCAGCGCCGCACGGCACAGCGGCTAGAGGGCCGCAAGCGTGGCCTGGCGCTCTTGCGCGAGGGCAAGCGAGCCGAGGCCCGTCGTCAGTTTTCTCAAAGCATCCATATTGATGGGGCCATTGCCTTTCAGCTCATCGAAGCCTGCCGCAAAGCTGCCATCGAGGTTCTTGTTGCCCCATACGAGGCCGACGCCCAAATGGCCTTTTTAGCCCACAGCGGTTATGTCGATGCCGTTCTCACCGAGGACTCGGATCTCATTGTCTACCAAGTTCCCTGGTTCGTCCATTCAGTCGTTGGCATCAGTCAAAGCCCTTTCCTTCACAAATCAACAATTTTCTTACTGCCCTGCGTATTTGCTGGGTTGGGGGTCGCATGCTTGTTGCAGCATCATTTACAAGCTCGAAGAGAGCGGTGAAGCCCAGCTTATGGAAGTCAACCTGCTTTGTACGTGGTGGTGGTGGTCCCCTGTGAGCTTGCTCGCTCGTTGTGTCATGATTCAACTGACGATGTTCTCACGCCTCTGAGCAGATCGTGGTGCTCAACTGGACAGCAACATCAATTTTGCATCTTGGACCCCCACCATGTTTCGCTGGGTGCGATCTTTTCCATCCTTTCTCATGCTTCACTTTTGGCCCTCTCTCTGATGAGTGTCGATGGCAGTCGATGGCTCTTTGTTTGCTTGCTGGCTGGCTGGCTTCTTCTTCTTGTCACTCATTGTCCTGTTTTTACACGTGGTCAGATGTGCATTTTGGCCGGCTGTGACTACCTGCCGTCGGCCGCTCGCATGGGCATCAAGAGTGCCTACCGAATCGTCCGAACTTCTCGCAGTATTGCTCAGGTACGCGCATGTAGCTGCTTATCAGTGATTTTTTTTTTGTCACTTCTGATCGTCCAATTCACCTTGCGGGTGCTGCCTCGGGTCTGTGCCAGATTTGCAAGACCATGTCTGCCCAAGGCTTTGCAGGAGATGCCGAGTACATGCGTGGATTCGTCAAGGTATGGATGCAAGCAGCGCAAGGGCACGTGATGCTCCCACCACAAACACCGACTGTACCGCGCTCATTTCATCGATTTGTTTGATTATGTTAGGCGGAAAACACTTTTCTGCATCAAGTCGTTTTTGATCCTCAAACTCAGCAGCTACGCTATCTCACGGCTTGGCCCGAGGGATCGGATGGCAGTCAACACAACTATGTTGGCGAGTATGTTCTTGGACCACGTCCTACACTCTGACAACAGCGTCCGCGGCAGCTCACCTCGGCATGTTGTGGCTTAGGCTGTTTGAAAACGAGCTGGCACGCGCAATTGCCTGTGGTGCCTTGGACCCCATGACGCACCGTCCACACCAAAGCCACGCTGAGCGGTCCGCTGCAACGGCCTCAGCCAAACGCTCGGCCAACCAAGCCCATCACAATGACAGGAGTCAACTCGCAGACGCAGACGCTGGTGCTGGCAACGGCTCCACTGCTGGATTGCATCCTTCTGCGGCCGCGGTAGCGGCCCTACCCGTGCCACAAGTCGCAGACAAGGCATCGGCTCGCGATTATCTACGGCAGTTTGAGCACGGCACGGCGCAGAGTCGTACTCTGGATGCCTTTGTCGTCACGCGTTCCTCTCGTGCTGTCATTGCTAGCTCCGCACCCCGGGCTGGGTCTCCAGTACCCCGGTCTTCAGGGCATGCCCCAAGTGGCCTGAGTTCGACACCGCCCACCTCTCCTACCAAGCGTCGAACGCTCCCAGCGCTGCGCAAGGCCGTCAGCCAGGACGGACAGACCAAAACGTCAGCCGATGCCTCCGCCTACCTACATCTACAGGCCAGCGCCAGTGTGACTCGTGGCTTCAAGCAACCCCAAAGTGCCCTGCTTCGGACCAAGCAGGAAAGCACGTCGGTGCCCTCACTCCCTGCTCGTCCAGTCAAAAGGTGAGAGCCATGCTTGCGACCGGTCTTCTCTCCTCCCACCATGCTGATCTGCCACGCCCTCTTCCATCTGGACCTCTTGTAGCAAGTACTTTTCCTTTGGCCGACCTGCAGGCCTAGCCACCGCCACCACCACCCCCACCACCCCCGAAGCCGATTCCACTGCCAGCCCTGAGCCAACACGACCGGCTGTTGCCTTTTTGGACACAAAGGTTTGTGGAAACATGCCACGATATCTTGTTTCCGGAGTTTCAATCCCTGGCGTGTACACCGTCGATAGACTTTGCACAACGCAAGCTCACATGCTCAATTACATTGACTTGCAACGACGCTGCCGTCACAGACGGCAGCAGCGCTGGTAGACATGAACGCATATCGCTGCCCAAGACCAAGCAAAGCAGCAAAACATACGCCTCTCATGCCTCGGCCAACAATAGCAATTTCGGAGCAACAGGGCGCGCCTCTGAGTGCGGCAGAGTTGGACAAACTCTTCTCGTATCGCCGCGAGACCAGCACTCCCTAGCAACGTCCATCTAGGCGTCAAAACAGGGTGTGCAGACCATTGTGGAGGCTCCCCCCCCCCACATGCACACACAAAAGCGCTGCGCGCTTTCTTCGACGCCATCTTGGCTAACACTAGAGTCGACCCAACAGCGCGTTTGTTGTGAACATTGCCGTAATGATGAGGTTCCTGCTCGTCGGCGGCCTGAAATCGAAAAGTCATGTCGACAAAGGGATCTTGTTTGGCTGGTGTCCACTCAAATCAAGTTGAGGTTGGTCACATACAGGACGCGCGCCGCTTGATCGAAGGACGTGCAGATCGCCAAGCCTCGCTACAGAAGGGCAAAAACGTGAAGTAGAACCACAACAATAAAGGGGGTGAGGCGATGCGGAAGGAAGGGGTGTGACGGGAAACGGAAGAATGACCCAAAAAAAAAAAAAAGCAAAAAAAAAAAAAGCAAAAAAAAAAAAAAGCAAAAAAAAAAGCAAAAAAAAAAAAAAAATCAAAAAGTCAAGGAGCGTCGTTGAGAATGCATACCATGTCTGAGCTCCAGTCAAAAGAGGCGACGGGCTGGGTGGAGACGACACTGCTGTTGACAAATTGAACGGTGCCGGCAACACCACGAGGTTGACCGTCTTCATCCTCTTCCACGCGCTTCTTGGGGTAGTTGTATTTCCACAGATTGACAGCACCATTGCCACCACCCGTCACAAACACGTCCCGGTCGTGGGGCGAATGCTCGCCAACCCAGATTGTGGCCTTGTGACTCTGTCGGTAGCCACAGGCACGTGAGCGCAATATCAAGAACGCATGGGATGGTGCACGAATCGTGGGCTTGAACAAACCTTTTCTGTGACCGCCGCATATCCACCGGCTTTCTCGTTGAAGGTGCGCATATCAAAGACATTGAAAGTGGACTCAAGACCAGATACGAGTAGCTTATTCATGGAAATATCCGGGCGGTCAAATTGCAGCGAGCAAATCTATTGTCATACAGAGCGATGTCGGTGATGAGCAATGAGAACGTGAGCGGTGGAAAAGTGAAACGGCACAAGACAGGAGCAAGGGCAAAGAAAGAACAGGCGTGACTGAACGTACGCCGTTGGGCAGCGTCGTTTCCCAGCGAAGTTTCATGGCGCGAAGATCAAAGAGCTTGAGGTCACCGTTGTCATAGCCGGCGGCGACGCAGCGCTCCTCATCAAAGGAGTGGCCAAAGGCAACTGACCAGCAGTCTCGCGCGGTCTCGCTGTCTTCGGGCGCGAGATCCACAACCGGCACCTCGGGCTGTCGGGTGTCCCAAATTTTGACGCAACCTGATCCAAGTGCAAGGAGATGCTGATGTGAGTTGAATCTGGCGCTGGCACTGGGCCTGGCTCAAGCAATCAAGCAATCAAGCAATCAAGCAAACAAGCAGACCAACCATCTTTGCCGCCCGTGGCAATTTCCGGGGCACCGCCTTGATTGAGGCCGCCAGCGCCGTCAATGCAATAGATCATGCCATCATGCTGTTTGGCCGAGTACACGGGGTTGTCCAGACGTTCGAGATCCCTGTCATTCGAAACAAGACCACCGCGAAGCGGTGAGGACAGGCCGTTGCTGATGACAAGTCGACGTAACTGCCACGGACTTACCACAAGGAGAGTTCGCCGTCAAAGTCTCCCACAGCCAGATGGCGTTCTTCAAAGCTTGATGCCTTAAAGGTGCCACACTTGATACCGTGCGGCCGTGTCACCTGGCAGCCACGATAAATTGAAGGCCCGGGGCATGCAGAGTCAAGACAGAACAACGGGATACAGCAGGGAGGGGAACAACACAACGAAGCAAGAAGCCAAAAAGAGGGGGGCTTTGAGAAAGCACAGCGCGTGCGCACCTCAGCTTCAAGCTCTAGTTTGCTATCCTTGAGCGCCATGACCTGGAGCGCGCCCGTGTTGCGGGCATGCTGTCCAAAAAGCACACAGCGGGCGCTGGCAGGAACCCAGCGGGCGCCAAAAAGCGTATAGTTGACGCTATGGTTCACATGCTCAATGATCTGCGGCTTTTCCATCCCAGCGGTGAAGGGAAGTAATCAAAGCGAATCCGTCCGCGTCTACGTGCTTGCGCCGCTTGCTGCCTGCACCACAAGTCCAAGCCTCAAACCGCAGGTGTCCAGCGCGCTGCCACTAGAAAAGAAGAGAAAAGAAAAATGGATCAGATGCCCATTTTGTGTTGCTAAGACTTTATGTGTGTGTGAATGTGTGTGTGTGTGATGTCAGATCTTTTTTTTTTCTTCTGAACGGACTTAAAGATGCTGCTTTTGTGACTGGGCGGGGTGGAAGACGCGGAAGACGGAAGACGCGGAGGACGGACGACGGAGAGGGCACGGGTGCAAATGCAAAATGCAAAGGCGGGGGGTGGATCGCAACAAAAGATGGACAGCCAACACGATGGTGTGAGGGCTGCTGGTGACTTGGAACAGATGTCGATCAGGAATTAAACCTTGGAATTTTGCCTATATCGACGTAAGCCAAAGGACTGGGGGATGCAGACTTTTGTGGCACACCAGACTTGTCAAAACTACTCTCCTAAACATGGCGATGCACGGTGGGCACGGCCACCTCAAACAGGAACAAAAAGCAGACACAGGATAAAACAGAACAGGAAAAGAAAAGAAAAAAAGAAAGAAAGAACAAAAGACACTGTGTGCTAAAGGGAAAAAAAACTGGCAGCGTTGGCATCAATCGGGCTCGGTGATGGTGACCGAGCTTGCTTCATCAAGCAAGCTAAGTGAAGAAAAAGGAAACAAAACAAGGAGGAAGAACGAGAGGATAGGAGGAGGAAAGGGGCGGGAAGAAGGGGTCAGGGGGCGAGCTTGCATGATGATGGCCGGCTTGCACGGCGAGGGTTGGAACGATCAGGTACAGCACTTGGGTTTTGGGGCCGCCGTCGCGGCAATGGGCGCGGGTGACCTAAAGGCACAGCTAGATCAGCTTTGCTGCGAGCGGCACCTGGGCGCACGGGAAGCTGCGCGACCAGCAAGGATAATGAAAGGATGCCAAGTCAGCCTGCGGGTCGTACCGTGCGACGGCGCCATGCAGTCGTTGCGCAAGTTGACTACAGCATTCGTCAATCCCAGCCCCGGTGCGTGCAGAGGTTTTCAAGTAGGGAATGCCCAGTTCGGCAGCCCTGGCCTTGGCTTCACTCTCCGTGACTTGAGGCTCGAGGTCGTTCTTGGTTGAGACAAGGAACCGCACGAGCGACTTTTTGAGGTTGTTGCGCTCCACCTCGTCCACCCAATCAGAGAGGCGCTCAAAGGAGGAGCGATTGTGAATGTCAAACATGAACAGGACGGCGTCAGCCTTTTGATAAACGGAGCCAATGTTGGTGTGAAAGCGCTCTTGGCCGGCAGTATCCCAGAGTTGGAGGGCGATTCGTTCGCCGTGACATTCCTCAATCCGCGTTTTCTACACCGAGAGAGGGTGAGAGGGAGAGGCAGGGGGGAGGAGGCATCAGCATTGAGACGGTCAAGCCAAACCGGTGGAGGTGCGGTGGCTGGATTTGAGTCGGTTGAGTCGGGATTTGCTGTCACCTACCCGATCGAGACCAATGGTGGCCTCGGTGCGGAGTGGTTCCTCCGCCCCCGTCATGGCAAGGAGAACTGCCGTTTTGCCGATGCCAGCGTTGCCCACGGTCAAGATGGTGTATTCCTTTTCCCTAGAGCCGAGATTGAGATGAGATTGAGTCGTCATTGACAATCGAGGGGAAGGAGGAGGGAGGAGGTGGGCGACGGGCCAGCCAAGCGCGGGGCATGGCATGACGCGGCTCGAAACACGTTGTCGTACCAAGAGCCCTCTGGCTCGTCGCTGACAGAGAGACGCATGGCCATGGTGGTGCTGACGGCTGCGCAAAGCCAGACGCCGATCACAGCGCAAGTCAGCTCACTTGCGGGCCGCAACGGCTTGCAAACACGGCCACTCTGGCACGGAAGCCTTTTGGCCCAAAACAGCCACACCACAACCCAATCGACCGATCGAAA